ACATATGATACTTTTCTCAGAAAATTATAGTATTTTTTCTTTTAAATCAAACTACAAATTTAAAGCACCAAGAAGGTTTCGGCCCTTTTAAATAATAATAATGGAAACAGTGTGTTCAGAATTTTAGAATCATCAGAAATGTCTACATTTTGGAAGATTATCAAAGAAAATTAACACGTAATCTTTAGCTTAATTTACAGTAGATGGTACATACATGTGATGTTTTTATTTAAATGCAAATATGTTTTCAAGAAAATTTTTAAAACAAGCATTTTCTTGAAGGAACATGTAAATTTTCACTATGAATTCACACTATTTAAGACACATTTAAACATCCACGGGTATTTTAAATACTAATTAAATAGTGGATTCATGTAAAAATCTTTTTCAAAGTAAATGTATTAATTAAAGATAAACTATTAAATAAATATTGTCATTATTGTAAAAAAAAAATGCTGAAACCTTTGGAAAAAAAAAAGAACTGTTCTGAAAAAAGGGCCTATCAAAGGTTTCAGAAGAAAAGCATGCAAAGAATAATCAAGTAAAGAGTGACTTGTATATCAATTTTACTTAAAGATGTTATCCTTGTTAAAAAACATGGTGCCTGCATATTTATTTCAATAAAAATGTAATTTAATAAAATATTTTAATATTACCTATCATATGGATCCTGTGTTAGAATCTTCTTTATTATCAAACTTATCAATATTCAACATGTTCAAGTACATATTGTAACTGATTATGTATCATTTCAATACATTAACTTTACTTATAGGTACCTGCAGTCAAGCAGTTTCGTATCAAGTATTGCTTTTTAAAATATACACATACAGTATCATTAAGAAATATTTTGCTAGGACAAGTTTTCTTTTTTAACCATCTATGGTATGTAACTTGAGAAAGAAACTTTTGGTAAGCCATCTTTAAAGGGTAGATAAATATCTTGCTTTAGCACCAAACTTTGGTTGACTATTGAGTTTGAGGTGTTTCGCATTTTTTTTCGGGGGGGGGGGGGGGTAGATTAAAGAATAAATGTATTCCTTACAAAATTACCTTCATTACTTAACATTTGATATTTTGATTTTAAGAAACTTTTTATCGATCAAGAATGAAAAGTGGTATATTGATGCATATCATTATAAGTCAAAATCTCTATATACAATGATATTTTTTATGTATCAAAACTCAACCTACCAAGAGTGACAGACATTGAATGCAGGGTTTTCACTGTACAACATTTTAGGCAATATATGATACACAAAGTTAGCAAAAATATCTAAACATTAATTTACAATCAGAAAGCTAACACAAGGTTTTTGGTTCAGGATAAATAAATAAAACAAACAATGGGAACAATAAGTAATGTCAATAGAAAAAATAACAATAAAAGAGAAAAAGCAAATTTTTAAAATGAAACCCATAAGCTAATGAATTAGCCTTTAAATATCTAACAAATTATTAGTGTTTATCACCCAGAGACCAAGAGAATGACGCAGAACAGGGGCCTCAGACTTCAGATGGAAATTTGTCCTTCAACCCTTGCCAACCTGCTACTGGGCTGACTTTCTGTCCTACAAACATTCTCTCAAGACTCTGATCCTATCAACTGCCCTATGATTTCATCCTCTAAAAACCCTTATCCCCACAAATTATCAGTGAATATCATCCAGAGACCAAGAGAAAGAAGCAGATCAATCATTTAAAGAACCTAAACCTAACTACAGATGTCATAAAAGGACTAATACCCCCATTGTTTTGGTGTTTTTGTTCCATCATCAAAACTATGTACCAGATTATGTGACCCTGGCCTTAATCAACTCTTTTTTCAGGAGCAACCTTTGTGCTAAGTATGAGTTATAATGTATCCTTGAAACAAGAGAGGCAATGGGCCACAATACTCACCTGAGTACCCAAAGCCTAATTAACAAATTAAAATCCCCTTTGTAAATGATAGTCTATGCTAACTTGAGTTAAAAATTGGCCAGGTGGTTCTCAAGAAGAAATTGAAAAAGTGAAAAGTTTACAGTCAGATGGAAAGACGCTAGGCAACAGGTGATCAGAAAAGCTCACTTGAGTTTTCAGCTCAAGTGTGGTAAAATTGGTAAAAACATTATATTGAAGGTGATGTGACCTTTACAATGGTATATGATCTCATTTCAGGGACATGACATCCTCATGTCAAGAGCAATCTTTGTGCCAAGTCTGAACCTCCATAAGTTCTTTTCTAAAAAGTTACCCAGTACCAGTCGGAAATGAAAGTTGGATGGATAGACAGCAGGACATGGTGACTCACATTCCTTATATACCCCTAAAATGTAACTCTGAAGGAATTTCTAAACCCCATTTTACTCCCCATCTTTCTCAGCTGCATCTGAAAAAAAAGTTAAATTTCTTGTTACAGGTAATCATTCAAAACAATAGCAGAAAGAACAGCCAAATGAGATAGCAGATATTTGTAATTGATACCATTTCCTTCTCCTCCATTTGTGAATACAATGACCTGCTTCTTGCCATTAATGGTGGTAACAATCCTCCTTCCAAGCTTAGAGGGTGGTATTCTCATCCATGTTGGCTGCCCCAATCCAGTTCCAACACTACATTTCAGTATAAAAAGTGATCATATTGTACTTGCTTTTTAAAACAAGCTCATGCATTGTAACTTGGGGCAGTTAACGCTTTTTTATAAACCTGTTCATAAAACGTAAACTGCCCGAAGTTATGTTATATCGTATAACATAAGTTAAAATAAGCTTCATTCTTTAATGAGCCTATGAAATTACTACAAAGTTAAGCTTAGAAGGGAATTTCACTTATCAAAACTTGTAAAAAAGTTATGATTGAAGAAGAACTTTTTAAATTTTGACACCATCAACACCAAAATACCAAGTTTAAGAATTAAAATGATATATTCTAAATATATCAGTAGTTTCAGAGAACATCTCTGGACACAAAAATACTACTGACAATGACAGATGGATTTTTATTATGTTAACTCTAGAACTGCGTGGCTAAATTGTAAACAGTGAATCACAAATTTAGAGAAAGGGATTATCCCCGTCATAATTTGTCATCAAAAAAAAAAAAACTATAAAAAAAAATTTTGGTAATATCTTTTTAGATGAAGGGTCACAGACACTGTATATTCAAATATAACAATGAAATTCAACTACAAAAACATTTAACATCATTTTAAATAATTATAATTTAACAAACAATTAATAAATATTTGCATATTCGAAATAAGTGATAATTCTCAGTTTAAATTTATACAAAAATAAAATTAAAATGAAATTAATTCTCTTTTTTTAACTAAAATGCATACATGTAACTGGACATCTTTCAATATGGGTGGCAAAAATTTGTCCTGCAGAATAAATATTTAACAATAATTTGATGTGTGGAACAATTACTTTTCCATTATCCTCATTTTAATTTTTCTTTCATGTTTTGCTATAAATATGTATCTGTATTTATTATAAAGTATATATCATTTCTCTGTTTTGGGACTTACCTGAGACGGGAATGGCTGAGGCAGATCCTCACCAATACAATGGACAGGTGTCCAGAGGGTAATCTGTCAATTATAAACCAGAGCTAGTTGCAAACTATGCAAAATAGCATTAGACACCTTAAAATGTAAATAGCAAATGGAAGTTATTTGGAATATGTGCCTCTGAGAAATTTTATATCAAATATGATATTTGTAGAAAACTGACGTAAGCAAAGGCTCTTCAGATGAGTATACATTAATACAAATGCCAACTTTTAACAGACTTAACAAATGCAAACATTACCCAGACCACAGAGGCAATTACACATATATATATGTACTTGTAAAAAATACAAAAGGGTAAAAATCAAAAGTAACTCAATATTTGTAAATAAATTCTGCAATAAACAGACTTTACATCTGATACATGTAAATGTTACAAAAATCCTTGTAGGCAGTAGTGCAAATGATGTCCTAGACCTTATGCAGGCTAGAATATATATCAGAGAAAATGTTGTACATTTTTATCCAAATAAAAACCCCGGCTGAGGTGGCAGAGGATAGTTTGGTTTTTTGGTTTTTTGGTTTTTTTTTTTTTTTTTTTTTTTTTTTGGCAATCAAAACGTTTGACTGACAGTTCCCTTAATATTGAGCTGCTTTTAAAATGTGCATTGGGAAATTTTAAATTCTCTCTACATGTAATAATAGTATGGTCTAGTCCAATCTAATTAAAATTAGATCTTTGATCCGCTCCAACTAGATCGCTACACTTTGTGTAGTTGGAGCGGATCAAAGATCTAATTTTAATTAGATTGGGTCTAGTCCTTTGAGGAATTTGAAGCTTTTAGGAATAAAACATGTACAATTTACAACAATGAGCCCTAATGATGGCACCGGGAATATCTCAAAATATCATGTATATTAAGCCTATTTTCACTATTTCGCCGGATCCGCAACTGCTTCCAGGCCCGTGCTAATGCCCTAAGCACACAAATTGCAGACCGACACTTGTACTGTGCTTTTGTAGTATAGGGGTGCACAGGTCAAAGAGTTATGACTACGCCGTGGTTTAGCTGCATATAGTTACATGTATAATATAATATGCATACACACGAAAAATGCAGAAAAATCAGCAAATCGAAATAAGAACCATATATTTAATTTCACAGTGAATTTCATCTTTAGCGATTTCTTCATCCGGCGTATATTTTCAGTTAGCCCAAATGTTGTGAAAACGTAGATAAAGTGCGTAGTGCAGGTTTGACCCAGTTTATCAATGCAGTTCACAGAAATGTTTTCCTCGAGGTATGCCTTTGAGACTTATTTTGATTTTAAAACAGTGGTTTAACTATGCACGTATATGTTAATATGGTCTTTTAATGTTTTATTTCTAGCACTGATTACAATAATCTATTGATGCATTAGCAATGTATTCCTGCACAAAATACACTAATCTTATCTTGTTGAAAACTACTTTATTCATGAACTTGGTTGTTGTTGTTTTTAACAGATAGAAGTAAGTAGAATAAAAATCGTGTGTCTTGGAATTTTTATGTTTGTAAACAATTGCTGGATTACAGTTTCCATAACTGGTGAGTAGATTTTTAAGCAAATGAACCACAAGAAAATAAGTATAGATCCTACAGAGTGTTTTGCAAATGGCAGACAAGATACGAAAGCCTATTTGTATCAAATAAAATTATATTACGCCCCACTATCTCGTTATAAGATCTTTTCTGGTAATTACGAAGAAAGATCTCGTAATTACAAGAAACATTTTCTTTTTTATTACGAATAAGTAGGAGAAAAGATGTCGTAATTAAGAGATAAGTATCTCGTAGTCACGAGACAAGTTTCTCGTAGTACAGAGAAAAATCGTGTATATAGAACTGAGTATTCTCTTTAGAGAAGTGGACAGGCTTTCGCCTACATCCACTTCTCTTAGCAAGCCTTCATGTTTTGATTCTGGAAAACGTATAAATCTCGAACCGGTGACGGTCTACACTTCAACTGACATTTCGTCTAAAATACGTCTGAATGTACGTAATAGACGTGTTATATTAACAATTTCAACATAAATACACACAATTGTCACAAGAAAACTGACCTTTAAGTATTGTTAATCCATTTTCACAAGTTCTCCATCCCGGATTTAAACTAATGTTTATCTACCACAGCTTATTAGAAAAAAATTTAAGTCGGATAATTTGGAAAAATTGGCGAAGACGTATTTTAATGTTCAAAAAAGTTTTTGACAATTCACTTTTGATTTAGCATATTTTTCAAAATTAATGTTATTACCTATACTTATTTTTACTATTTAAATACAATCTAGATGTAAATTTGAGCTTAAAAAATACTTCATTACTTCCTCACTGACAATACTAAAAAATATTTTCTTTTATTTTTAAACGATATTAACTCTACCTCTCCCGAGAACTGAAAAAAAGATTTAAAATAAAGATCAAAGAATTTGAACGAAACTTTAGGAAATACTGTCTCGTTAATTTAAAAAGAGTAGACGATTTCTCTCGTTTCATTATTATTTTGTAAAAATAGTTTCCATTCTTATCCGAATTAGAGATTTTTCAATACTTCAAGAGTTACATGCACATAATTTAAATCCGGGATGGAGAACTTGTGAAAATGGATTAACAATACTTAAAGGTCAGTTTTCTTGTGACAATTGTGTGTATTTATGTTAAAATTGTTAATATAACACTTTTATTACGTACATTCAGACGTATTTTAGACGAAATGTCAGTTGAAGTGTAGACCGTCACCGGTTCGAGATTTACACATTTTCCAGAATCAAAACATGAAGGCTTGCTAAGAGAAGTGGATGTAGGCGAAAGCCTGTCCACTTCTCTAAAGAGAATAAGAACTGAGTTGTGTAAATTTTACCAAAACGTGATATCGCTTAGAATTTCACAACAAAGAAATTCTGCAGCTTTTAACTTATTTAGAGAATATGTCCTAAAGTATTACGGTTTTTGTTAGTGCCTTTCTCAGCAGATAAAATATTTTTTGGATACTCGTTCCTAAGCTATGTTTTATCCGCCAGTGAAAGCCATATTAGAATAGATTGCTTCAATATATCTTGATTCCTCGACCCGCCATTATTATAACAGCGTTTAAAAGAGAAAAGGTTATGTACATGTATATATTTTCTCGTGATAATTTGATCTTTTCTCAAAATTACGAAATAATATTCTCTCATTTACGAGATATTTTCTCGTACTCTCACGAGAAATCATATCGTAATTACAGGAAAATTATAAGATAATTACGATATATTTTTTCGTAATTACAAAAAATGTTATCAGGTATTTACGAGATATCTTCTCGTAATTACGAGAAAAGATATCGTAATAATGAGATAATTTTTTCGGGAAAACAAGGTCTTTTCTAGTAGTTGTGAGATTTTTACTCGCTATAACGAAACAATTTTCTTGTATTATCTCGTTATTAAGATATAATGGGGCGTTATTTTTTATACTTGATACTAATAGGCTTTCGTACCAATAGGGATTCATGTGAAAATATTTTTTTTTCATCAAACCGGAGAGCAGAAGTACTGCAAAACAACAGTTAAGCATTTAAAAGAAATTGGCCTTGTATCTTTGTTTTGCATGATATTCACACTCAGGGATTTTCTTTTACTTTTTATGTCCATCATGATTAATTTTACATTCATTTCTGTGCGTGATAGAGTAGATTGATTGATGTATTTTTACAATCCTTGCAATATTATTTCACTAGTGCTCAAATGAGATCACCGAAATAATACAGATGAAGTGCTTCAAATTTAAACTTGACGCTTAGGGCCATTGCGCAGTTGGTGTCTTTTACCAACGACTGTATTTTTTTTTAGGTCGAGCGCTTAGCAAAGGAACCGTTGCTACTTATTTTTAGTTTCTTATCGATAGGGCTTGCACCCAGAACCGCACGACTACGGAGCGAGCGCTCTACTGACTGAGCTATCGTCGAGAGAGAGAGAGTGTGTGTAACTGTTTGAAATATTGAATACCAATTTTTTTATTTGTTTTCTTTATTTCCTTGTACGTTATCGTACAATACGATTCCTTGATATTTCAAACATTTAAAAAAATATTAGTTAAAACAGTCTCCTTCTGTGTTCAATAATTCAGAAGTGAAAAAAAAATTAAATAGATTACATGATCAATTTATACTGGTGCCAGCTGACAAAGCAGGTACCAACATTGTCTTTGTTTGTAAGGCTCATTATTTTAATAGTATTTTAGAGGAACTGGGATTTAATTCTACAAGTGGTAATCCAACTTATACCTATGGCTCCCTTTCTAAGGAGGAAATTTTTCAAAATCATACGTCAGTTTTAAATATTTTTGATATTCCCAACAATCAAAATGAATTTGAATTACCATACCTATATGGATTCCTAACTTCATAAAAATCCTTTCAAACAAAGATACAAAGCGGTTCCAGTAAATGTTCTACCAAAACTCTTTCTTTACTTTTCTCTAAAATATTAACAGCAGTGAAGGAGAAACTTCCGGAGTACAGTACATCAGTATATTTGAGAAGTGGTGTAAATCAGATGTGGATACTTAAAAATTCCAAGGAAGAAAATTTGAAATCTTTAAACAAAAACAAACCTTTATTAGCAGACCTTATTTTGTATTCGTATTAAGCAGAACTTATTCAAAATCTTATACACCAGAAGAAGAAAACACTTGCTGTGGCCTTCAACTTGACATTTAGATATATCGACGACGTACTATCAATTAACAAGAGTTACTTCCATTCTTGTCTTGACTCTATAACTTGACTCTTCCCAGTGAACCTGAAATGAAAGATATCACAGATTCTGATATATTTCTTTCATATTTGGATATTTTACTAGAAAAAGGCGGTAATGGTGCCCTAACACCCAAGCTTTATGAAAAACATGATGACTTTAACTTTTCAATCGTCAACTTCCGTTACTTACGTAGCAATTTACCCTTTTCACCTGCATATGGGGTTTATGTCTCTCAGTTAATTCGATACGTAATAGAATGCTCAACGTACGAACAAATTCTAAAACCAGGGGAAAGCTATTGACAAACAAGTCATGAAACAGGAATATCAACAGTCTCGTTTAAAGTCATCATTTCGCAAGATCTATGGTCGATACAGTGACATTGTCAGCAAATACAACTTATCATTAAGTTAAATGCTGACTAACGATTTTCATACTAATTCCTAAACCATTCTTTATACACTGAATTGTCTACGGATATTTCCGTTTTCCTAATCATGACATGGAGCATACGGCGGGTGTGACCAGTCGGCAGGGGATGCCCACTCCTCCATGGCACCTGATCCCACCTCTGATGTTTTAGAGGTCCGTGTTTGCTTTGTTCCCGATTTGTTTTGTTTGAATGAACTTCTAAGCTGGAATACTGTTCGTTATCTCCATATTTCATTTGTAAACTGTGATACACGAAACATATCAATATGACTCGGAACACGCCTTTAATATTAACTGAACTGTATGTTATGCATTAATATGTTTTTACTGTTTCTATTTTTTATGTATTGTTTCCAAACGGTCAATCTGAAAATGATCTGAAAATGAAATTTCACTTCATTTTCGTAAGTTATACTACATGCAAAAGGCACCAGAAATATAAAATTACTCTCATTTTTTCTCTTTTCGTATGTCTGTATATCATCCAGATACTTTTTGCCTATTTAGATACATAAATGTGATTAGATAATTTCATTATGTATATAATATATATCTGTAGTATTGCGCCATACATGACAGAGTCCTAAGTAGTCTAGTTATCTGCAGTCCATTGATCATTATTTCATCTCCTTATGCAGGTAGTTCAGTTAAGTGTTTTTTTTTTTCATTAAATGTCATTCAAAATCCATTTCCAGTTGTAAGTAAACTACATTGTTACAAGTCCTTATTTACATCAACATAGCTGTAAGTATACCAAAACATTATTGAATTTTAATAGGTCACCTGAGTCACTCAGATAACCTATTGCTATCCGTTTTTGTCTGTCGTCGTGCGTCGTCCGTCTGCATTAACATTTGAACATTTTCATCTTCTTCTCTGGAACCGCTGAACCACTTTCATTCAATTTTTGCATAAAGCATCTATGAGTAAAGGGGAACAAAAATTATGAATTTCATGGTCCCCGCCCCCTGGGGTCTGTGGTGTGGGGTTAAACCCACCAAAATTAATTTAATCTTTAAAAATATTCTTTACTCCTTTACTTCAAGCAGTCAAACTGTTGTCATGATTGTAATAAGCATAGTCCTCTACCAAAATTGTGAAATTCATGGGGTTCTGGTGCTAGACGGGACTTTATAGATCATATAGAGAAAATGCATCAATTGTTTGCAAATCGTCTCTGCTCCTGGGTATTAAACAAACTAACAGAGTATATAGTTATGATAAGTAAGGGTACCTCTTCCAAAATTTTGAATTTCATGGCCCCTGAGTCAGGGTTTCTGGTGTTAGGGTAGGGCTCTATTGATTATACAGTGGAAATGCATTAATTTTTTGAAAATCTTCTCTGCTCCTGTGTATTAAACAGACTAACTATGTACATAGTTATGGTGAGCTAGAGTGATAAATCGGGGACAGATTAGAACTTACCTAATGAGTTGTTACTGAATGAAATACATGGAAATAACGATCAGTATTAAAGCTCAAAAGTCCATTAAACAGTACAAATCAGGAGCAGAGCAAACACGGACCTCTAAAGCATCAGAGATGGGATCAAGTGCCATGGAGGAGTGAGCATCCCCTGCCGACTGGTCACACCCGCCGTGTGCTCCTTGTCATGATCGGGAAATAACGGAAAAATTCAACGACAATTCAGTATAATTGTAAATAATGGCCAAACAATTAGTATGAAAAATGTCAGTCAGCATTTGACTTAATGATAGATTGTATTTGCTTACAAGGTCATTGAATCCACCATAGAACTTACAAAATGATGACTTTAAACGAGACTGCTGATATTCTTGTTTCATCAACTTGTTTGTCAATAAGCTACCTCGTTTTAGGCATTGGTCATACGTAGAGCATATATTTGCGTATCGAATCAACTGAGAGATATAAACCCCGTATGCAGTTGATGAAGGTATATTGCTGCATAAGTAAGGGAAGTTGACGATTGAAAAGTTAAAGTCATCACGTTTATCATAAAGCTTTGTTGTAAGATTACCATTAACGTCTTGTTCTAGTAAAATATCCAAACATGAAACAGATGTGTCAGACTCTGTGATATCTTTTATTTCAAGCTCATCGGGATGTATCGTATCGATATAAGATTGAAAATAACCATTGTTAATTGACAATACGTCGTCGATTAATCTAAATGTCGAATTGAAGGCCACAGCAAGTGTTTTCTTCTTTTCACGTATAAGATTTTACATAAATTCTACATCAAATGAATACAAAAATAGGTCTGCTAATAAGGGGGCGCAGTTTGTACTCATGGAAATTCCAATAGATTGTTGAAAGACCTGGTCTCCAAAAACCATGCACATACATATTGACAATCAGAAGCTCAAGCATCCTTTTAATATCAACTTCAGAGTACTTGTGTGTACAATCAGAATGGTTTTTAACAAAATAATTTTGCAAAGGACCAATGACAAGGTAAGTAAATTTACGAGTTCCATTTTTATTGAAAAAGCAGCTGTCAATGATGTCAAAAAGTCTGGACTTTAATTTATCGTGGGAATGGTTGTGTATAAAGTTGAAAAGTCGTAAGTTTTTATGTTGTTGATTTTTTTTTAAAATTTTGTGATTTCAAATTTTCCAAAAGTTCCTTGGAATTTTTAAGTAATCATGAAGTTTCTCCTTCACTACTGTTAATATTTTAGTGAGGAGTAAAGAAAGAGTCATATACTGGAACCAGCTACGGATCTTTGTTTATAAGGATCTTTATGAAGTTTCGGAATCCAGTATACAGATATGGTAATTCAAATTCACTTTGGTTATTGGGAATATTAAAAATATTAAAAACTGACGTATGATTTTGAAGAATTCCCTCCTTAGAAAGGGAGCCATGGGTATAAGGTGCATTACCACTTGCAGAATTAAATCCCAGCTCCTCTAAAATACAATTAAAATAATGAGCCTTACAAACAAAGACAATGTTGTTAACTGCTTTGTCAGCAGAGACCAGTACATACTGATCGTGTAATCTATCTAATTCTTTTTTTTCACTTCAGAATTATTGAACACAGAAAGATAGTTGGTTTTCATTTTGCCCCTCATTCGCTTAATGCGAGATTTTAACATACATCTGATACATTTAATCCATATTGACAACGTGTCAAGAATCCATAATATTTATGAAATTATGACGCCAATTAAAAGATCTGGGTTCCCTAAATTTTGGTCTTTTTGAAATTATTGATTTAAGTTCCTCATTATCAACTATATTTACGTCACCAGTAATAAGGTGTCCAGCAGGACTATAGTTGTAGGGTGAAGAAGAACATGAACAGAAAGGAGGATAATGTTTCAGATGCTTTGTAAAGTTTTTTTGTAATTAAAAAGTTTGGCAATAGTTGATGCATTTTTGTAGTAAATACAAGGTGAAGTCTTCAACTTGAAATACGGGGGAATACAAGACTGGACCCTTTTGTGATTAAGAATATTACTTATATTATCCGCGTCAATTCCTTTATTGGCATGCTGAAGTTTAAGGAAAAACGGATTGTTTTAGCTGCATTTTCTTCTGTAAAATGTGGCAGTTTAAAAAGCCTATGATTTGCAATATCCATAACCACAGATCCGAGCCTGTATTCTGGTGTCAAGGAATCAAAAAATGGACTTTCCTCGACTTTTTCAAGTAGACTATTTAAAAGTTTCAAATTAAGGGGCAGAGTAAAGTTTGGTGAAGTTTGAATACTATAGATTTATTATTTCGTTGATCCTGATCGTCCTATTTTTCTTGCTTTTGGTCAACAAAGCTTCATCTATCAGTTAAGTTTATTTTATACTGTATGGATCTAAATTGTTGTGTTATACTCAGGCGACCGTTAAGGCCCTTGGGCCTTACACTATCTTCAGAATATTATTATTTTTTTTTTTTTTGGATTTAAACTATTCTTAATTATTTTATTTTTTTTTTTATTTTTTTAATGTATTTGGGGGGGGGGGGGGGGGGGGGCTAACCAGACACTGAGTGCATAACTTTGCAATAGATCAATATTGTTAGTTGAAAGATTAAATTTACTTCAAGTCTTTGTTCTAACCAACATCTCTTTATTTCTTACTTCACAATTTTCGAAGTGACTTTGCCAACAATTACACTAACTGTTGTGCTGATTTCCAGAGTTTTAAACCATGATAAGCCTTTCCTTAAACACACAGACGTTGGTTGTTAGTGTTTGTGTTGGTCTTCTGGTATATTACGTCATCAAACGCCTACGATATCGTCTGCCACCAGGGCCTTGGTGCATACCAGTCATTGGCCACTATCAAAGTTAGTACTGATATTATTATTTTTAGCATAAACGCTTAAGTGACCTGAGCAAATTGTTTTATCACATCATAAAACCAAGAAACTACTCCTTATTACAAATAGCTATCATATTCTATTGATTTTCAAATAATACTATTTATTATCATTTAGAAGGTTACATATGACATATGTATATAACGAGAGACATAAAAAAAATAGTACTGCATGAATTTAATATCATATTTGATTTGGTTTTTTCCCTGAAAAAATACTGATGTATTTTTAATGATCTCCAGTTTATAGCGCACCTAGTCTACATAGGCAAGTCGTTGAACTTTCCAAAACATATGGGCCTGTTGTACGACTCTCGGTTGGTAAGTAAATTTCTAAGTTTTAGTTCATTTTCATAGAGGGTACAGTGTAGATGTGACCCCCCTCCTTTAAAAAAGCAGATAAAAGAGACAATTTAATACCTCTGAAATACTGATTTTGAAATGAAATGACTCGAACTTTGAATAATGTCCTCTTTTTTTAAATACATGTAAATCTAGCTATTTAGCAATTACACCGTACTTATTTTCTCGTTCAGGACCATCAACATGGGTGTTTCTAAATAACTTTGATGTTGTCTTGGAGGCGCTGGTGAAAAGAAATGCAGATTTTGCAGGACGAACACCTTTCCCATCAGGTTACATATCTACTTTGAACAATTTACACAAGTACTGTAATTATTATATATAAAACACTTTTGATGCCAATTTTATAAGTACATTTTACAGTGCTTCTCCCTTGTAATGCCACCCCCAACCTAATGCCAAAACATTTCGAAGTCCTGGTTTTCTCGCCATATAAAACCCCGTTTTACCATTTCCTAGGTATGAAAAACTGAATACCATGTGTGCATAGATATATTTTGGCCCAGTTAAAGAAGTATACGTTTAATATGACAGATCCACAGTCAAAGTGTATTTTATGTTTTGAAAACACGAACGCTAGACATGGACTGGAAGTTGTGACTAGTGATTCTGTATTTGAAGTCTTAGGACTTTACATTAGAAAAACAGTTTAAGAAATAAAATAAAAACAATTCAACAACAATAAAAATTATAAAAATTAAACATGTACCAAAAAATATATAAGATTTAATAACAGCGGAGGGCAATTTCCTCTGCTTTCAAAAGCCTTTAGAATTGCATTCCCCCATCATAATGCCATCCCCGTTATAACGCCAAAATTGCAGAGGTACAAATATTGGCAATAATAAAACGGGGGAACACTGTATGATTATACTTACATGTACAGGTTGTGTTTGTACCATATTTTGTATGAAATTTATTCATATTTATTTATTTTATTATTTATTTTATTATTCATTTATTATATCATTATTGATGTTATGTCATAATTCTGTGGAATTATTTTTAATTTTACATTAATTTTCCAGGGGAAATGTTTACTGAAGGCGGCAAAGACATCGTATTAAGTACATATACACCAACATGGAAATTCCATAGGAAAGTCGCAGGGAAAGCTCTTCGGTAAACCTATTGAGGACATATTTTGAGTACATATTTTAAATATGCTTGGCACATAACTGTATATTTTCCACTGTCCAGAAGTTATGGTGATGCTGTTTATTACAGGATTAAAAGCTCTATAGATCTTGACAAGAGGAATGAAAATTTCATTTATTTAAAAAATACAGTTTGGTGGTGTTGTCAACTCAGGCTCAGAGCAATGCATTCACAAAAATTAGCAGAACTACGTTAATATATATAATTCAGATATCAATAGATTGTTAACCAGGTTTCAAGCAACACAAATGGTATTTTTCCAGCAAGTAGATATACATTATTCATGGTAGAAGTGTCACCTGAGTTCATTTAAAATCTTTCTATAACAAACATTTCTATGTTAAATTGACTTTCATGTTTGTTTCCATGTTGTCTTTGTTTGTTTTGTTTGTTTGCTTAACGTCCCTTAGAGAATTTTTCATTTATATTGAGATGCCACCACATACCGGTGGAGGGCTGCAAATTTAAGGCCTTTGAACAGTGAAGGATCTATATTCTTCGTGCCAGCACCTTCTGCGACACGGGACATCGGTTTATAGGTCTCTTCCGAAGGAACGGTCTGTCACGACAGCCGTCGTGTTCTGTTCAGTCAGACACAACAAGATTTTTTTTCTATTTACATTTTTTTTATATATAAATAAAATCAGTATTTACAATATTTACACCATATTTATACAGTTATAATTTACAATATGTATATCTTAAAAGTCTCTTTCAATCCACGTCAACCTGGTGTTCGCTCACAACCACGTCCATACACGCCCCGTTTCACGACGGACTCCCGCCAACTGGCTCACAGTGGGTCTCCGGTCTATTGAACGTCATTGCCAACACACACATGACTAGATATTATCAGGATTATATCAGGAACCTTTAAATTAAATAACATTTTTAAGTCACAGGTTACGTATACCTTAAAAAAAACTAGTCACCATTGACTATCATTGCACAAATGGCACACCGTACAAACAGTAAATCTAACCAAACACTGTTATATATGTAGACAGCGTTAAGAATACACAATTTCTCAACACAAATGGTTTTAACAACTAAACCCACGACACCGACTGTATAAGCGGCAAAACAAAATACATTGCGTGCGTACATAACTTAGTACATGCACAAAACAAGAACATTACACGCATGAGTAACTCTACTCAGCAAAACTTGTATACGTAAACAGTAACAAAATCATTACTTAACCCGTTTTCTTACAAAGTTAACAAATCTTAATGCAATATCAAAATACTGAATCATAAGAAAATTTAACTTACCCCTCATGGAGAAATGGTTACCGTTGTAAAAACTACCTATTTACACATCTTGGATTGTACGTCAAGCATGTAAAAAGTATGAAAACGTGGACCCCGGCTAGGTGGTCAGCAATGCAGCGATTTAAATACTCCAAATACAATAGGCCGTAACAACCCAATGCCTGCAATTTCTAAATTTGAGGTTCATTACAGGTAACAGAATAAAGAGGTCCCGTAAAGGAAAAAATTAGTAAAAATCATAAACATAAATGAAACAATAATCGGGATTAAATTTTGATTGTGACACGGTCTCCACGTCTAGCCTGGTTCCCTGGCTCATCCTTGCCAAGGCAGGAGATGGCCCTAGTGTGGTGGAGTATTCGAAGCATAACAGGGACAGGGAACCAGGCTATCTCGCAGTCGGATTCGAAACCGCGACGTAAGGATCAACTCCTTACTCTGCGACTCTTGAGCAAACGCTCTAACCACTGCGCCACGCGGGCGACTCCATTTTGGAAAAACTATATAAAACAAACCCAATGGATTCAGCACATGGGAACCCTATACAAAGAAAAAAATGCTGAAGCTATAATTATATGGTTTCCACATTGCGGTAACCATACTTGAAACCAGAAACATTATGTTTCAGTAAGGTTTCTATATATTTTCAGTTTTTTCGGAAACTGGACCTATCATAAAATCTTTGATTGTCAACATACTCGTGTTATGCATGACATCTCAATGTACGAGCATGTAGATTTTTTTTCATTTTCTTTTTCTAATTTACACACGTAAGCCTTATTTCCTAGTTCAATCACGTAGCAAAAGATAAGAAAAACAACGGAATATGTGACTTCCAATCATTTATTTCTTAACATTTGTTCAATGACTATGCGTTATTTTAGGCACTATTTACAAGGAGATCTTCTAGAAAACATGATTCAGGACAACATGACCAAGTTCTTGGATAAAATGGCCGAGGAAAAGGAACCGTTTGAGTTCAGTACTTATGCTAACTTAATGGTTTACCATCAACTCTACACAATTTGCTTCGGAGAGAAGTAAGTTTCTGAATTTAAATCACAAAGGAAAAGAATGGAAGAACATTCTTTCGCCCGTCTTCCTAGATAAAGTCGGATATTTTTTCCAGAACGAAAATTAATGTCAAGATTATTTCCAGTCTATTTCCATGCATATGGTGATAATAAATATGTAATCAGTAAAGATTTTTTTTTCTTCTTCTCTGTTGAGTCATTTTTTCTTTCTTTGAAGGAAATCACCTGATGACCCGGAAGTGATGTCACTGTTGAAGCTTGACGAGGAATTGATAGAGACATGGGGAGTTGGGCTCTTCATGTTGTTTGAAGATGCTTTTCCGTATCTGAAGGACATATGTCCGACGAAAACGTGGAGAAATCTTACAAGAATTACAGAGGATATGTTTAAAGTGATTCGCACCAAATTTTATGAACACAAAGCGACATTTCAATCAGGTTTAAATATATGTATAAAGAAATTTGTTTTCAATGCATTCTTGTTTTTTCCTTCTTTTATGGTTTTGATATTTTCTGAAAGAAAGATTTTATGATTTTCCACAGGCACTGTCTATGTTTTTTTTTTTTTTTTTTTTTTTTTTTTTTTTTTTTTGAAACAATATTCTATTATTAGTATTTTGAAGTTTTAATAGTCATACTAATTTCCCACTCTTTGATTTATATGAATGCTGTGTCCAAATGATTACCATATTCACTAATGTACTAACATTTATTCATTAATGTACTAACATTTTTTTCATAAATGATTAGGCGTTAACAGAGACTTTACTGACAGTTTACTTAAAGCGAGACAAGAAGCTGAAAACGAGGGGGATGAGGACGCTCTTGAGAAACTGACCGATACACATTTAATTCAAACCATTATGGATATATTTTTGGGTACGTTTCCTTTCTTTTACTTAATATCATTATGGTATTATTGTGTCTATCCCCCCCCCCCCCCGATATTTTAACCATTAATCCATGTCTTTCAGCTGGGACAGAAACCACTAGATTTACTATGGACTGGTTCATGAGTTTTATTTCTGGAATTCCAGAAATCCAGATGAAATGTCAGGAGGAAATAGACCGAGTTGTTGGTATGTAAGACGATGAACACATGTATTACATTCTACACCGATTTTCAAACTCAGAACTGTCGTTATTAGCTTGTATGTGCCTTGTAGCCTTTCTAGCATATCTTATTCATAGGCTCAGACCGCATATCAATGAAGCATCGGAACGCCTTGGATTTTACCGAGGCCTGTCTGTTTGAAACTTGGCGAAGGGCATCCTTAGTCGCTTTGAGCATTCCACATGCCACAATATGTGACACAAAAGTTGGTAAGTTGCGTGTACTTTCTGTTTAATCATGTATAGTTTGTGTTTCATAACTACATGTATGTACATGTAACTTTTATATTCAATAAGTTTACAGATTAATACAGAAGCAGTTAAATCTCCCGCCCCCTTTTTTTTAAGAATTGAAAAGGTTTGGATTACTTTGTAAATAATCATGTTCTTGTCAGATTGGTTTTTGACGAAAAGAAGTATATTAGAAATGTTCCATCTATGTATACCATATTCATATTGATATCTATGTAGTTTTTGGAGATCAAGTCTTCCAACAATCTGTCGGAATTCCCATGGGTACTAATTGCGCCCTGTTATTAGCAGACCTATTTTTTGTATTCATGTGAAGCAGAATTTATTCAAAATCTTATACAGGAGAAGAAGAAAACACTTGCTATGGCCTTCAACTCGACTTTAGATATATCGACGATGCATTATCACTTAACAATAATTACTTCCTTTCATATGTTGACTCAATATATCCCAGTGAACTTGTAATAAAAGATACCACAGAGTCTGACACATCTGTTTCATATTTGGATATTTTACTAGGAAAAAAGTTAATGATAACCTAACAACAAAACTTTATGATAAACGTGATGACTAACTTTTTTATCGTCAACTTCCCTTACTTATGTGGCAATATACATGTACATGTACCCTTATCACTTTCATGTGGGGTATATGTCTCCCAGTTGATTCGATAGGTAAGAGCATACTGTACGAACAATTTTTAAACGAGGCAAGCTATTGACAAACAAGTTGATGAAACAAGGATATCAACATTATCGTTTAAAGTCATTATTTGGCATGTTCCATGGTCGATGCATTGACCTTGTCAGCAAAACCAGTCTATCATTGAATTGAATGCTGGCTGACGTTTTACATTCAAATTGTTAGGCCATTGTTTGCACACTGGGTTGTCTAATGATTTTTCCGTTTGCCCGATCATGACAAGGAGCACCTTTTGACAGGTCGACAGGGGATGCTTACTCCTCCATAGCCCCTGATCCACCTCTGATGTTTTTAGAGGTCTGTGTTTGCTCTGCTCCCGATTTGTATCGTTTTAAAGGACTTTTGAGCTTGATTACTGTTCGTTATATCCATATTTCATCTAAATTTTATAACTGATTTGATATTTCCTAGAAACTCTATTTTACTTATCGGTTACTTTTTCTGTCCTTGCAACAACAGGCGGTTACGATATCCCCAAAGGGACAACGGTCCTCATCAACATTTGGGCGCTTCACAATGACCCCAACTACTGGAAGGATCCCGAGAAATTTGACCCTTATCGCTTCCTGGATGAAAACGGTAAATTGAAACCGACAAGACCAGAGAGTTGGCTTCCTTTTTCGGCAGGCCGACGAGTGTGTTTGGGAGAGACACTCGCTAGACCGGATATTCTGCTAATGTGTGCAAATCTGCTACAGAGATTTGAGATCCACCTCCCCGAGGGTGTCAAGCCACAGCTTGGTGGCAAAGTTCTCTCAGAGGGCATGGACGTACCGGTGGATTACAAGATTGTCGTCAGGGAACGTCAAAAACAATAAAATCCGAATTTATTATATTGCTATTATGGAACTTGCATATTTTAATTCTTCAGTTATGCATACTTAAATTACTGATGTACATAATTATTTAATGTGCATAGTAAGACGTTTTCACTGAAATCACACAGTATTTTTTCGTCATATATTTAGTGATTCTTTTGCAACGAAATGACTAATTTTAAACTTTTACATACAGTGAGACAAGTATTTTCGTTAATTTTAAATAGTGTGAATAAAACAGCATTATTTATATAGAGAAAAATAAAACAAACATGATTTTAAACACGTTTATTTTTTTATGTTAAATTGGCGATTGTTGGTCGTGACATATTTAAAAGCAGCAAGGGGTCGCCAAGCATAAAGAGCGACCCCAAATTACAACAAGCAGCAGCAAACAAAATGAAAGCATAATTATACATTCACTATTGATAAGCATAACAATGGCCGTTCCGGGTATATCGCGAATGGTAATTAACTTTACAGTTATATGTTATGTATTTTGCATAAACTTTACATGTATGCAGTTATCGTTTCGGGTTAACCGCGAACGTTACTAAAAATATTTTTGCAAGCAAAGCAGTGCATGAATTTGTTGAAAGCAGTAAACATTTTGCACAGCAGCTGAGTTTGTTTTAAGCAAGCAAAGCAGACCAATTCATGAATTTGTTGAAAGCAGCACACATTTTCACAGTAAATGAGTTTGTTTTAAGCAGCAGCAGCACAATGAAATATAGCATCAGTTGAATGGCTCGCAATCGGCGCAATGTGAATAAAAACAGCATTAGGAAACACTGTGGATATCTAAATGAATTTAAATTCAGGTAAATCATATGTAAGGTATGTGTTTAAGGATATATTACAGGAATGTGACATGTAAATCACTAGCTTACAATGTATTGTGTCTTTGCATTTATTCATTTTCCATTAAGAGATTTCAACATATTTTATTGAATAAATCAAACGGATTTTAAACAAGTTCTTATAACATACTAGGTCATCTCTTCCCATATTACAAAATGTCATGCAAGTTAAAGAAAAATATACTTGTATTTCACAAGTGATACAAATGATAATTGATTCTTGAAAAGAGTTGTTAAAAATTACTTTTACAAGAAAATTATTGTCACTTATTTCGATAATGGGCATGATTGAAAGAATTCGAAAAATTTTTGTTGAAGAAATATCTTGGATGAGATGCGCTACCTACCACAGAGAAAGCTACCCTGGAAAATGCTATGCTTTTTATAACTAAAAATGACACGTTTTGTTGAAATTTTAATTGTCTAATGGATTTAACCAAATTGTAGTACTGTAATTATAAGGGAACCTCAAAATGATTTATTTTTTACTTGACATTTCTGTAGGAATGAACAGTTCATTCCTATGTACACACTGTTTAGAAACGGACACATTTTCTCCTCATCAGTTACCAGTAATGTAGCAGTAATAGCTAGTACTATAAATTTTGAATTTAAGGAGAGTGGAGGCAGTATACAAATTTACAAAATATCTAACTATTGTGAGTTTTCTCATATTTATTCAGTAAGAAGTAATCGAAATTGGACCATTTCAGCTCTGAAAGTTTAAACATAGTATTAGTTCCAGTACGTGATTTCGCACCATTTCAAAAATAGTTCCAGTACTTGATTTATACAAACATCACTTCACACCATTTCAAAAGATTGCATAATTGTGTCAGTGTATTGTCACAACATTTTGTGATCAAAGTATTCCAAATTAAAACTAGTGTTGACTGCATTTTAAGGTAAGGGTTACTCTTCATGCCACTGATTTGCTTCCAGCATCGACACAAAATTAATTTTTAAAAACTCATAATATACTTTAGTAGACGATCCTTATTTAGATTTTTTTTAAATAACACTGTTTACATTCCGTGAACAAACCAGTGTGTCCTTCTTTGATGGATTCTTTTCATTTTTGCTTTTATATTTCTTACTAGTTAGCTTTTGAGTGGTATTGGTCAAACACGGATAAGAAATACGCGTTTTATTTACATTTAGTCATTATTTGAAAAGTGTAAGGAAGTGGGTCATGTTTATAATAACTTTGCTTTAGTTGTGTATTCGCCGTTAAGATCGAGTAAATTCGATCTAACTATCTAGATTTATGCCGTTTTACTTTGAGGATTGTTCTTGGAGATAAAACTCTTGAAGGTAAATCCAATACTAAATGCTATAAACTTATAGTTAAGTTCAAAATGCAGCTTTCTATATAATAATAATCTTTATTGCATAATACACCCATATGGGTCAAGCAATACAATTCAGTAAACAGAGAGCAAGTAATTTACTCCTTATATGTTACACCGACGTGGACCTTTTCTTTCTTAATTCTAGTGATTGTTTTATAAAAGTGCAAACTGCCGATATAAGTTCAAGTGTTAAACTAAGTATGTATATGGGTGATTAGAGATAAAATGAAGTTCCAACAATGTTATCTTACCATGATTTTTATAAGTATATTCCTTGCTTATATATACTTTTAAACATTGAAAAAAAAAAATTATCATGAATTATAGCATTATATAAAGTGCATAATCTTTGTTGTCATGGTATTTTCCATTAGGGCTACCACTGTTTCAATCAGTAGGCAGTGGCCACTTGTTTGAAATTTAGTGTATTTTTGAAACTCTTTTCAAACATAAATTACTCTTCCATATTTAACAAGACATTTAATTGTTAACACTTCTAACCCCAAAGATTGCAAGTTGTCAATGATGTGAACAATAATTCCCGGACATATGCTAGCTATAATTTACAGTATTCTAGGACTTGTAGGACCTGTAGACGCAGTAAATACATCAGTTATGTCATAGACTATATATTAATAAACTTTGAAAAGTTATTACAAGTGTCAAGAATGTGTCAGTGTGGCACATTTGTCTTATTTGTTTGTTTATTTCCTTTCGAGAATATTTGACTTAATGAGACGCCACCAATTACTGGTGAAGGCTTAGAATTTTAGACCTGGACTGCATTGATCAAGATCGTAGCAGCTCTTAAGCTAGCAGCTATAGGTAGTAGATTAAACAGTTCTAGATATCTCACTTAGCCGCTGTTTGTGTTATGATACATGTACAAATACCTCAGAAATGATTTCGCTCTACATAGAAGATGTGTAGAAAAAAAGTATCCTATCTTGCAATAGTAATATATATTTTTTTTTTTATTTTTGACACGTTTCAATGGTTGCACCGTGAATCCTGTGATTGCAAAGTAAAAATCATTGTATATTTTCAAATTTTTGTAAATGGACCTGATTTTTTTAACAATAATCAATAAAAGTTATTTTATCAAATATATACGTCATTCTTCAAAGGACATGTGCACAGTCAATCACATTGTCCGCGAACTTTTCTAACAATCCTTGTATGGTTCTAAATAAAATTATGATTGATCAGCAAGTTTTTAATTAATTGTTTGGTGTTTATTTTTTCTCAAAGACTTCTGTCATGATGAATACATCTGCAAATTGGCAAACTATTATTGCGGGTGTCTGTGTTGGTCTTCTTGTGTATTACGTCATCAAACGCATGAAACATCGTCTGCCACCGGGACCAAGATGCTTCCCAATCATTGGAAATTATGAAGGTAGACTGGATATTTCTAATTAAACATTTTTGATTTGGAAAACAAATTAGAGAAAATATGGCATCTAAATTAATTTTATAATCGTGTCTTTGAATGAAATATAGAACCAAGGTATTGTTAAATATTGCATCTTGGTGTTATAGGAATAGTTGCCATTTTCTTTATAATATGGTATAATTGAAAAAGAATGCATTTCTATAAGGAATATTTAAGTAATAACATAGGCATATAAAAAGCGGGGCACGTTGTCTCGTCTCTGAAGTGGATGAACCTTAAGCATTAACAAAATGTGTCCCTAAATTCCCTAGTCAGACATTTACTGTATATACTGTATATACAGTCCATGGGTTGTGTAAACTGAAAGTGTATAATTTGTAACTTGCAGTGTATTCATCACCAGATACGTACAGAAAGGTCTTCAAGATGGTGGATAAATACGGACCAGTCATCAGCATATCATTTGGTATAAATCTAGTTTTATAGACATATGGCATGTCTAGTAATAGAAGCATGTGGTAGAGGTCTTGCATTACGTAGCATAAACTGTAAAGTGGAAATCTAGTAGGGCTGCGCAATAATATCGATATTCCGGTATATTGCGATTCATTAACAAAAGATAACGTTTTGCGATACGTTTTTCCAGTACCGATATACCGGCAAACTACATGGGCTTTAGATTTCTTAAGGAGGGATTCTTGTCTGGTTTCTGACTAGATGAAATGTTCAACGTATATTTGCTTATATGTTTCATATATTTAGATGTAAGATATTTTAAAGATCATATTTTTCTTTCCTCATCACAATTATACAACTTTAAATAGAAATGGTAAACTGAGTGTGAAATCTAGCAGGGACTATATTTTTGGCGGATTGGCGGTGTATGAAAATATTCTTCTTTTCTGCCTCTCAAAATAATTATAGAACAATGAATTTAGTTATAATTTTTACACAATCAAAGACTTGGAGAAAATTTTTAAATGTAAGTTAAATTAATAACAAGGGATTAAAGTCTTAAAATATGTCAAATAAATATGACTTTCCAAACAAACTACAATTATGTTAGCTTTTAAAAGCTTCCAATCTAAGTTCAGATTTGAGCCAAAAATCCGTAAAAAGTGTTTTTTTTCTCTCATAGTAAACGGTCAAAACTTTTTGTTTTTATATCATTTTGTATGTTTATGTGACAACTTTACCATATGTGAAAATAAGAAAAATTTAAATATAGGAATCATATAAAAATAACTAAAATATCTTAAAATTTTAAGAAAAATTGAGAAAATTCGGATTAGCCAATATCCATTTTAGTTAGATTATTTATTTCAATTTGGTAATATCATCTTATAGACCGTATATGGTAATATCTCTTTATGCAAAAAGAAAAACATTTACTGTATAGGGGATTAATTTCACGGGTTGTAATTTTCACGTTTTTCTCTCCTCGGACACGATCGCGGTTTGTTGAATTCGCGGAAATGTTATATAGTAAAAGTTACCTCCCTTGTCTATATTAAATCCATAGCATAGCTAGAACGACATTAATCAGAGTTATGTATTCACTTCACGAACAACAGGGTAGGTTTACATAAAATAGTTAGATTTAATAATTAATTGACGATTAATTAAAAAAAAGTACAGTTATTAAAAACGTCGAATGACTTTCCTATATGCTATTACGATGAGTGCATGTACACCCCAAGATCTTCTTCCCGAAGGGATAATCATCGCGGCGATAAAAACCACTGGACGGTAATAAATATGTTAATTAATGTAGGTCTACGAAATAATATCCTTTCACATCTTCAGCAAGTTCGATAGTTATTTGAATGATTTCTTAAAACCAAAATGTCGATAAAAACTAATACGCAGTAATAATGCAGGTAACAAATACACGTGGTAACATCAGTTACGCACGAGTAATCAAAACCCATGACCCACGTGTTTTGATTGATGAAACATGTAGCGTTGGCTATTAAAATTAAAGTAAAGCGTGATAATTAAGATAATTGAATGACAGGTACTACTCCTAATTACTGAAATGCCCATGTACTGCAGGTATATATACCTATCGTAGTCTTTTCTCAAATTTCCAAATAAAACATGAGGTCATTGAAAACTTATTCACTGTTTCTTGAATTCACGGATTTATTAACACCGTGAATATAGCGAATACTAACACCGCGAGTTATTTTCCCCCTATACAGTAATTCATTGAAATAGAGGTAGGCATCGCATGATTGGCAACAGTAATTTTTTATTCTTAATGTCCAGGGAAAAGGTACTGACCTTGACCTGACCTTGCCTCTGATATAAAACGGTCAAATTTAATCTAAATGATACCATCACTTAGTGATATTGTCTTCTTGATTCTGTGAAAATTTCATTGATTTTTAAATATAAGAAATAAGTGTTCTTTTGAGAAGAATCCCTCCTTAAGTAAAATATGAAATTTAATAGCGATTCTCTGTAACCACTTAAACTTCTTTGCCACGCATGGTCACCGATTTTGATGAAACTTTGCCCATTATTACAACTTGACACCAGAAACATATATCAAATAAAATTTCGTTGCTATGTGTCTTGGTTGCCATGGTAACAGCCAGAAAAGTTGAAAAAATTGAGATTTTCAGCTACTTCAAATCTTTATTAAGCCTTAATAAGGACTAAGAAAAACAAACAAACCATTCTCCCAAAAACATGACACCTTGTTGCCACTTATGCTATAAGGAAACTATTTAGAATTTATTTCTAAGAAAGTGGTAACCATGGGTACATTTGGAATACATTTTAGATGCTGAAAAATGCTGAAAAACGCTCAATATTCACAAATGATAGATGTTACATGATCAAACTCAATCAACAACCTAAGAAAAACAATGAAAAATATTTGACCTTATGTTATTAGGTATTGGTTGATTGATTGTATATTGTTTTACGTCCCATTCGAGAATTTTTCACTCATATAGAGACGTCACCATATACCGGTGAAGGGCTTCAAATTTTGACCTTTACTCGGCACTCAGGGCCATTGAGCAGTGAGGGATCTTTATCGTGCCAACGCCTGTCGTGACACGGGGCCTCGGTTTTTAAGGTCTCATCCGAAAGACCCGCAACTTTCACTCCAAAGTGCCGAGCGCATGGCGAAGGAACAGTTGCTACCTATTTTTTATCGACTTAGGTCTGTCGCGGCCGAGATTCGAACTCACGACCTCCCGATCACGGAGCGAGCGCTCTACCGACTGAGCTACCGTGAACGGTCGAATATTCTTTGCTGAAACTAAGAGCTAGGGTAGTTTTACTGTTTCTGATGTTGGATATTGATGTAAGTACGTATTGGCAATATTATTCTAAAAATAACTTTCATGGTTGCCATGGTAACACAGAGTCACCATGCAAAATCTGTTGCTATGATTGGGTTAATGCTACTGTCTTGAGGAAAAACAATAAGATTAATGACTGGCACATATACATCCTTAGGACCTTGTAACACCGACAACATAAGAAAAATTGAGATTAATTGTTACTTTGCAGTGTAACCATGGAAACAACGTACTAGTTGTTTAAAGTGATATTTTTTTGCTGCCTTAGGAATTTACTTACCTTTTAATCGAGAAACTTTTTATTTGACTCACCTTGAATAGTACTTATCTGGCGGAACTAAAGTTGAATATCATATATTGATAAAGTTTGTTGAAAAATACAACACTGTTGCTATGGTTACCAAGAAGAGAAAATGTTCGATTTTGTTAATCTTTTGTCAATATTAGAACCTTTGTGCCAGTTTTTTGCATCCAGTTAGAGATTGTGTGGTAGTTAAAATTGAAAGTCAGGTTAGTTGTTCACATATATCAATCATCAAAGTTTTGGGAATCTACATACAAAGGGTATGTATCCAAGGAAACAGAGTATTTTTCAGATTTTTATGCATGTTTTTTCGCCTTATTTCCATAGCAACGCACTATCTAAAGAATTGAAATTAAATTTTTTGAAATGTGAAAATTAGGGTCACACCAACGCCTTTAAAAATTGATCATCAGTTATATAAAAATATGCTTTTAAAAAAGATAGGATAAGATTAAAACACTAAGAGAGTAAATTCAAAATCCCTTCGTGGTATTAAAACCATGGCAACCATTGCCAACCTATAAGAAATATCATATTTCGTCCTTGATATATGTTACAAGGATCTCTTTTCTATTGTTTGCTTGCATTTCAACCTATAATTGTTTTTATTCTTAAGTGTATGACTTTATAAAATTAAATAAACAAAATTATTACTTTTGAATACTTTGTTTCCATAGTAACGTATGTTATAGTTGATTTACCAAACATGTTTATCATGCATTTAAGACACCAGGCCTTCAACTTTCAGAAACAGTCATTGCTACTTGTTTGCTTTGCTGCAAACGTCAACTGTGGGACTCTGAACATGTTGAAAAATGCCATTTTTCAATCTTTAGGACATGTTGCTATGGTAACCATGACACGTAGCAACCAATTTTTGCTTGATTTGAGTTTACGGTATCAAAGACTTTTATTATAGAGAATTTGGAGAAATTCTGAGACTATGCATGCCACAGCTCCTATATAAAAGTTCAAGTCATTACAGAGAATGGCTCTTAATAAGTCAGAAACGTTTTCAGTCGTTCCAAATAGTACCAAACGGTAAGGTTGCTGTTGTATGGTTGCATTTCGTTCCAAAACTGTAGTGAAATCAACAAAAAATACTTTGTTACAATGTATAGCAGTTTTACACACGTTGCTCATAGATGGAGGTTGATAAAATAAGAAAAAAAGCATTTTAACTGTCATAAAAATATTGCAATACATATCGCAATACAGTTAAAAATATCGCAATATATCACAGTATAAAATTTCCAGCCGATACCCAGCCTTAAAATCTAGTATTATAACATATGGTATATGTGTAGTATTATAGACATGTGGTGAAGGTATAAGGTAGAAGTCTAGTATGAAAAAGTTTTATAGACATATGGTAAAATCTAATATAGAGATTCCCTTATTTTCTTCTTTGTTGCATGTAAATTGAAGAAATCTTTAATTGTAAAAACCAGAATCGTCTCTTAATGAGATTATATAGATTTGTTTTCTTTGCGCGAAAAATATGAGGGAATTCATGCATGGTTAAAAAAAAAACAAGTAAAGTCTCTAAAAAGATTATAAAGGTATACCTTTTTATAGGTCCAATGAATTGGATTTTTCTGAACAACATTGATGTAGTGAATGAAGCTTTTGTGAAAAGACAGGAAGATTTTGCTGGGCGACCTCAGATGACATCAGGTACGTCTATGTAACTGTGAACTGGTAACAAGGAATACTTAATTATAAATAGCAATTGTGTACTATATTCTACTATAAATATATTATAAAACCACTTATACTATGTATATTAATCTTCGAAAATACTGTAAAGCATTCTCAATTGTTAGGTTCGAGACATTTTCCGATAGTGTTTATTTTGGGCCTTCCACGCGCTAGTAAAATAAACTTAAATCAAGTAACGTAATTCGTATTATTTACAGGGAAAATGTTCACTGATGGAGGTAAGGATATTGCCTTTGCTAATTATTCCCCGATGTGGAGACTCCATCGGAAGGTCGCAGCCAAAGCTCTCCGGTAGTGACGTCATAGGTCTTTTTCATCTCTATCACTATGTGACTTTCTCATGTATTTTTCAGCAAGAAAAGCAAGTTTTGCTAAGTCTTTTCAGATTGAATACTTCTTTTAAGTTTGATTGTAAGCTGCAGAGTACATGTAGATATAATTCTAATTAGCTAATCCATCTAATTTGGAACTACAAGCCAGATTCTGAAGTAAAATATTTATATGAGCTCATGAAATCCCATTCCAGTTTGTAAAATTGTAACATTTATTAGAAACTGTTATAATCAATGATAATCAAAGTATTCACGCAGTTTGATGTTTGCGTTTATAACAGTAAATATTAAGCCTTTCCTGATCATAAGAGTTTTTATACGTTGCTAGGAAAACGCAATATGACCTACAAACTCCATTTCTTAATGAGTTTAATTTATTAATAACAGTCATTATCTACAAGGAAGCCTGTTACAGGATATGATACAAGAAAATATGACTAAATTCATGGACAAGATGGCTAAAGAAACAGAAGCATTTGTACCCAGAGATTACATTAATTTGATTGTTTTCCATCAACTCTATACCGTGTGTTTTGGAGAAATGTAAGCACTTACATCTAAAAAGTTCAACAATATTTAAAATTAGTATATGCAACTAAGCGTAATAGGAGAGTAAATAAATACTTGTGCATAAACAGGACATTGAAATAGCAAATAATACTATTATTTGAATAACATACCATGCATGTGATTTTGAGTAGGAGACCAGCAGATGACCCGGAAGTGAAGGAATTTTTGAAAACATATGAAGATTTTGTAGTCGACTTTGGCGCAGGCTCACTGGAAGATCTCATTCCCTTTCTCGTACATATTTATCAGACCGCCAAATACAAAAAACTTGTGAGACAAAAAGAAAAACTTTTCTCTTTCATCAAACAGAAATACAACAAACACAAGGAGTCATTTGATCCCAGTATGCATGACTAATTCATATTTTAATTTAATCAAAATTAAAATTTCTGTTGACTTCCAGATCCTTTCCTTTTCCAATGTGTAAAATTTAAATCTATAAATTCTTTCACTTAGGTATCAACAGAGATTTCATTGACAGTTTGCTGATTGCAAAGCACGAAGCTGAAAGTGAAAGTGCAGAGAACGATTTAGAACAGTTTGATGACGTGTATCTGATTCAAACTGTGGCTGATATTTTCTTTGGTATGATGACAAGTAACAAATATAGTTTTTTTTTTAAATAAAACTTTTCAAGGCCCCTTACCAAACGGTATTTTGTTTAAAGAATATGTCTAATATGATTCACCTGACCACCACCGAAAATTTCAATATGCGAAATTAACAGCAAACACATTACTTATAAACCTGTCAAAAGCAGTCTTTTGGCTAGAACATCAAATTTGTAATTTAATTGTATCAAGATACATTGAAGGCATGGATGAACATTATAAATCATAGTATAATATGTAATAATATTTGTCCATTAAAGCTGGAACAGATACCACCAAAACGATCATGGACTGGTTTGTGTGTTACATGTCTGGACTTCCCGATATACAAGCCAAATGCCAAGAGGAAATTGACAACAATATAGGTTTATTTTCTTGATATTAAAAGGTCATCATATGTAATTAAATAATGCAATTAGGCATAAATATGATTTAGATCCCCGCCTGAAACTTTTGAATCCATAGTGTGTTTAAAAAAGAGACTTCCAACATTTCCTATGCTCAAGATTTCAGCAGCTTTAATTTTCTTCAACACCACAGGCAGTAGACAATTGACAATGAAGGATCGTCACAAGTTAGTATATGTTGAAGCCTGCCTTTGTGAAACCATGAGATTGGCTCCTGCTGCTTCTGTCGGTGTTCCTCATCTTACACTTAGCAACACAGAAGTCGGTTAGTTTAGTTATACTGTAAAATCACATATTTTCGTGGGGTCAAATTTTCGTGGTTTTAGGAAAAAATATGGGCTTGTGGGGATTTGATTTCGTGGAAGAAGAATTGTTGAGTAGTAATATATGTGGGAAAATGACATTTCGTGGTGGACATAAATTCGTGGGTCTCGTCATACCTCGAAATCGACGAAAATAAACCCCCACGAAAATTAATGATTTCACAGTATGTACTCTTTAGACCCAGAATATGTTTGAAAATATCAATTGTAATTTTCTTTTAAGTGGGCTCTAAAAATTCATGAAAAAGTTTTTTTTTTATTTTGACTTAAGAAAATTGCATCATACGATGTACTCGTATAAATGAGGACCCCCTCCTCCACACTAACTATACACTGTAATATTGAGTTAATCGAATTCATTTTAATCATATGAATACATGGTTTCCCTGGAAAATGTTCAAAAACAGTGTATTAGTGAAGGTAAATCACTTGTTAATTAACAGTGTGAAAATACATGCAAAATGAAATATGTATTCAATTACTTCACCTTTGACTCTCATATTTTATTAAGAATACTTTAAAATCTATCATAACTTGTGTCATTCATTCATTTTTCTTAGTGTATAGATCTATGCGCACATCGAATTAGAACTCTTCAGTGTGCAGTGTTTAGAGCCTCCTTAAGGTTCATAAACCCTCTGCTCACTCAAATAAAATGTTTCTTTAACTCTTATGATTTTCCAAAAGAAATGTATTTGTTAAGCAAAATACAAACAATTATAGCATAGCTTGCAGGGTAAAATTGGACAAAAAAGACGCATCAACTTGACAAATTTATAAAGGAATAATATACATTTGTCATTAAGAGTTATCTCTCTTATCAGAGTATCGACGAACCTCAATTTTTTATTTTTATATCATTTGAGACGCTAAGAAGCGCGCAATATGTAAATGATCTCTAATTAGTTAATTCCAATTAAATCATTTTGATTTTCAATGAATATCGTTTTTTCCATCTTCAGGGGGCTATGACATTCCAAAGGGAACCGTGGTTTTGGCTAATTTTTTTGCACTACATCGAGATCCGAAGCATTGGGAGAATGCTGAGACATTTGATCCAACACGGTTTCTGGACAAAAATGGAACATTGACAACAAAACGCGAGAGTTATCTTCCATTTTCTGCGGGACGTCGAGTGTGTTTGGGGGAACCAGTGGCAAAACCAGAACTACTTCTCATGTGCGCGAGCCTCCTACAGAGATTCGAACTTCGTCTTCCAGAAGAGGTTAAGCCAAATTTTGATGCAGTCCCTTTATCTTTTGGCTTAGAAATTCCACACAGTTATAAAATTGTTGTCAAGGATCGCAATACGTCATGATGTAGTTTTAGTTACAAGAATAAGCAATAAAAGTAGGAATGGTTACTTTTTTGTGTTATGGAATTGGTGAATGGTTTAATATTTTCAAAGGATTGTGGCGTAGATTACACACAGGATGTCTTAAGTTCACACTGATAATAAAGTTACATTCAACATACATGTATACCCTGGTGAGCTAAAAATATTTTAGATTCAAAAGCTGATTTTTCAGTCGTTGGCAAGACCCAATATTGAAATAGCCAGTACAGGCCTGTGCCTTCATTGCTTGAAAAACACCAGCACCAGTGACAGATTTATAAGAGGTTACATTTTGGACCCCCTCCTCCACACTTACCAGAAAGTATACATGATGTATGGTGGAAAAATCTGAATTTATGCAATTAATATATGTCATTAACATTTTGGATCATCTGATGTTTCTAAATGACATAACTTAAGAATTCCCTCTTGATAAGGAACAATGCATCAATAACAGTGAAAATAAACTGATTTTTCCAATGCTAAAATATGCTCTAAGGTGGCAAATAAAGCATGCTACATGTAAGTAAATCACTTTTACAAGTTGATACGACTTGACTTTTAGCATATACACTTACATGAAGTCCTATGGATTAAAATACAGTGGCCTTGTTTACCTAGATGCCAGAGATCTGGTTGCTTCAGTTCCAAACATCTTTGGGTCACAGACTTTATCTGGTTTTCTATAAAGGTTTTTTTTTTTGAAAAGCGATTCAATACTTCGAAGCTTTAGTTAAGCAGACAATTTTGTTCCAGATTACATTTATTGGGGCATAACAAAAGCAATGAAGCAGTCCAGATTACAGAGTTATTGAGACATATAACTAAAGCAGACAAAGAAGCAATCTAGACTATAGGGTATTGGGGCTAATTGAAGCAGACAATAAAACAAGTCCACATTACAAAGGCACCAAAATACACAGAAAATGAAAAAATACACCAGATAGAAATAAGTGTGATAAAATTTATTTTACATACACACAATGTACATGTACAGAATAAATAAAACACTAATACCTATGTAATAGTTGTTTCTTTCTTCACTTCATGCACATTATTTAGGACAATTACAGTTTAGATAATTAATTTTTCTTTTTTAACAAAATGAGATGAAATACATTTAAGCTCACTGATGGCTGATTATAATTTTATTCACAAACTGAAAAATTAAAAATATTTCATACTTTAATACATGATAAAATGGATATTAAAATAAATTTGTACAATATGACCTACGTTATGTTCTGCAACACATACATGCATGTACATGATGTATGCTGCCAGAAGAGGGTCTAATGTCAACATGAAAACTGACCAATCAGCAAGGGCCCTGCTGAGGGACGTATATCTAAGGGAGGGTTTGGGAGTGATTGTGATAACTTGATAATGAAGAAAAAATTGAAAGGAAACTTTGAATAAAAAAAAGATTGATTCTTTGAAACAAATACAACATTTATGAAATTATAATATTTTATTGACGAAATACTTAAAATTATGAGTCATTAAAACTTATTTCAACCAAAATAAAGTATACATTTTATAAATACCAACCCTTAGAAAATGCCAACATCACCCAGCAACAACCCTAACTTCACACAAATATTACTTGAGGACAGTGGTATTAGTAAATGTGAAATAGATTTCTGTGCAACAAGCACGGGGACTCTTCAGAGTTATATCCCCTTCTACTAGATTCTTTGTCAATTCATTCTTACAAATTGAGAAATCTATCCTACACTCCCTACCAAAATTCTGACAACATAATGAATCAACCTTGGTATCAAAATACATGCATATGCTTGCTGAAACAACATACCAAAATTTGAACATTGTTAGACAATCAAAGAACAAGTTATTGGGAAGAAATTTTTTGTGAAAGGATGGACAGACAGAGTGATTACTACAGGGAACCTGCAAATTCTTATTGGGCCCTAATAATAACTCTATACTACACACAGCTACCCAACATATAATGTGAACATATACATGTATGATTCCAACCAAATTTAAATAAAGATGCAATGTTTGCTTAAGAAGTCAAAAATTGAAAATGCAAAGATGATATCTACATTGTGAATATTACATGTTTAAAATTAACATTTATATAACATTTTTTGGACACCATTTCACACACACTACATACTTCTAAATATAAATTTATAACTTTTCAGTAAGTCTTAAAAAGAATCCCTTATTTACAATACATTCACTTTTTTTATTACAGTATCCATGCAAAGCCTAGAGAAATTTACATAAATTCTATTACACCATAACTTACAAATATTGTACAGTTCAGGCCAATAGAATATTTACAATTAAAAATAAAATTGCTATATAAAGTAAGACCCTCAAGACTCATTTCATTTAAAATATCTTAAAATCCGTAAGTTTTGCATTAAAAATATTTCATTATTCATTTATTCTGTACTATAACATTAATTCAAAGTTTAAACATATTAATTGAGAAAAAAAAAACAGTGCTATGAAACACACAAATTACAAAGGAACAGCTGGAATATCGATAACTAGGTCATCGGAACCCTCATCGCTATCATCGAACATAGGTGCCACAGCCAGAGGGTTTCCAGCAGATTTCACTCGTTTACCCTCTCCTTTCTTGGAATCTCCAACACTCTGTTTTCGGGGTTTCTTGCTTCCACCAGCACCCTGGTCCTCTTCCGGCTTTGTGTTCAGGTTGCGCTTTTTCACCAGGTTTTCCTTCAGAATGGCTTTGGTTCTGGCTTGGCCATTGCTGTCCTCTCCACCCTCGTCAGACTGGGTGTCGGAGGATGCACAACTTGAAGACGTGACCTCGTCATGCTCCATACAGACTGACACTCCATCTATGTCTTTCATGTGGCCCTCGGTATGGGTAGCACAGAAGGAATTGGGACATTCGCCACACATCGTTACAGCTGGCTTTCCGCATTCATCGCAGTGATGCCATGGGCAGTCCCATTTACCTGGAATAAATTCACACTGTAGCTTAGTACATCATTTACTCAATATCTGCAGCAGAAATCTAAGATAATAATTGAAGGCAAGACTTCCGACAAAGATTCCTGATATCAGTTGATAATTTTTATAAAAGAGCAGTTTTAATAACAGACCTGCCTACCCTTTTTATTGCGAGGGTGTAATTTCAATACTCATTTTGGCGGAATTTCAGAGGTAAAAGCGTAATCCTTTATGTTTCCCTAGTTTGATGTTTTGCAATGATACTATATTGTCTAAATAATACCTGTAATTGTATATCATTGAACAAAGCAAGCATGAATGTTTCTTTTTCAAATCATTTATTAACAAAAAGTCCGTGTGTTGTAAAACTGGTATCCTAAATGCAGTCATATCAAACTTATTTAACTTACATGCCTAATGAACTTTTGGAAAATTTCTAGCAAATCACATAATTCAGAGTCTCATTTCCATTTTAATACAAATTCTACATTATTGAGCTATGTTGTTTTTGTTTTCCTTACATTTACTTGTCTCTATGTTGTTCTAAGCAAAGTAAGAATAAACTGAATTGAAAATTAAATTGACTTTACTTATTGCACATATCATTAAATTTTTTTTTTTCTTCTAATTTTTGGCATGCCTACCATTTAAAATGCATAACTACAAGGTATATTACGTATGTTGTTTGTATCGTAAATAATCATATTGTGAAGAACTGAAACCTTCTATTAATTGGTATTATTTACCTCCTCTTTTTTATTTAGGAAAGCCTTTACTTTAACTCTCAAGTTAGCCTTTCATTAAGTTGTCTAGGAAAAATATTTAAAAGCGTAAAATTAAATTTCATGGCGTAACAGCGTAATTTTGAGGTAAAAAGCGGAAGAATTATGCCAAAAGCGGAAGGGTAGGCAGGTCTGTAATAAACAAGGAAAGTTAAAAAGTTTTCTGAACATAATCATGATCTTGAGATATATTTAGAGGACTTATTGCATGTTTCTCAATTGCTTAAAATTAAAAAGGTATTACATTCCTTACGATCATAGTTTATAAAATTTGTGTTTTTAGTGCAGGCATACCATGTAAATTAAACATTATTTGACTCAAATAAAAATCACCGAATTAAAAATCTGAGTTAATAAGATAGCGATCATGTCACTGTGATATGTCATATGCGACAATGGCTGCCAGTTGTTTAGGTTAATCTGCGATATAATCTAGATTTTCTGAATTTAATTCTGAATTTAACAATATTTGTGTTTAACAGAATTGTGTTTATAACCAAACAAAATGGTTTGTCCTAAGCACTTCACTGCAAGAGAGTTTTACTGACTTCTATACATTCCTATGTTGTTCTTCCTGTTTTTTAAATAGGTACTGTGACCCAAGATAAAATTGAAATCTACAGTACACTGAAGTTCCAATATTTTATTTTCTATATACACTATAGTACTGTACCTCTCCATAACTGAAGTAAATTTGGACAACACTGATCTAATATTATCTTCAAAACAGATTTTCTCCACTAAGACATCACCCCAGGTGATAAAGCTACAGCGGACTAGTGGTACAAAAGAGCATATTTTCCTCAACATGACTGCAGTGAGCTACATGTAAGTAGTGACAATCAAAACAACCTTTGACCTGTAAAATGAATTAATTATTTACCATGTGGGGGTTTGGACAGTTTCAGACAATGTAAGTGGTACACTTTAGGGCAGCCCGTACGGTCACACATCACTAGCTCTCCTCCCTCTCCACATCGGAAACATTCATCGTCATGTTCCTTCTTTCCATCACCTTTCTTCTTGTTTCTCTTCTTTTTCTTTTTTTCATCCTTTTTCTTACTTTTAGCTACTGAAGCAGCCACAGCAGACTTTAAGAAAGAAAAATTTTTGTGACTCACACATTTTTTTCATTTTAATCTACATAAGAAAAGGATCAGAGGAATCTTTATATACATACAATTTTTTAATTTTACGCCGGTTATTTATGAATAGTCTTTAGCGATCAACTTACTTTTGGTCTCACACCAAGGAAACCACTGCATAGCTCAGCTCCACAGTTACACTTAGTTTTGTCATTTCCCAGACATTCCAGATTATAGTTGAATGTTAACTCAGTGCCTAAATATGGTAAATAAAATCAAGTATAACGCCATGTCCTCAGGAATATAATCAAAGGTGCAATAAGGAGGAAAAAAATCTAAAATGTTCAAAAGGGAAGAGCATGCCCCCGAAACACTAGTGACTATATTTTTACCTGCAGGGATATCACAAAGTGCAAATAATCCCACACGGACATCCCCATTGGCTGTCCACTTCTGGGTCTCACAGTTTGGTGCACAGCTGTGATTCATAAATCGGGACAGGTTGCCCTTTGGTCCAGCATCAATCACTCTGTCAAAGAATTTGATCACGTTAGGTACACATGTATTGAGAAAGCCTTGAACACATGTTAACATGAAAACAAATGTATGCTAATCCAGATGAATGTTTTAATCGAGTGTGAATTATTTTAAAAGGCTTGACCAGTTTTCTTTTCTCACCTATTTTTGTCTAGGGTAAGCATGTAATAGTTGCTGATGTTATTTTCATGTGATTCATCAATCCTTCTCTTGACCTCATCTTCATCAATAAGCTCTCCTACATATTCATGTACAAATTGTCCCTGAAACAATGGCAGCAAGAATTCAGCAATGCAAAATAATCATAGTATTGAAAATATTTCTATAAAGTTACAACATAAGCCCTGCAACCTTGATCTTGTCTAGTAGGGATGCGCGATTTTATCGGTATACCAGTATATCGCGATTTTTGCACTGCGTGATACATGTACGTATCGTGATACGGAGACTAAAATACCGGTATTTGGTACATAACTATAAATTCCGGAAATTATTCATTTATTTGTTCAAACTATTGAATGACAATTATAGGAAGTGTAAAAAAGGTTGAAAACAGTTAAACAACGGCATCAAAATATGCTTTATATTAAATAAATGAAAATTTAATAAGTAAAGTTATGTTTTTATAGCATATTTTTAAAAAATGTTAAAATTCATTTGAAATTGTAGTAAAAATTGTGTGTAAAAATATTACGATTTATCGTGATATTTTTGGAAAAAAATCGTGATATATCACGATACGAAATTTTTGACGATACCCATCCCTATTGTCTAGATAATCTCATTTCCAGGTCATGGAACAATAATAATCAAACCTCCATCTACATTTCCAACCCAGTGTCATTGACATTGTCCAAATGTCCATGACTCTAGGTTATCACACACCCCCTGGTTATAAACAAGTTTGTGGTTGTTATCAATATAAAACTAGAACTGTCCAAAAGGGACAAATACCCCCTGCTGGGTTTTGCAGAGAAGGTACCAAATCACTAATGTTTTCTAGATGTGAGAGGTGTTCACAATTTGCTTAAACATTTAGAGTGAAAATTTAATTACTCATTATATTTTTTTTAAAGAATGAAACTAATGTGCAGTCTAATAAAACACCAATACTAATAATTGCAGTGTTTTTTATTACATTGAAAAAATAGTTTGCAACTATCTGTCATCTTTGTGAGACATGACACTCTGCAAATTGATTGTTGAAAAAAAAATATCATAATTAATTATACAAAGTCAAATTAATCGACATAATACCTTTATATCAAACTCATTCTAAAAATAAAAGGCTGGTTTCAGTAACTATGTATTTTGACAGACATAAATTACAATTAAGAGACTTAGACAACAGAGATCTTTATTTCTTTCTGCCCAATTCCCAGGAGATATAGATAAGACCTGCTTGATCAGAGATGCCCTAACAGCTTCCCACACTGAACTCATTAATTAATCTTTAACTGGATGCAGTGATTTTTCTACATTTTTTAAAAGGGGCCTGGGCCTTAACAATTGGGAAAAATCATCGACATTTGTGTAAAATTGGGAAAAATCAATAAGATTGAAATAAACCTTAATTGACAGGTAAAATAAAATATGTAAGTAAATGTAACATCATTTATTCAAAATATTTACTACAAAATAACAAATTAGACACAGTTCTACATTTTAACTTTTTTTTTTAATCTTTGAAAGTTGTCATTAGTTGTGACCGTCCTATATTTCAATTCTTTTTTTTTTTTTTGCCATAATGGTAGACATAAAAAAAAATCCTACTCATGATAGCCATTGAAGATGATATAATCTGACATGATTTAAAACAAATCATTTTTCTTCTAGCTTTCTAAATCACCCTAATCATTGTGCTGCAATTACCCTGCAATATTAGTTGCATCTGCCAGGTGTAGAAACAGTTTGATTTTCATGGAATCAGGGATGCTTGTTGTAGAACTACTAGTTCTTGGATTTACAAATAAAGCTATGTTTCGCCTGTTCACATGCATCTTACACTTTCTTACGATGTATTTAGTTTGACATGATCCATGTGTTTTTCTATGTCTTGTAAACGCACAAAATGATCTGCTGTTTTTCACTATTATTTTAAGAGTATGAATGACCGAGAGCAATAGCGTTCCAATTTAGATAAGTCGTACATAAAAAATTCAGTATAACAAAATCAATAACGGTTTTTCTGGGGGAAAAAAAACAACTGAAATTGGGAAAAAATCGGTAATTTTTGATAGGGGAAAGGGCCGATATTCGGACCTAAATTGGGTGTAGAAAAATCACTGGGATGCATGTCCACTCATTACTCCAAAGGGACAAATAGATTTACACTATCTGCCGTGTAATGTAAAAACTGTTTTTAATATTTTGTGATTTTTTTTTTGTTCTGATGAGTAGTTTTAAGCTGTAGTTCACATTTTTGTACAGATATTCTAGATTCTAAGTCTCAAACCTTAGACATGAAGTCAATAAAAATGAAAAAAAAACACCTGTAAAATGCAGAAAAATTATCAAATAATGTTGAAAATACCAGGTGCACATCTTCATATGGTAAATAATAAGTGTACAAATTTTCATACAAATCTATGCAATAGTCTATGGGAACAGATCTGGACAAAACCACATAATAAAAATGAAAAAAAAACACCTGTAAAATGCAGAAAAATTATCCAATCATGATGAAAATACCAGGTGCACACCTTCATATGGTGAATAATAAGTGTACAAATTTTCAGACAAATCCTAGCATTAGTTTCCAAGAAATGGTCCGGACAAAATCTCGTCTACAGACAGACAGACATGCAGACTCCAATATACCCCCCCCCTAAACTTCGTTTGCGGGGGGTATAATTAAAGACCTACTTTTTTGATGTCCACATTTGTTCTGAGCCCCCAGCCTCTTCCCTCTGTTTTAAATGGCGTACAGTCGGGATATTCTCGTCTCTGGAATCGCTGGTTATGACACTTCTCCCCACACTGGCAGACACTAGGGTGACACTCGTACATCAGCATACGATTTAAACAATCCGTGTCACTGCTGCAGGGGGCCTCGTGATTTGGATCACACTCACACCGAGGTATACTAGTCAGGTCTGGTTTGGGAATTACTACGCTTCCAACTGGAATGTTATTCTAAAAAAAATAAATACTAGTATTCCAACAAGTGTCAGATTATATAGATATTTATTGCATTTTCATATTCATCATAACTTTTATATCAGAATGTTAATTACATATAGTTATTAACAATAATATAATCTAACATAAAAGTTCATTTGGTCTCTCTTAAGCTGGATACAAGAACAAATCTTTTTTATATTAAACATTTTGTAACTCTACATAACTTTCAATGTTCATATTATGTAATAGTTTGAATGTGTTATTTGTGGACAAAGAATCCATGGCAATAAGTGATTACCTTGACAAATTTGAAAGGAGCTGGCTTCTTTTCACTTCTCTCTATCAGCATCTTCTCCTTGTCTGCACGGAGTGCCTTCAGGGCTTGGAAAGCCTCGGTTGCCTCTTGTACACCTGAAACATGCATGTATACAAATCATTAATTAAGATGAAGATTTTTGCTAATTTATTATGAGCTCTATTTTAACAAGCACACAACACACGATACCTAAAATACCATTAAAACTATGAGGGAATTTATGCCCCTTTCCCAGAATTTCAATGAGACTGTAATTCCTAGGACAAACCTCTTGCAAAAATTTTTGCTAAACTCTTATTCCTTGTTGTTTCTCTGCTGTATTTATCACCATCATGAAATCCAAAGGCTCTGTAACAGAAAATACAGACATGTAGACATCTTTACTTTCCTATTATTCTCCCAGTAGTCTCTTCTTTTTCTCTTCAAAACAGTTTGTGGTTTGACTTTATAAAAATACCTGAACAATGAATTGACCAGACGAAGTCCCATACTGTGTGTAATGTACATGGGTCAAGACAGAGAAGTATTTACCATTTTTATTGCTTCATGCATCTCTGGTTTTTAAGCTTTGCTGTCCTTCAGGTCAATTTCAAGGCAACTGCCCGTTTTCATTCAGGAAACATTAAAAGATGATACAGAAACAAGAGGCCCAAGGGCCACATCGCTCACCTGAGCACTGTGGCTAGGAAAAAAGGAAAAATCAGTTTAGTATTGAAAAGCTTGAATGCATAAGTGGTCCCAACCTACCCTAAAAATGGAGTGGGGGGGGGGGGGGGGGGGGGGGTGGGGGGTGGTTGTCATGATTTGAACAAACTTGAATCTACACTATCTGAGGATGCTTCCGTATAAATATGACAAACCGTGGCTTTGCTGTTCTTGAAATTTTTAAAGATTTTTCCTATATATTCCTATGTAAAACTTTGATCGTCCATTGTGGCCCCACCCTACCCCCAGGGGTCATAATTTGAACAAACTTGAATCTACACCACCTGAGGATGCTTCCACATAAATATGACCAATCATAGCTTTGCTGTTCTTGAGAAGGAGATTTTTGAAGATTTTTCCTATGTACACCTATGTTAAACATTGATCGTCCAATGTGGCCCCACCCTACCCCTGGGGGTCATGATTTGAACAAACTTGAATCTACACCACCTAAGGATGCTTCCACATAAATATGACTAATCATAGCTTTTCTGTTCTTGAGAAGAAGATTTTTGAAGATTTTTCCTATATATTCCTATGTAAAACTTTGATCGTCCAATGTGGCCCCACCCTACCCCCGGGGGTCATGATTTGTACAAACTTGAATCTACACCACCTGAGGATGCTTTCAAATAAATATGACCAATCATAGCTTTGCTGTTCTTGAGAAGAAGATTTTTAAAGATTTTTCCTATATATTCCTATGTAAAACTTTGATCGTCCATTGTGGCCCCACCCTATCCCCGGGGGTCATGATTTGAACAAACTTGAATCTACACTACCTGACAATAATTCCACATGAGTTTCATCTTTCCTGGCCCACTGGTTCTTGAGAAGAAGATTTTTCAATAATGCCATTAATTTTTTGCTATTTCGTAATTATCTCCCCTTGGAGGAGGGCGTGGCCCTTCATTTGAACAAACTTGAAACCCCTTCATCCAAGGATACTTTGTGCCAAGTTTGATTGAAATTGGCCCAGTAGTTCTGGAGAAGAAGATGAAAATGTGAAAAGTTTACAACAACAACGACGCCGACGACGCCAACGCCGACGACAGACAACGGACAAATTTTGATCAGAAAAGCTCACTTGAGCCTTCAGCTCAGGTGAGCTAAAAAGATATACAAGTCCTCACCTTCCTTTATGGATCCAAAAATAATCATTGGTTCCAAAGAAATGGACTGGGAATTCCCCAACCTGGTGTGTCTTCTCTTGTATATTATGAGGCACCCGTTTTGGGTGGCATATTTCAGAAGGCCACCACCTATCATAAAAGGAAATCAATTCTTATCTTTTTATAAAGAACCAAGAATCAGTTCTATCTATCTATCTATCTATCTATATATATATATATATATGTATTAATTAAAAGAGAATTCAACGATTGAAAATAAAATTAAAACCAATAAATGTAGCTGATATTATTCCCATGCTTCTGTTCCTCAAGATCTGTTGTTTAAACCCAAAGACTGAATTCAAATTCAATGACATTCCGAGTTTTAAACAAAAATCATTTATGCGACTTCTTCAATTAGAAATTTGCTCTTCAAATCTAAACATTTGCTTTAATTACAACTTTAATTTCATCAAAGATCTCAAATATTTTCACTTCAGTCTTCACTTCTTACATCTTTATAAAGTCAAAACTCTGTAAATCAAAACTTCGCCAGACTTATGAAATATATCTGAGAGTTTGAAATACTGAAGTTGAAACTTAGGGCCATAATATACATGTATATGCAATCTGGACATTAGATACACTTCAACATATCCCTGTCATTTGAAAAATACATGTACAAGTATTCAAGACAATAAACTTCAATTGTTTCTGAGAATATTAACAAGCTTTACCTATAACTCCCAAGTTTGACCCAAACAATGTCCCCATATAAGAGCTGTTTGCCGATGGAGCAATCATTACAGTACCAATTGCCTTCTGGTGGATTTATATTTAAGCACTCTGCATGAAAAGAGGCTGGGCAACTGTCACAGCAAATCAGGGATCCACCTGTAGGTAGAACAAGGGTGTGTTCAACAACTGATGAAAAATGTTAACTCTTACCTTTAACATGTACATGTACCGTATATACTTGCCTATAAGTCAGTCCACCTGTAAGTCGTTTGTAATTTTTTAGGTAATTTTGGAGGGATTTGCTATTGACCCGGATATAAGTCGGTACAACTTTTTGCCAGAATTGGATGACAATTTCAAATCAATGCTCTGATCTTTTAACCTGGTTTAAGTAATTTTTTAAGAAATGATGCCAATATTTAATTTTAATTCATAAAAAAAATAAGTGTTGCACACTTAGGATACACCAAAGGTTTCCAAATGCCAGAATTTAATTTGCATGTAATTCTTTCATTATCAAAGATAACATAATAAAAGTATATATCATTTGAAAGTTTGTTAAATTTACTATTTAATTATCCTAATTTCAACTTTAATTAATAACTTATTTAAAAATTATTTAAATATTAATGTAAATTTTAGTGCATAAATATTTTATTAATCAACTTTTTTGTATTTAACCCCTCAAAGTGGTCATTTTGCCTAAAGGTAGATTAAAGATTGAACTTAAAAACTGTATCTCAGATTTTTGATACATTTTCTAATTCAAAAGTTACAGCCATTTGCCCTTCAATGTTACCAATTTATTAGCCTAATTTAACATTTCACTCAATAATTCCAAAACTAGCTAGATATCAAAAATCTGAGATACGGTTTTGTGAACACACATTTGAGAAGCAGCCCATCCAATTTTCAGAGAAATTGGTCAATAAATAAGGGAGCTGAATCCTTTGAAATAATACCACAAACTGTCTGATCTTACTTTACAGTAGAGGGCAAAAACCCATTACACAACAAAATCTGCCAAAGCTAGGAATATATGACACCTTGGAGATTCAGCTTTGGATACCTGTCACTTAGCCATATTTCCCATGCATATTCACAAGAATGGGAGGTTCTTTTCTCTATTTAGATGCTTTTAATTAAGTAAAAATAGGTTCAATTCTGAATCAGAAAGATTTCCCGGCAAAATGGCAAGAACTAAGCTCCACCTCCTATTTTATGGTCATCAGTGATCTGTTAGATCTCTTTCTCTAAATCTAGAGTCCCTGTAGTTTAATTACTGATAACCTCTGTGTGGCTAGTGAAGAATTCCCCAAGTGGTCACAGTGATTTATTGCGTCTTTCATGAGCAGGCAGTCACAGATCAAATCAGAAGCTTCAATAACGGGACATTCACATGTGGCAGTGTTTATGTTTCATTATTGTTAAATAATTAGAAAACCATTTCATAATTACCAAGAATTTAACATGCACTATAAAGCAGTGATTAACTTCTTTTTCTTGGCCAAATATCTCAAAATTGTTGAAAATCTTGAAAAAAGCCTTTGGTGTATCCTTAAAAATAAAATTAATGAAATATGTAAATACTTGTACTTTATGCATAATCTCAGAATACAAAAATGATATTATACATCCAGGCTTTATTCAACGATAATCGTCAAAAATGTTTCTAAAATACTCTACGTTGCTGTCCAAAAAAATGCTAATTTTTTATGGCTCGCCTATAGGTCAGACATAGAGTTTTGGACCAAAATTTAACTCCCAAAAAACCGACTTACAGGCGAGTATATACGGTATTAAATATTAGAAACTATGCATGATGTGCAGTGTGTTTCACTAATCTACTACAATTCTACTACTGATCTCAAGTTAAATGCTGTAGTTAAACATCTTTGGGACTAAAGATTTTTCTTTCTCAATGCACTCTAGTGAAAAGTGAGTTTGTATGCAAGTTTTCAAAGTGAATGCAAATTCAGTATTTGGATAAACATGACCACAAAAATTTATGGAAAGAGAATGAAATTCAATTCAGATTTGTAACTAAATATTAAAATACCAACCTAAATTGCAAACAAAACACCAGCTGACGTTTATATGAGTGTGGTATTTTTGTGTGCGGTTTGGTTGGAAATGTTTACTGCAAACGATGTTGTATCCGGGCAGATTTTCACTCCCAGCAGCAATGCAGAAGTCACCAGTGTGGTAGGCTGTCGGACATCTAACACAACGGACAAGTCGACCTTCATAAGTTGGGAAAAGATACCAAACGTTGAAAAAAACAAAACATTCTACATGTAAATGGATTTCCAATAAAAAAAATTTGTGTGTTATTCTTGTCTTGTATCAATCACAAACACTAACTGAACAATTCTGTACACCTACTTTTATTCATGAGCAATAAATTTTCGCAAATTTTGTGACCATCTTTTACTCATGAATATTTCTTACTTATGATTAATAGATGGTTTACAGTATTACATAATTTTAATTCACTTGAAGCAATAAGATTCAGTAGCCAAACTGACAAGTCAAAAATGTCGAAGACATAAAAATCTATTAAGCTCCACTTGCAGTCACTTCAATGCTTACCTTTGCTAGCCTTGGTTTTCTTGGAATTTTCTATGGAACATGTTGCACACTGGTGAAGAGGACAAACAAAACCATTTTTGGTGTCCGATTTTAATTGCATCAATTTATTCATGCAGTCGTCATGATAAAACTTTCCACATAAATGCACAGAACATTTCTTGGTAATCTCGTCTTTCTTTTTGCATGAAAAGCATGTGTGCAGTCCTACAAAGATTAATACAATGAGAGATTATCCAAATTTTGAATCATTCAGGTAAACTGACATGATCATAAAATGTATAAACAGAATGTTTCTGCCAACTACAATTGAATAATCAGCATAAAATTTTTATTTTTTTTCTCATGAATGATGAAATTCCCCCCCCCCCCCTGTTTTTCTTGATCTAGCTTCAGCCAAATTTTATGTATCTGAACAGCTACTACTCTTTAATTCTGTAGTCCATCTTTTACAACTTACCAGATTTGCACTCCTCACACTTGAAAGGTTCCTCCACATTTTCCCCCACACATGCCTTGTGGAAATAATTGTGACAATCCCCTTCACATTCAATCAGGTCACCTGTGTCCTCACACACCTGACAAAGGTACTTCTGACTTTTACTGCTGGAGGATTTTTCTTCTTCCTACAACAAAGAAGTTTCATTCTGATATACAATAAAGAAAATCCTTATTTTTCCACTTTTACAATCAATTATTCCAAACCTTTAAAATTAAGAATTTTCTCATTTCACTATTTCTGTACTAATTCTTCCATTTTGACCTAAATACAGGATGATTTTTTTTACCTGAGAAAATGCAATTACTTCAGTTTATAAAAACATCCCTTATTTCCTGAGAACGTGATTTTTTATTGTACATTGTATGTTTATTAGATATTAAACTATGTAAAAATCAAGTATTGATCATAAATTCGTTGAAAAGAATATTGACATCCACTCTAACTGAACAATTAAAATTTGAAGATTTTATTTTCTTCCAATACCTGATTGTCTGAACTGCTCTCATCACTTGTGGATTTTTGTCTCTTTAGTTTTAATTTTCCAATCAACTTAGATTCCTTTGAATAAAAAAAAATGAGAATTATAGTTGAACTTTTAACATTCCTATTTAATTTTTACTAATATTTCAGTCAGTACCCAAAACTATGAAAAATGGGTTATATTTTTTTCTGTCTGACAGTATCATTAACTAGAATTTAATTCTCTTGGTTTTCTTACTTTTTCCATATCCTCGTCCTCATCTCCAAGATGTGGTCTCTCTGTCAACTTTGGGGTCATAGGTTCTGTGGACATTTCGGCTGAATCTACCGATTTGAATTTCACGAAAAAAAATTTTAAATCACATTCTACATCACATACATAGGGTGTTTATTGGAACATTACTGAAATACTTGTATCAAACTAAGCACATATAAATTTATTTTTTGCTTTGTTGTATATCAAGTCGTTTTAACACACACAAAGGAGGCATTTAATCATTTGTATTCAAGTAAATCTAAATAATTTACCAATGCATCAAAATAAGCATAAATATCAAAGTGTGGTTTTGCTTCAGCAATTTTCCAATTACATTTTTGAAATTTCAATAATAAATCCAAATGTCTGCATTAATGCCACAAATAAAAAGTACCTTTTGATGTAAAATTTTTCAAGAAAAGATTCTGTAAATACTATATACATAGATACATTTACAATACCCTTTACCTTGAAGCTTAGATTTGTATCTAGACTTTTGTTTTTGACTCATCATCAGCCACTGTTGTTGTAGGCATTCATTTATGTTAGCTTCATCAAAATCAGGATGATCTGCCATCATGCTGTCCCTGTGTTTACTACAAAACACTTCAAATGATCCCCCCATTTTCTTATCCTTGTGAGAGGAACTCTCATCAACTCGTCGCCGCTTTGAGCGTGGTTTAGCTCCGGGAGATGCTTTTACTTCCTCTAATGATGATTTCACCTGTTCCGACGACTTCCGTTTTCTTTTCTGTGTTCTCTCATTTGATTTCCCTTTTGGGGAATTTACAGGTTTATTAACACTATTATTCAAATTCTGTTTTTTAGTCTTTTCTGGTGTGTAAACACATTTGAATTTTTCAACTCGTTCATCAAGAGTCATTTTCATTGCTTCCTCTGCTTGATGTATGGCTATTAGCCAAGCTGCCTGTCGGTTTGGATACTCTTTGTATAGTTTTTCAAGTTTTAATTTTTCACCCTTTTTCGCATTCTGAAAAGCTTGTTTCACATGCTCATCATATTTTTCTTTACCATGGAATTCCATTATTGAGCTAGAACCTATCCATCCTCGCTCTCCTTCGTTTCCAAAGAACTGGACATGATAAATCCTACTTCTTGCTGCAAAGACATGAAAGACACCAAATATTTCTAGAATCTTCTATCCTCCCAATAATACATTTACTTGCAAAACAAGTGCTCATCTGTAATTGTAGGCATTCTCTTCATAAACAAAATGGACGATACATTAATGGCAATAAATAAACATAATTACCGTTTTTACTCGCCTATAAGTATGTCCGCATATAAGTCGATTGTATTTTTTAAGCTTAAATTAGAGGGATTGACCCAATAAAATACCAGTCTTTTTATAACTCGCATATAAGTCGGATAAAGAGTTTTGGACCAAAGTTTAACTCCCAAAAACCGACTTAAAGGCGAGTATATATGGTAGCTGTTTTTCTTATGGAAGTCGGTTTCTTTATGGACTTTATACAAGGAGGCCTTTGTTTAGAATACACGGATGATTGATACAACTACATTTGAAGCTCACCTTTCATTTTAGTGTATAAATCTTCGTATGGGTCCTTGGCTACCATACATGGCCACCAGGGATGTCCAGCCACTTTTGCCCACAGCTGATCACCGATATTCCACTCTGTTGGTTTATCCACCACAGGAGACAGTAATGTTGCTGATTTGTTCATATCAGGTTCTGCATGCTGCGAAGTATCCAAATTATTGGCATTTGCTACTCTTGGAGATTTCTCTTCGACACTTTTTGGAGATTTTTCTCCCATTTCAAGCACAACTTTGGGCTTCCGTTGACGTTTTCCTTCCACATGAGTCACTTCAAATATGTTTTTATAATTTCCCGATTTCTCTTTCACTTGTTTATTTTTTCTAACCGGCGTGCTAGGTTTGGGGTCTTTTATCTTTGTTAATGTATTTGAGCTATTGTCAACACCTTCAGATTTGTCACTGTTTGTTTGCATTTCCTGCTCGTTACTATTTTCCTGTTTTGCTGTTTGTTCCTTTTCAATTTTTATTTGAGATCTTGCCTCCGCCTTCGCTCTCTCTTTTGGATGAACCAGTGGTCTCTCTTGTTCACCTACAGATCATTCATTTTTTTCAATTTTGCAATTTAACTGTAGCGTTATGGTTTTATATATTAGTCTTTGACCATAACCATTATGGTCGAAGACTAATATATAAAACCATAACGCTTCAGTTCTGCAGCTACAATTTAATGTGAAAAAGCATGATTGCAGCTTTTCAGATTTCTCTAGATCTGCTTAGAAAACCAAGTATCTACATGAGTTACCTTGGGCAAATCTTAACAACAGAAAAATTTTAATGCATTTTCCTTAATATTCAATTCTACAACTGTAACTCTCGTTTTTTCAAACAATAAATAATTTTAAAATTATTATTAAGAAGAAAAACATAATACTATAATCAGTCAGGGGTGAGACTGAAATCCGTCACTTTTAAAATGACGATTTTTAGTCATAAAATAAAACTTTTATAATGACTTTAACTTGTCATTGTTAAGAAAATGACGAAAAACAGTCATAAAAATTTAGAGTGTTTCTAGAATACCGAGTTACCTCTCTTTGAAAAATGTTAGATCCACCAACCGAAAAAAGGACAAAAAACATCGTAAACAAACTTCATTTCTCTAAATAATACAGTTGACTACAATACTGATTATGTTGACAGTACAAATTTCCCAAGCAAAAATAAGAGTGGAAGAGTTATTTGTCAATTTATTTGCATTAAATAGGAAAGAAGACGAAAATGACGATATTTCATCTTTTTTCCAAAATAGAGGGTCTGGGCGCACTGAAATATCTCGCTTGTTTTACGGGGCGCACAACTTTTTTATGGCTTTAACTTTTTGTCGAGACTTTTCTCTACAAGAACGTATTCTTCTAGACGGTGTACTATATGTTTTTATAGGGCTAAAAGCCATGTAAAAATGGCGAATTAGTTCTACCAAAATTCGACATTTTACCGCTAAATAATAACTTTCACCTTCCATCTTGATGTTCTAACGCAAGTGGTCAGCAGTAATTAGTGACCTGGATGAAATGAAACTTGCGTAAACACTCTTCTTTCAGCAGTGAATTCAAATTTCGCTTTTATGTAACCAGGATAGAAGAATTAAGTTGAAAAAGAAAATATGACAATAGCAAGTCATATTGACAAAAATAACGAAAATACGTAGTTAGTAAATATGACGGATTTCAGTCTCACCCTTGACTGTAGGGATGAAACGATACACCTCCTTCACGGTTCGATACGTATTGTATAATTTTGTCTCGGTTCGGTTATTTTCGATATGATACATTTTGATAGAAGGAAACAAATTCAACGTTGTTTTATGCTTTCTTTTTCTAAATCTAGTCACATATTTTACGAATTTTATTTGCAAATTGACTAGAAGAAATTGATTAAAATTATTTGACTGTCAAAAATTATTTTACAAGCTATCAGTCATCAAAAATTTACGTTTTCTATACTTATTTATACTGAGTAACGTGCTTTACCATATGCCAAACCCGACTGAATAACGATCCCGACCAAAAAATGAACCGAACCAAAAATTAGAGATTTTGCACCGTGTATCAAACCGAGAAAAAATACCGCGGTGAATCGATACCATGGTGAACCGTTTCACTCCTACTTGACTGATAATATCATCATCAAATTGATATTGTTTAATTGTGCCATATTAACTCAATGTTTTACCCAACTCTACTGTGATAATATTGGAGACTAGGCCAAAAAAAGGCCTGTAACTCCAAAACTTTACACGTGTGCTGTGACAATCAGAGTTACATGTATGCACCTTGAACATTTTCCACTGAAATCTCCATATTAAGGTCTGCATTCATCCTGATCACTTTTCCTGCATCTTCCACCACCAGTGTCGCTTCATCTTTCACGGCTTCCACTTTTGCTCCAGCTTTGCTCTGTGCAATCTTACTGTTCCTGGTTAAGTTAGCCACCTGAGGGAGATGGTGCCTAAAAGGGGGAGAGGTGCACCCCCCACCATTTACTGCTGCCTTCGTGTTGTCCATCACAAGACCAGGCCAATCTCTGTCACGTTTTCTTATTTGACATACCTGCAATTAAACTTCACTTTAACATAATAAAGCCACACTAACTTGTTCCCATGTTTACTTTTTATTCTTTTCATATGCTCATTTAAGTATTTTATTGCATGACAAATGTGAGATTTGGATTTAACTCATGGTTATTTTTCATCATTTCTTGCAAGTCTTGTTTTCTTTTGAAAATCAATTCAGATTTGTCTCCAAAAATTAGTCATTTTCTCGATTTAATTTCATCGTAGTGTTATCTATATTATTTTAGACTTGTAAGTATGTTCGGAAAATAAGACTAATAGCACAAGAATTAATTATGTCACCCCAAACAAAGTCGGGGGAGGGCATATTTCTTATTGTTGTTTTTAATTTTCTTCCACTTAATTTTTTTCAGCACGAGTTTTTGCAGATGGCTTAGAGTAGGTTCAGTATGCAGTGTTCAAAATGGCTCTTTTTGCCATGGAAATGGAAAAATATAGAAACAGAAGGTTTTTTTTTTTAAAATCTTTGTTTCTAAAATCATATACATTTCAGATTAAGTCCTCTACTATTTATTGAATTTCAGTGTATAAAAACCATATTCTACGTTTAAAACCAATCTTATTTATTATTCATAACTTTTAACAGTTTAAGATTTTATATCCATGTAATATCTACATTTACGTCTTCCTAGTTCCCACTTCATTTAGTGACGTCAGCTGATAGAGGTCGAGCGACTCGAACCTTGGTGGAAAAGTTAAAATTTGCACAGAAGTACTCTAGAATCATCAATTTCGAGGTGGCTCAATATTAGTGGAATATGTGGGTCATCTATGAATTAACATCCTCCACGAATAAAAAATGTCTGGTTTCAGAGTCATCTTTCCTTTTGTAGTTATGAATGAATACACAAAATTACGTCCCCAGGAACCAGTAAAATTTAACAACCCAAGAAAATCGTCCCCCACAAATTTTAATGATTCCACAGTATGTTCCTAGCCACAGTATGTTCCTAGCATTGTCAATGTGGTGGAATTAAACATTTTGAAGCAGTGGATGGTGAGAATTGTGATGAATAATGAGAATTATCATTTTTTGGAACCCATTGCTACATGCAAAACTGTAGGCATATCCTATTTCTATAGCTTTTAGTCTGAATAGAGGAGAGGGTCAAAATAGTGTTGCATACCTTGTGGTTTTATATAGGCCTATAGATGGGGAAGGTTTTTTTTTAATATCTAGGGCTGCATTTGCAACTCACAGGTACAATATCAGGTGCCTGTAGTGCAAGTACACAGGACTACAGCTGAAGAATGGATACCTAATAAGTACCAAGCAATTAATTTCAAAACTCTACCAGTATGCTTTAAATTCATGCATTCTTTTTCTTTATATTTAAATATTTTTTCCTGTTTGGGTTTCCTGTTTGCTCGAATTGGCACTCTTTTTTTTCCAACGTGATCATTCCTTCGACTAGATTTACTTATGAAGTTCTGCGTGCTCTTATTGTATGCAATGGCACCATGGTAATGTAGTACTGTTCAACAGTCTAGCAGTACTAGTGTCACACTTAAGAGTGTACAGCTACAGTAATGAAAGTTACCTGCCCTACTCTTCTTTCCTCAAAAAATCTTGACAGGAAGGATAACAGTTTCATTCCATGTACACTGTTTTAGATGCTTTTCTATATAATCTTGAATCAACGGATTTTGAAACATAATGAAAGCATCTATTATGTGGAAATATACAACATGCTACCCCCCCCCCCTTCTTTGTAAGGGGGGAAAGTACATCCTTTTGTTATTTGTGATCCTAACTAAAATCACGAGTAGATAAACGTAACATTATCAACACTAATTATCATAATCATGACTTGTGTTTAGGATTCTTACTTCATCAATATTGACTTCTTTTTCCCTGAGATATACATGCTCACTCTGATTCTAAACGCTCACCGGAAGATAACAACTTTCGTGTGAATTCGGCAAATATCGGCGGGAAAAGGCAAAACAAATAAACTGGTTCTCTCGTTGAGTTGGAGTTATCGTTCCTGTGTAATCAAAGTACTGAAATATTGAGAGCTATAAGTTTATAAGCATCTTTATTAAAAAATCTTATTTATTTATTTATTTATTTATTTATTTATTTATTTATTTATTTATTTATTTATTTATTTATTTATTTATTTATTTATTTATTTATTTATTTATTTATTTATTTATTATCAGTAGTTACGGTAGTAGTAGTAATAGTAGTAGTAGTAGTAGTGGTATTTACATGCATTAGGTCCATGCAGGAAATTTTTGTTCACTAGGCAGCCCCCCCCCCCCCCCCCATGCTGAAATGGCTTTTTACGGGCCTGCAAGGGCATGCATCACTTACTTGTTCATATCAAAGTGCATTTTTTAATGCAGATATATCACACAAATAAATACAAATATTTCTTGCGCAAACACAATATTACAATAATTGGCAAAGGCACAACACATATTATAAGAATCTATAAATATACAATATTTAAGTATAGAAGGTGAGGCTGTACATAATCATAAATCATACCATCATTTGTACAATAATTATGTAATGCAATCATTTCTAGATACAACATTTTTAAATAAGTGAGTGTGTTATTTTCAGTATTTCTGGACAATGGCTATTAAAGCAAAGCTTAACTTTTTGAGTATAAGACATTTTTGATATTTTTCCTTGAAAAAATTTATCAAGTTCCTTTCAAAAGTTAACATATGATTATTGTATTTATGGCAGCTGAATAGAAAATGAAATTCATCTTCACCCCCCCCCCCCCCGTGTTGCAAATATTACAAAATCTTTTATCTGTGGGTATAGACAAATGTCTCCCTTTTTCTATGGCAAGGTTATGTGCAATAAGTCTCAACCTGCTAATAATTGATCTCTCTGTTTTCTTTTTTAATATATCAGTGTATCCACAGCGTTTGAAATTATTAAAAACATTAACTTGATATTTTTTTTTATGAATTATGAATCTTTGCATATTCCTCTTGTAAGCATTGCTCTGATCGATATTCTTTGTTTTATGTTTTTCAGCAGTGATTTTATTGAATTTTCTTTTTTTTGGTAATGAATGAAAATCCTAACTTGTTAAAAATTGAAAAAAAAAATATTTTTAGTCCATGAGTTTGTTTTGACTGTTGCTTTATAGATTTTAAATACTAACGTATTCTTGGAAGTAATAAGATGGTTCCTAAATTTTATACTTGAAAAATGTATTCTTGTCCACAGGGGATGTCTGCCTAAATCTGCTCTGCAGGGAGCGTTAGTAGTTTTACAATGTACTCCTAAAATTTCCTTAATAAAGTTCATGTGAAATTTTTCAATTATAGAATTTTCACCAATAATACCCAAGAACTCACAACAATAAAGAAGAACTGGTGTTATAATCGAGTCAAAGAGTTTTCCCAAAAGTTTACATGGATTATCCAAACCAATAGTTTTCTTAATCTTAAAATAGCCTTTTCTGGCCTTTTCCATAAGTACTGACATAGCTAAGTTCAGATATACATGTATAAAAAAAAAGTGGAAATTTTAGGGGAGAAAATCCCAGGTCAAAAACATTTTGCGTTGAATAGTAACACCCTTATATCGATTGATGTTTCATTTCATGTCCATGTTTTAAGACTTTTCATGAAATAATCTTCAATAAACATATTTTGATAATTTTAAAAAAAGATTTTTTTCTTCTTGTTTTTTTTAATGTATACATGTCGAAAATATTTGATTTTATGTGTTTAAAGGGTATAGTTCGGTTTTTAGACGTAGCAACTTGTAGTGTCCGCCATATTGTACAGGTTTGTTGATCGTCATGGGTAGATCAAGAAGCAGAAGTAGATCTTCCAGCAGACAGAGGCATCGTTCTAAACACAAGAAAAGACGCACACGATCCAGATCAAGATCCAGAGAGGCAAGATCTTCGGTGTCGAACCGACATAATTCCAGCAGAAACCGTTCAAGGTCAAAAGACAGAAAGAGAAGAAGAGAAAGGTAAATATATAGTCACTGGGTCAAAGAGCTCATATTTCATATCCTTGTCAATTACATTTTTAACAATGTATACTAATTTCATAATGTTTCGACAGTTGATGCTTAATTTGTACGTCCAATCATCCGACTCCATAAGCTCGGACAAGTTGACAAAAGAAACGCAATTTTTAAAGAGCATATAGTTAATTATACCTAAGTAGTTTATAAGTGGATGTGTTACCTGTATTACAGTATATCGGGTAGAAGGGGTCTTTTCTGTCACCCGTAAAAAATGTATACAAAAAATGTGATGATAGGTTGAATAAGCATATTGTTATTATGTAACAATGTTATCATATTGTTCGAGAATTCCATTATTTGAAATAAGATCAGGTAGTAAAGAAGATCCGACTACTGTATATTTTTACACAAGCTGTTGCAAGTCGCCATCTGCATTAGTTTAAAATATAATGTTTTGATATGTGCAATGGTCTATGTTGCATAATTGAACATAAGACATTTTAGACAATCTGAAGATAGGTAAAATAGTTAGCCAAGTTAAATTTCCACCTCTTTGCACTTTTCCAAAGTTGTACATTATTTTTTACTTCAATAGGAATATTTATACCTGCCCATCAGAGCCAAAGGTCTGATCAAATGTCTGTCTTCTGTAAACTTTTTACATTTTCAACTTCTTCAGAACAAGGGGGCCATTTTGAACCAAACTTGCCACAAAGCATTCTTAGATGAAGGGTCAAGTTTGTTTAAATGAATCGGGCCCAGGGTATGGCCACAATTAGGGATTGAAATTTTTCTTGGAAGTAATTGGAAATAGATTTTCTTGTAGATGGGGAAAAAATCTTTTAAAAATCTTCGAAAAACAGCAGGGCCAAGGTGACTTAGTGAAGGGATGTGGACCATGGGCATCTTATTTCAAGATTAAATATTGCTCAGTTGAATTGACAATTGTAATGCCATGCATCAGAATATTCATATGAATTATCTATCATTAGTGTTGACTGTTCCCATGGATTTTGTTGTATCATGTGATTAATAAGTTAATATCTTTATACTTTGTAGAGCTAAGTTATCTGGAAACTTGGACAGGTACTTAATATCAGCATAAATATCACTTTTGTTTTTCTGGATAGAATCTTTTTGCCATAGGAGCATAATACACTTGGATATATGCTTCATTTTGCTTAACTTACAAAATTAAGCTTTAGTATTTTTGATACATGATTGATTGACAAATACTCAAATTAAAGTACAGTATTAGACATTTTATTTTTGCCTGAAAAAAAAACTTCAAAATGGAAATATGCATTAGACTTAATACTTCAACATTATCAGATACCCATAATAGACTATGCTGCATTCCTTTTCTCCAACATCCATGGCTTATTTCATAATCATCTTATGTTCATTTTCTGATTTCATGAATATTCACCTATTTATATGAATCAATCAAAGTAACTGTCAAAGAACAAGAACTTAATATTCTATTTTGTAAGTAAATTTATAATAGAATAAAAAAGCAGAAGTTGTTTCAATATAAACAGCTGGTAAAGCCATTACATGAATTGACATACCTCTACTGCATATCGACAAATTGGATTAGTGAAAAGAGGTAGCTTTAAAACTTTGTAAGATTTTAAATTGCAGTTATGACATCAAAACTCCCTAATGGGATTACACATAGTGCACACACTAGGTATTGACATAGTAAAAAAATTCATATTGATTTGACCACCAAGTACTGGTAATGAAAGTTAATTTACATCATCTGTTAAATAAAGTTACACAGCAGAAGCAAAGCATACACATTGCCATGTCCTTCAATTGTCAACACTAATTGGTAAAGATTAATATAATTAATCATGTATTTCAGAAAAGGAACAATTTTGAGCAAATCCATCTAACGTAACTGAAAAAGGAATGCAGCTTAGCTAATCCTTGGTTTTGGACAATGATACTTTATATAATTTGGTCATTTTCAGTTGCTATCATGACATGTTGTTAATTTTTCTCCTTTGCTGGTAAACATGTATGCTCTATGAATGCCTCTTCAATGTTTATAAGACCCCTTGAAATCTTTAATCTGATGCATAACATAACTTTCAGTGTTGTACTAAATCTTGATGGACAAATATTTACTAGCAGTAAATCATAACTTTGATCATGAAAGGAAGTTTTTCGATAGCTTTGTATTTTGTACAAAAAAATTTTTATAGGAAGTTATTTTGTTTAAAGTAGGAACGAAATGTTACGGGGGATTTTTAAAAATTTGAAAAAACACTGCTAAATTTTGATCAGTACCATCTATACATTATAATGTTATAGAGCATGAAGTATTACATGTACACAATACACATTTTTGCTTACTTTGCTTGTATGAAAATGTACATTTTATATTGACTCATAAAGGATAATTCATTTTAAGTTATATATGTATATTTATAAAGGAATTGTAAGTTTTTGTTTAAAAAGTATTGCAACACAAATTGTCGTATTTTAGGATCACAGAATGACAATTAGCATGAAATTACCATAAATCAACAGTATTTTAAAGATATCGTGCTGAGATATGGAAGATATTTTAAATTTTTTTTGATTTTTTTCCCCAGAAAAAGGACGCCCTCTTCAAGTAGCTCCAGTAGTGATGATGACTTAATAATCAGAGCAAAGCGAAGAGAGGAAGAAGAGAAGAAGGCAGAGCTAGAGCGACAGAGATTAATGTAATTATTGAATGATTACATTACAGAGATTAATTTAATTAATGAATTATCACTAAAAGGTTTAAACAACGGGGAAAAACATGTTGATGTCAATGATGTGCAAAGTCTTATCTTTTTTCTCCACTAGAAATTATGACTTTGTTGATCTTGACTATCAAATGAGATTCTGAAAATTTGAATTCACAGAGTATAATCGGAACCAAAAAAAAGATATTTAAGTTACACACGAATAGTTTTCCTGTATTGTTTTACTCACTTTTAGTCTTTGTGATTTTTTTGACAGACGACAGAAAGAATTAGAAGAGAAACTAATAGAAGAGGAAGTAGCACGGCGAGTGGAAGAGTTAGTGGCCAAACGTGTGGAGGAGGAACTGGAAAGGCGGAAAGATGAAATCGAGGCTGAGGTGCGGCGACGCGTGGAGGAGGCTAAAAAAATCATGGAGAAACAAATGTTGGAGGAACTAGAACGCCAAAGAGAGGCTGAGTTAGAGGCTCAGAAAAAGAAGGAGGTAATGAAAAGTTTGACTCTAAGTGTACGGGTGGTAGGGGTCTGTTCAGAATTCGAGAATAATTCAGCTCTAGTCACAATTGGTCACAGAACATCTTGATAATTCTGTGTGCTTGTGTTAATGTCAATTATAAAGCAAAAAATAGAAATATTTTCAATTGGTTCCATATTTTTTTTTAATTTCAAAGAAAAAAATGTAGATTTGTTCATAATACATTCCAATGAAGTAAAAATTTGGAGTTTGTCTCACGTTTTAACAATTATTTAGATCTTTTAATAAATGTACATTATTGAGATTTTTCTTGTATACATTACACTTCCTTGTTAAACATGTTAAAGAAATCCCAGATAATACTTGAGATTGTACTTGTATGTAGAGCTGTATGTTTATGTGGTTTTAAAACAAATTAATCTGTACCTCTGAATTTTGATATATAGTGTACATGTTGACATTGCATGCTTAAGTTATCCAAGAATTTTTAACCTTACATTCAGTTTTTATAATAGCTTTTCTCCTTTTTAAATTTATAGATACAAAAATGGTTATAAAATGGTCTTATGATCTGTGAAATGTTTTTAAAAGTGAGCAGTGAAATGTCCTGAGACAGTTCTTATACATGTAAGATAGGGTTAGAAAATATGTGTTTTGTAGTGTTTGATGTTCCTTTACAATTCTTTGTGTTTTTGTCCTTTGTGTTATCTATATTATATTTTTACAACAAATATGAACAAATCTACATAACTTTGTTAACTTTTTCAAACTTTTTTTTTTAACTTTTGTTAACACATAGTAGTTCTGTCATTAAAACTTTTACAGAAATAGAAATTTTAATGCTACTTTTAGCTCACGAATGGAAAGTGAATAGAAAAAAAAGATCTGGAAAAGTTAACATAGTTGATTTAGAATCGATTAAGGTCACAAGAGTAGGAAAAAATGAACAGACCTCTATCTTCCCTCAGAGCAAGGTCACAAGGAAAGCAAGCATAGTTTTTCAGGGCCAAGTTTCGTATCGGATACACAATTAAAAAAATGTACAGTACACTTGAAATGTTTGGTTGTTGTTGAGCCTTTGATATACTATGGATGCTTGTGGCCAAGCCTGAAAAAAAAGCCTTATCATGAAAGTTCTTGGTGCATGTGTTATCTGATGTTTTTGTTTTCAGCAATTGTATATATTTTTTTAGCCAATATTTTAGAGCCACATGATCATGTAAGTGTTAAGATTTCTCAATTTTACCCCGATCTCTTCTAGGTTTTGCTGTTTACTTGTATAAAGATTCCATGTACAGCATTCGCATATTATTGCAAGTATTGAATTGTTGTCTTGACATAAACAATCTAACATTGTTATGACATTTCCATCCAAGACACACTTTTAACTGGCCGGTTACTATTGACATTGTAAGATTTCTTGTGAATTTACGGGGAGGCAGTGTAGTTTAACATTGGGTATTGCGTAGGAAATATGATCTGGGCTCCAAAATTAGTAAATTAGAATTAAAAGCAAATTAAAATCCTGGATTGAAGAATTAGTATATAATGGCTATCCACCAGTTGAATGTGTAGATATTTTCGGAAGAGGAGGAATTTCACTGCAGATATTGGTATGTAAAGTTATGAGGTAACTTATCTAATATAACTGCCTAATCATCATTTTACAGCTGTCAAATTTGCACTGATACAATGTTGATTGTATGTCCTGCAATGTATATGCAGTCACAATTAGATTGAATTCTTACAAGAAATCAATCCTGTGGCATGTGTATAATTACATAAACTTCTTTTACCATTATTTACTAAGTAATATTTAGAAATTCATTCTACATGTATTCTCATGTTGTTGGCTTTTTTTTAGGGTAAAATTTATTATTTTATTGATTGATCAAATTGAAAATTTGATAATATTGTTGATGACATGTAAAAGAATTTTTTTCAAGTTGACATAATATCAAATTTACTGCTATACTTAACGTTCTATGTTCAGTTGTTTATTTTATTCATACTATTTAAATGTTCCACACCCTTTCTGATCTAGTCAAAAATATTTGTAGGAGGAAGAAAAACTCAAACGACAGGAGTTGGAGGATATAATGGCAGAAAACAACAGAAAAATAGAAGAGGCACAAAAGAAATTGGTAGGTTTTACCATGTTGTAAGGATAGGAAACTGTTTATTAATGGGGTAATGAACAAACCAGGAGTGGATCCATGATATTCATTAAGATTCAACTTGTGAAATGACCAAATAACCCCCAATTTTTTTTGTGCAGTGAAAATTTTTAAATTTGTATGAAAAGGAGGGGGTGCCAAATTGGGCATTTTTGTGAGATTTATGTCTAATGGTTTAAACCTTTGTTGTCATTATAAATTGCACAAAGTCTAGCAATTTTATTCTCGTGTCAGGCTGAAGAGCAATTGAAATTGGTCGAGGAACAGAGACGCATGCTCGAAGAAAAGCAACGAATGGAGGAAGAAGACAGGAAAAGAAAAAAAAGAGAACAAGAAGTTATTTTGAACAAAAAGAACGCAAGACCCAAATTGTCTTTCAGTTTAGGGGGGAAATAGTTATGGCTCATTGTTTTGATTTAGTGTTTACATGTATCAGGTTAAGAATAAGTTATTCAGAGTCAAAAATCCTTATCACAAGGATTAAGATGAAGTCCAGGTCCTTTTCCCACACATACATGTATGATAAATATTCCTCGAGTGGATCTATCTGCCTTCCAGGAAAGCAGGAGCATGCGGACATTTTTACATGATTGGAATTTATTTGATGCAAACATTCATATATATAAATGCTGTGGCAATTCCTTGCATCTTTAAATTCCGTCATGTTTATTTGTGTTTGTTTTTGTTTATGTTCCTTCACATCATCTCATATTAACTGTAAATCGATAAATCATGTGAATTAAAATCAATACTAGAAACTCATTTCTTTTGTTTCTAAAACAGGATGGGGAAAATGCTTTCATAGTGGCATTTAAAATGTAATTCATTGTATAGAAAGGCAGGTATTATATAGAATGATGGATGATTTTATTGCCATATATGCAAGCATTAAAAAAAGGCATCATTCAGTAATGGAGCTGGGCAAATAAATCTATACAAGATTTAAAACGATGAAAAAAACTTTTTAAAACCATGAATTATTTGTACTGATCATGAACAGTAGAGCCTCAATTGTGAAAATTAGTAATAAGAGCCTCTGGGCCTTGACAGTCACCTGAGTATCATGAGTTTCTCAAGCTATGGCTACTTACCCCACCTTGGTCTGAAAAATTCTGGCCTCATGGAATAAATTGTACTTTTAAGTGAGAATTCTATTTATCCAGCTTGTTTTCTAGGAATTTGGGAATAAAGAAAATGAGGTGCACTGCATAATAAATTTCAATATTGACCAAGAAGATGGGCAAATAAGATGTGAAATATGGCCATGGTTAGTGAAAATTTTTAAATCTCAATCATAAAAAAATTTCTTTGATGTTTCAATTGACATTAATGCATACTTTGTGTGAGATCTCCACAATCTGCAATACTTTCACAAATATTGAATTTATTTGTCTACAAAATAGCAGACACACACAAAAAAGGGAAAAACAAGATGTGTTTGTAAAACACTGATGGCAGCTTATGGCGAAGGTTAAAGTTTCTCAAATACAAGTCAAAATCCAGGCCAAAAGATAAAAAATGTTAAATTTGAAAGCCCTTGCTGCAACTGTTCAAGAGTTATGGCGAAGGTTAAAGTTTTTTAAAAGTAAGTAAAACATCAAGGTCAAGGTCAAAGTTGTTGGTATCCAAAGGAAAGTCTTGTCAAAAGGATTACATATGTAAACTATGAAAGCCCTAGCACCAACTATTCAAAAGTTATAGACAAGATTAAAGTTTTTCGAAAGTAGGTGACACGTCAAGGTCAAAGGGTCAAAGAGGTTGATATGCAGAGGAAGGTCTTGTCACAAGGAATACACATGTGAAGTTTGAAACCCCAAGCTCCAACTGTTCAGAAGTTATGACCAAGGTTAAAGTCTCATAAAATTTTGCAAAAGTGGGTCAAACTCCAAGGTCAAGGTCAAAAGGTCAAATATGATGGTACCCAAAGAAAGGTCTTGTCACAAGGAATACACATGTGAAATATGAAAGTCATAGCTCCAACCAATCAAAATTTATGGGCAAGGTTAAAGTTGACAACAGACAAACAGATAAACAGACAGACAGGACAAAAACAATATACCCCCGGGATCTTTCGATCCGGGGGCATAAAAAGGATCATTTCCTCTTAAAATTTTTGTGGCAGGGTAGTGGCTCAATGTATGCATACAGTTGGCCTGCTAGATTTGCTAGTGTAAAGAAGGAAGATTTTCAATGCCGTAATTTCAATGTACACGAACAATATCTCCTTAGCCTTATCCTGAAACATTGGCCCAGAGGTCATTAATTTCACAATTTTTGTAGAAGACTATTATAATCAAGGAAACAGCATTCCTGCTAAATGCCTATGAGTAGGGAAGAAGATTTTCAGTTTATGACTCAGGAAGCTTCAGTCGAAAATCTGTTTATTTAAAAAATGACATGGGTTTTATCTTTTATTTCAATCTGATGATCTTATATCTACAAGGTGTGAATGATAAACATGGATCCTGATAAAGCTACGTGTGTGTTGAAGAATTGTGCGAGGATTTGCAGAAATTGACCAGTATGGAGCTCCAAAGGAGATGGGTGAACATGACGAGCGATAAGCCTATAGTGTGACAAACATGAAGATGAAAAATTAAATTTCAATTATATCAAAATTTTCCTTGATATTTCATCTAACATTAAAATATACTTTGTGTAAAATCTCTACAATTTGCAAAAATCCCTCAAAGATTGAAATTATTTGCCTGTGAAATATTAGACACACACTAAAGCGGGCAAAAAGAGTCACTTTCTCATACTTTAACACTATTTTTCGATATGAGTGGGTCTTCGCTCCACCTTTTTGAAAGTTAATCCTCAAAGTTTGCATAAAAATATACATTTTTTGGTTACCAAAAATATGGAGCAATGATCTATTATACCTTAAAAATATACTTTTATGACAAAACATTCGCATGTTTTCGAGAAATACTTGAAGTCCATTAAGTCAAGGCCGGGTCATATCACAAACATGATTTAAATGCCAATGATCGTCAGGACTTGGGTAGTCTAGTGGTTAGCGTGCTAGTCTCGAAAGAAAATGATACTCAGGATTTTTATTGCTAGGGTTCGAACCCCGTGAATACCACAGTAATTTTTTTAATGAAAGAATAAATTTTGCCGAGAAAATTTTCCTCAGAAAAGTTTTGTTTATGACAATTTCATAAATTTCAATAATGAGAACTTTTCTCTAAATATTAAATTCAGAAACTGAACATGATTTTTATATTTCTGAAGCTATAGGCTTTCTGCACGCTATGTTCGCCCATCTCCTTAACAAAAACTCAAATTACATGTATATAAATATGTTGAATATATCATTAATTTGCGCAATAACTGAATTGACCGCGCATCAAATCAATTATTGATATCGTCAATCAATGGATATGCGCATTGATAAGAACAATAATTGATTTGATTTGAACATCAATTCACTTGATAAAAGCAATAATTGATTAATGCGTGCATTGATTCAATCATTGCTCTCATCAATTAATTCAATACGCGCAATAATTCAATTGATGTTTCCAGCAATTCAATTGTTGAGCTTAAGAATATGGTGGAATTATTGCTGGCAAAAATTTATTTAGATCCCTGTATAAATTATTGGTGTTTTCTTTAATTGAAGATATAACTTTTAAATTTAAATATTTTACAAGGATTTTTTTTTTTAGGAGAATGAATGCGCGCAACAATTCAGAGATAATTATTTAAATCATGGATATGGTGAATTGAAAGGTACCATTATCAAATAATCGCTCTTTTTAAAAGAATTGTTGCACGCATAAATTGAATTACTTATATCTGTAAGTCAATTGAGAAGCTAGAGTAATTATTCAATTATTTGAATTGATGTACGGAATAAATCAATAGATTCTGGAGGTAGAAATACTTCATTATTGCTCTCGTTAATTAAATTTTTGTTCTCTTATATTGAAATTATTGCATACATCAATACAATTGTCTTATCATTAATTTATAGGAAGAGAGCAACGATTCAGTTATTGCGCGCATCAGTTCAGCAGAGCACAAAGGCGGATCCAGCGCCCCCCCCCCCCTCCCATCCCGTTTGATTTTTACATGTACATGTATGTAGAACTTATATATGTTCATTACCCTAAAATCAAGAAAAACACCTCTTATTTGTAAGAATTCGTAAGGCTTTGCCCTGAACTCAATGGGGGCTTCAATGCAGACCCACCCATCCCCTCCCCCCGCTTCTCACCCACCCACCCCGGTTATGAAATTCCTGGATCCGCCACTGGAGTAAGCAATATTAACAATTCAGTAGTCAGAATTGAGGATAATTAATAATTTAATAAGACCTTTAATTGAATTGTTGCTTGTATCAAAAGAATTGATGATATCTTCAGATGATTAAAGATCTCTTCATGTTATCATAGATCAACCATGCATATCATTTCCATTTCCATGTTCAAGGAAATTGATCATGTTTCTTCATGCAGGCAAAACCAGATTGTTGAAATCAAAACGTGTACAGGGTGAAATGGTTTGAACGAAATACATGTACTAGGGTTTATTGGTTCATATATGACGCCAGACTCTAATTATACCAGATCATATAATTAATCTGAAATCTATTGCCCACTCTGTTTTTGTTTTTTGAACATATTTTATTAGGATTGGAAACAAGTTCTTACAACTTACTATAGTTCCTCTCCTTAAATATTTATAACTATATGTCATGCAATTGAAATAGTACAGAAATATGAATTTTTAAAAAAGTGATACAAGTGAAAAATCTGTTCAATAATATAGTAATTTAAAATCTACAGGTTTCATCAATAAATTTATGCACAGCAGCAAAAATATTTGTATTAGTTTGTAAAGGCAAATTTACATCACCCCATAATAACAAATTTGTGTCAATATATATAGTGATCAATTCGTAAAGTAAAAATAGGCGGGTTTTTTGTTATCATTCCTAGCATTTGGATAACTAGTACAGGCAAACATCTTCATAATTTCCACATGAACATAAAGGACTATTAATAATATTTCGTATGTGTAGATCATAGTAAGTATACAATTGTGTATGAGTTTAGTATGGATTATGTTTGTATAACGTTGGCCAAATGAAAAATAGATTGGGGGATTTTTTACTTCTGAGTTAGTTTTTACGAAATGCATTGAGTGAGATGGCTTCTATCTTTCTGTACATTGAATATGTGCGGACATTCCTTTTTGAAAATGATAATAGACAGATGGCCCCTGGAAAATTGTTCCAAAAAGTGCCTTTTCCATTTAGTTCGTAAATTAGAACATATGTACATCTTGGTCTACTACTATACATGTAGATCACTCGACTAAAGACCGTGAATGCATTAGTCTTCTGTAATTCTTTCACGAGTTCTTCCACCGGTACCTTTGTTCTGCATACAATTGAATGACCTTTCTATGTTCATGTATTCATGTCGTTGTATTACGACAGAAACTGTGTAACTGTACAAATAGGGCAGGAATAAGATAAGAACGGTACATGGAAGTATTCTCTTTGCCATACTCGTCTTTTCAGGTGAGAACTAGTTCAAATACATATATAAGTAAATAAGAAATATATTATGTACCGATTTTGTGGAAATATGAATTCATAATTATACATGTTATATCAAGAGATTTGAAATTAAATTCCTGTTTAATGTTACCTAAGTAACCTTTACTCTTGATGATGTCGCAGTATAGAGGAGCAATGTAATTAAGGTTCATCGACCCTTTGATAAGAGAGATAACTCTAAATGAAATAAATGAATATAATTCCTTTATAAAAATTTAAAAGTCAATTTTTGTCAAATTTTGCAATTCAATATATGCTGAAAGTACCAGGTACGGTTTTAATACAAATCTGGCCCTGTATTTTTCTTTGTGGAATTTGTTATACTTTACAGCTCCACTAGCGTGAAGGCAAAATTTGATATAGGTAAACAGAGAGGTGATGAACCTTAAAGTAATAGTCCCTTATCTGAACATGTAAATGAGCTTTAAAATGAGTTTATGTAGTTAGTCCTTCGTTCATTTCTGTAGGTTCCCACGTAAATGACATTTACGATTATGATATTCAAAAAATAAGAAGCAAAACGGTACATGCAGGCTTTTTTTTTTTAATTTATAAAACAAGAAAATACGACAAGGTTTTTCTTTAAAGCCATTCTTATATACTCTATATATATAGTTAAGAAAAAATACTAATGCTTGAAACATCAGATGGAGTGGGACTTTTTTCTGTGAATAATTTCCAATTTTGTTAAATGTTAATCAATCATGATATCCAGAAATATGTATAGGGACATTTTCATGATTTTATTTTCCACCCATATTTTTTTTCATTCAGTACAAGATCTATAAAGAATACCCCCTCCACCAAAGTTTGTTAGAATCAAAACTGCTCAAAGTTGTACATTTTAAATACAGAAAAAATAATATTGTACTATATATATTATATATACCGTATTAAATATGTATTGAAACAAAATAAAAATTCTGAGGTACGTGCTTCGACTGTAATTCTAATATGCATGCAGATAAGAAAGACTATAGTATAGATTTTGGGGAGATGATGCAAGAATAAGAATGTCTTTAATTTAAAGGAATATTTCAGGTTAAACGCATGTTTTAGCAATTATTAAGTATGTACACAGTGTTTTACTTTCTTTTTCATGTCCTTAGTTATCGAAATTACAAATTTACAACAAAGTACAAAAATCTATTTGTATTTAGTAATAGTGAGTAGACAAGGGGTTACCCTTTTTCCTCCCTCCACTTTCCTCAATCCCCTTTCTCTCTCCCACTCTTCTCACTCCGCCCCTCCCTCATTTCCTCTTTCTACCTTCCTCCTTGTCCCCCTCCATCTTTCAGGTGCTGTGATTTCGAACTACATTTTTAAGTTAAAATAAACTAGTCATATCATACAGTTTGAAGAAGTTTGATATTTCGTATTACTATTGTGCTTTAAAACACCAAAACATCCTAGGAAAATAGTACATTTACATTAAATTTTTTTTAGTAAATAATAATTTTAATAGGCAGTATAGTATCAGACGGGGGATGGGGGCTGACCCCACGTATTTTTCCGATAATAGTCTTTATTGTTAGTTTTATTGAAAGGCCGCTTGACCCCCCAATTTTTATGCAGTGTGATCGGCATGCCCATCCCCATTTTTCCCTTTTTTTCTTCGAGTTTTGGCTGTTGTTTTCATTTCTTGTGCTTGCAGTAATTTTCTGGCTGTTCCCACCTCGAATTCAAAAATCACTGCTACGTGTTTACTTAAAGTTACACACTATACAAGGAGACCTAATGTTAGTAGATATAACTGTTAATATTGGGGTTTATGGTAAATAATATCAATAAATATTTCTTAAAATTAAAGTATTAATTATTTAGGTAAAATCAACAGAACCATGAATTACAATAAATAAATAAATAAAATAAAGATTCGGTCGAATGATATAGTTTGTTTAATGCATTTTGGAAAGGACTTGAAAAATATCTAAAAGCACGTTTTGTTCAGGTTCCACCATGAATGTCGTCACTTTTCTGGTGCTGGTAATGTTAATGACGTCAGTGTCTACTGTTCCCGTCCTACAAAGTGATTTAGAAGAAAGAACCCGTGAGTTTTTAATTACTTTCCTTTATACTAGTTCCTATAAGAGAGAGAGAGAGAGAGAGAGAGAGAGAGAGAGAGATGTATATGGTAAATATATACTTCTTCATTCAAATTTACATTGTCATGTATCATATTTGGCTGCTGTTATTCTGACATATACCTTTACCTTAACCTATGGAATAGGAAATATAGACTTGTCAGATTTTTATTTTATTTTATTTTTTTTTTTTTTTGACGTTCAGCAGTGATTTACAATTGTGTATCTTAATACAATTGAATATTCTTTGCACAGTATTAATTATATGTGCACCATCCCATGGTTGATAAATGCATATATTTAAAATGTGTGCTGTTTACAGCGCACACAACTGCTCCACCAAACACTGATCATGGAATTTTGCAACAACTCGGGGAGTATTTCAGAGGTAGGGATATTCCGGAAAGTCCTCTGCCCGCAAACACTGTGGACGAGAGCGCAGCCAGGGATGATATTTTACACGAACTTGGAGAGTACTGGAAAGGGCGACTGGCTGCCATGATTAATCAAGCCATTCATCAACCGATAAACCTTTTTTCTCACTTTCTTGGAAATGGAAAGTAAATTTGATCAAAAATTTTTATGACTAATTTGTTTCTTCTTTTTTTTTTTTGTCCCCCGCTTTCGTGAAAGCGAGGGGACATTAAATCTCATTTGTCTGTTAGTCTGTCACAAAACCTTTAACCTTGGTCATAACTTCTGAGTGATAAGAGATGGGGCTTTCATATTTCACATGTACATTACTTGTAAGAAGAAGAAGACCTTTCCAAATATTTTATGATCTTTGACATGATCTTGAAGATTGACCTACTTTTTAAAAATTTTAGCATTACTTTTACCTTGGTCAAAACTTTTGAATGAGAAGATATAGGACTTTCATATGTCACACGTACATTACCTGTGACAAGACCTTTCCATGTGACCCGTGACCTTGACGTTTGACCTAATTTTCGAAAAGTTAAACATTGTTAATAACTTTTGAATGAGAGAAGGTAGAACATTCATATTTGACATGTGCATTACCTATGGAACGCCTCAGCTGCCTTATGTGGAGAACATTCATTATATGCTGATACTTTAACATTATATGCTGATACTTCAACATTATAGGCTGATATCAGCATATAATGACAAGTATCAGCACATAATGTTGAAGTATCAGCATATAATGTTCAATTATCAGCATATTATGAATATTCTCCACATAAGGCAGCTGAGGCGTTTCATAATTACCTGTGACAAGTCGTTTCTAATCATGCTATGATATTTGACTCCATGACATTCACTTCAAAAAAAAAAAAATAACATTGGTGATAATTAACTTTTGAATTAGAGAAGACAGGGCGTTCATATTTTACAAGTGCATTCCCTGTGACAAGAAGTTGTGCTATGATATTAAACCACGTGACCTTGACCTTCAAGTTTGACCTAATTTTAAAAAAATATATCATTGCTGCTAACTTTTGAAGGAGAGAAGATAGGACATTCATATTTGAAAAGTGTACCTGTGACAAGAAGTTTTCAAATGTGCTATGATATTTGACCACGTAACCTTGACCTTCAAGTTTGACCTAATTTTCAAAAAATATTATTGCTGCTTACTTTTGAAGGACAGAAGAAAGGACATTCATATTTGACATATACATTACCTGTGACAAGATGTTCCAAATGTGCTATGATTTTTAACACTCTGACCTTAACCTTAAAGTTTGACATAATTTTAAAAAAATACCTTGCTTATAATTTTTAATGAGAGAAGATTTGGCATTTATATTTGACATGTCCATTGCCTGTTTCAAGACCTTTCGGAATATACTTTGTTTTTTGACCAAAGTCATTATTTCATTATTTTTTAACACTGGTAATAACTTAATTTTGAATGAGAGAATATAGGGCCTTCATATTTTACATTACATTACCTATGACAATATCTTTCAGAAATGTATATCATTTTTGAGTTCATGACCTTCACCTAGAAGTTTGAAGGACACAAAAACATGATAATTACAATATGCTTAAATAACTGCACCCCAACCACTATGACACCAAAGCGGGGGACCACAATTCTTTGAATTTTCTTGTTTTCTTTTGGTAAAATATGTAACCGGTTAATACCCTCATTGAAGGGAAGCATGCAGCAATCAGATTTCATATTAAATGACTAAAGATATTACATGAAGATATGTATTCACAATTGAGAATAAAATTTGATGCATAATTTATAACAATCAAATTTAATGAAAATAAAATTGGATGTTTCTGACCAACAGAGGATCATACAATCCAAATTTTATTTTGAACTGAAAATTTTGTGCGAGGACAATAATCGAAAGGAATAGAAAACATCTGAATGCAATAATTGAATTTTTTCAGTTTTTTTTTATTAACGTACAAAAGTTGAGACGCAGTTACACATCAAAAGGCATGTAGCTCAAATCTCATTTTAATGTTGATACAACGTACATATATTAATACATGCAATAATAATTAAGAGGAACTATCTAAAATTATCGGTATTAAAATATATAATTCATCATTATATATACTCGGTAAAAGAGTACACATGTACTTGGATTTCTAATTGGATTAGAGCTTGCTATTCCTAAAATAATAAATTAAGAATTAAAAAATTAAAATTACTAAATTCTCTTGAAAGGTCATGTGAATTTTTTTGCATTGATGTTGTACACGTTAAAAAAATAAACATGTAATACCCATATGCTTAGGAAAAATGTACTTCCTAGGCAATGCAAGATCATCTGGCCGTTAATACTGAACAAACACAATACTGAACAACAACTAATAGAATTTCTTTCGGAAAAACTCTTAAGATACGAAAGATGAACAAGACCAATTCTAACATCACTCCGAAAGACATGCACGCATAAGCGTTGGATAAATTTTATCCAGCCGCATGAAAAATGTAAGAAATGTAGCCAAGAAGAAGCAGCATTCAATAGTAAGATTTCATTTTGTTACTTGTAGGGCTTAATTCCACATTATTGTCCATGATCTACTCACGCTACTATGGAGATTAAAAGTGAATAAATGAAAACCTAGCTAAACCGAACAAGACTCTAAGAATCTGCAAGAGAGTCCTTGTCTGAAATTTGATCCAGTTTTATCGTGAATTTTTTGTTCAAAACATGCAGGTTAAAACCCTTTTAAAAATGGCGGGAAAGCGGATATTTCTGAACCTGTTCTAAGAGTCATTTCAACGCTTACAAGATCTGGGTTATATGTACCAAACACTGGTAGAAGCGCCTCGGTGAAGTCGATTCCTGTGAAAGTGTGAAGTTTCTTCTGTTTCCCAACGTCTGCAACCGTCCACTTTCGTCGTTTCGTATCAATCAACAAACCATAGGTCAACTCCACTGTAATTCCCGCCGCGTTATCTGACAGTGGCACGTATGTCAGAAGATCACGATTGTGCCAGAATTCATGGGCAAGTTTTCCGTCCTCTGGGTATCGTGCAACGTAGCAGGACCGCGCATGCTCATGGCGCTCCACAGTGTGATGAGTGTCAATAATGTCTTTGCGGCAGATGCCTAGCTCATACACTAGCCATGTTTGTTCTAAAGGCTGGTAAATTGTAAAGGACACGTCCACTTCATAGTAGTACTTTCCGGGATCTTTAAAAGCAAAATTGCCTATGATTCCTTTGTAATTTTGGAGTTGTTTCTCGGCAGTGCCACAGCTGCTGGGCTTGCCCGTCTTTCTGTTTCGTAAGACTTTACCATCTAAAGAGACCTCGCGCTCATTGTGAATAGTCAATACGTCAAAAGTGAATTCTGGACCTGAAATATTGTTTTATTGCCAATGATTAACATTAAAACTGAATTTCAGTGATTGGCAGAAGTCTATGCAATGCTGTAGCACAGTTGAGATATCTTGGTAATTATTTATCGGATTCAAATTATTAAATTCTTTCTAGGTTTTAAACCAAAACTGACGAAGAAAGAAAACTTACAGACGACGTCGCCATATATGACACCAGGAAGGTTCTTCAGTTCTGAAATTAAAAAAAAAAATCCATTATCTTACATGCACTTCAAAGAATGCATGAATGGAATGCCAACCTTGCTTATCGATGCTGAAACTCTCACAAAAGGAACAACTATATTGACATGTGTTCATCTCTTTTTAAAAGACTTACCAGGAGGCACTGACGTGGGTGTCTTGGGGGAGATTGGAGAGGTGACCGGCTGGAAGGGTCGATCTGGGCTCAACTGCTGGAAAGAATCTCGAGTGGCCTGTACTGTCCTCTCTGTAAAAGAATTCAACCCAGTCACTTTAAGTTTGATCAACTCAGCAAAATATGGTTTTTCAAATTTAATGGTCTGTAATATCTATGACATACCAGACTTCTTCATAGGTAATTCTCCTCTCATTTCTAGATTACCTGTTCAAAATGTTGATAGAAAATGTGTTAGTAATTATGTTGTGGATTAGTATGAGAAAACAGTTAGACTTGTACAATATGGGTAAGATTTTATATGGAAAGAACTAAATGTTTACTGTATACAAATATACACACACACAAAAATACATGTATCATGAAACAAACACACCTGATAAAAATAATAAGACTTTTGGTTTTAACTTCAAGGTAATGATAGGATCGTGGAAATTGCAACAATGGATTAAAATCACAAAGGGCCAAAATTACTTACGCAAAAAGTCCCCCAAACCTAAAGGTTGAGGTGAATCCAATTTTAACGGGGCAGGACGTGGTTTCTTTTCAGTGACGTCAGCTGTCACGTGATCATCAGATGCTAAGAATTTGATTGAAACCATAATGAAAGCGTGAAGCAATATTCAGTTCAAGATTATAGTGCAATAATAGATTATAGTCGATAAAAGAGAACAGAAAATATGAAGCTCAAGACACAGATTCATCTAATATGAAAGTGATATTGCTGGAAAGATCACTGCATGCACATGAACACGTAGAGGAAATATTTTTAAAATGTCTTTCTTTAAAACAATGCAACTGTATGTTTTGCAATAAGATTGTAGATTACCGATTGCCCACCAATTTTTATTCTGAGATTGCTTCAGTTTTTTCATCAATTAAATTTTTAGAGTGGATATTCACTCATAGCGAGAGTTAGGAATAATGCATATTACATTGTATATATAAGATATAAGAGCTAGAAAGTAGAACGAACACCCAATCACCTGTGTCCACGAAATTAAATGATTTATTAATTGCAAGGAAGCTTTACAGTTTAGGCGATATATGGGTTGATCTTTGAGGTTGTTAATTTGTGCATTTTTCTTTGGTAAAGATGAAAACTTTGGACCCGAATGTGGATTAAATTGCTTGAAACTAGAACTGTACGACTGAAACAATGGTGAAATACTTTGTCATATACACTCATTAACAAAATTTGGACCTTCTTTCCAACAATTTTCGAATTTCGAATGGAATTGGTACATGGAGCACCTAACGTATACTTTGAATAAAAAATTCTTTGCATTGGATGATGAATTTGTTTTAACAGTGTACGAAACACACTGACAAGATGTATTGAAATAAGAAAACATCTGAAATTAGTGTATATGCATTTGCTGTTAGTAGTTGAGCTATTCCCCAAACCCAGTCGTAATAAAAGCAACACACTTTTTGCACAAATATACGTGAAACTACCAAATCCATTTTTACTTCTGCGACTCAAACACAAACACCCTCTTCTGGTTTGACCAGGTTTTAAATCATTTATTCTTTTTATTAACACTTACGTTTAGCTCTGTTAAAAAAGGAACTTTTTTCTTCTGCGGGGTTTTTGGGCAAACCGTTCATCATGGCGATTGTGCTGATATTCCTCTTTTCCTCCATCGGCACAGGAAGACTTGATTGTCTTTGGACTGGTTCTCTGGTCAGTGTTGGTGTCGCCTGAACGCTCAGTTGACGCATAGGAATCGAATCGCTGCTGCGCAAAGCAGGCTGCTGTGGAGTTGGTGGTGTTGCAAAAGTGGTATTTCTCGAAGCTTCGCTGGGTGATGTCCGACTAGGTGAGCGAGCATTTTCTTGATTTAACGAAGAAACATACTCAGACCGACCAGCTTTCATGGAAGACTCTGTGTGTCCGTTATGCAGGGGGCTCTGAGGCACTGGACTTTCCCTGGACGACACATTTCCAATGCCGTTAATCAACTGCACGAACGAGTCATCACTCACTCCCCGTAAAAATCTTAATGCAACATCGTCTTTTGCAGGAATAGATACGTTAACATTTTTCAACTCAAGTATGCGCCTCAGTATGATGTTTTTGAGATTGAGGAACTCTGTTGCTGTTGTGTAAAGCAAAACCCGATTGGTAAAATCTGTGGCAGTTTTAACATCGGTGGTGTAGGATTTTAAGGTCTTGACTTTTTCTTGTAGGTCTCTTTTTTTCACTTGACAGTGATTTTGAACCTCCATTTGCAACTGGTATCTCCTCTCGTTCAGAATTTTCTGGTATTTGTCAAAAATGGTGTCTATTTCCTGGCTCATTTGGGTTTCTGTTGATGCTAACTCGTCAACAACGCGCTCTAATTGGTCTACAGCCTCCGACATTGGTGTTCCGCGGGCGTTGATCTCACGTATGACACTCTGCACAACTGTCTTAGAATCTTCATAAACATCGCTCAAGTTCCGGATAAGGTGACCATTGGTCTGGTTGTGGTCGCAGACGGCACAAAGTGTACAGATTGGAACGTCGCATCCTCGTCTGTCGCAGTAGAACGTGAATACTTGCTCCTCGTGTCCAGGTTTGTTGCACGTGTCTTTCCGATGGAATTCCCGGAGTCCAGAATCTTTCAGATCTCCAATGGATACCACTGTGTGCTTTCGAGTGATTGCTGTCCTCTTGTGAGCAGAGGTACATTCTGGACACATGAAATTGTAGCATTCCTTACAAAACGCCGAGGCTGAGGATTGATCGGGACAATCTGTGCATAGAATCTCTGAGGGCTTTCTTTGGATGCGAACAAAGTCTAAGTAGTTTCGACATGCCGTATCCAGAGGTAGATCCTTGATGGGATCATTAGAAATTTCGGTTTGTGAGTGGCACTCCGGACAGAAGATTTGCTTCCCGGAAACGATTCTTTCTAGGCAAGAGGAGCAACAGGTGTGCAAACAGGATAGAACGTGGGGGTACCGCTTGTTCTCGTCAAACTCATTGTGACATTGGACGCAATTAGTAAAAGCTGTGTTTTCCATTATACCTAAAGCAAAGAGAATGTGATTGTGAATGTGAAATTCATTTTAATCGCCAGTTGAATTAAAGCCAATTTTTTTTCTTACATATCAAGTCGTATATTGCGGTATTGATCAATGGAATTTTATCCAGGTAGTTTAAAGACTGAATCTATCTGGGGCCACAAAAAATGATAAGATCTATTGAGGCAGTTTAAAACATATCACATTTAGAGATATACAAACTACTCAATCAATTGATAAAATTTATCGATGCTTAACTTTTAGATGTGCTTAACACAACAAGAAAAGTAAAGTAAATAAGATAATAAATATGCCTTGAAAAGGGGTCTCCAAGCTACCTTAACATTTATTTATGTAATGTGTATTCATTCATTTAATTAATTTAATTTTGTGGAATGTTCATTCTTTTGAGATGTAGGACGACTCTTAGATAGAACTTGGTTGTCTTCTTCGATTAACCTTTGTTAGCCTCTTATTCAGGCATTATTGAACCCCCCTGGTCTTATTTCAATGCTGGTTTTGAAGTTTTGAACACAGAATGAAATGATGCCAAACAAATATTTCTTTGGAGGAAAAAAGGCACAATCACGGTTTAAATATCCAGGTTATTTACTATGTAGGTTTACAACGTACATTTTTTTGTATTGTTGTATTGTATTGTATTTTTGATATCCTTTTCTCCAACCAATGAACTTAGTATCAATTAATTATAAATAAATATCTTGTGCAATTTATTATTAAATACGTCTTTGTGTTAAATGCATGCATGGATATATTTTTTTTGGTCCCTCTGCATGGGAGGTCCTGGCCATTGTTTTGCAAAAGGGTTTACAAAGAAAATGTTAATAAATATTTTAAAATTGGAAATAATGGATATAAGCTTGAATAGCTGGCAAAGACGACAAACATGTAGGGTCATTTATATATAGAGATGCTGTAGATATTGCTATGGGTGTCAAAGCAAATCAAACATCTTCTTAAAAATCATTTTTGCGTCTGCTGGCGCCAGATGTTAAATTTTCACTACAGCGCCAAACAACTTATTATTGGAACGTGTCTGGGCAAATTTACGCGGGTGTCTTCTTTTGGTTCATGGCTAATTATTTTGATAAAACATTGATTATTAATATGAGCTATGTCCAGTTACATATATGATTTACATACATTTGTCTAAAATTAAAAGTCATACTTGACTGAATGAAACTGTCACATAGGTATTTTGCAGAAAGATCTGATTAAATATTTAAATGTCCCATTTCGTGCGAAGAAGAGGTAAACAAAAATATACTTACATATACAAATATAAATCCCGTTACACGTATGAAAAAAGTGCGCTTTCAAGCCATATCAATTTCTTGTGTCGTTTTTTACTTGTTCTTGGATGGAATTGCGGCAATGACTTCCAAGTTGGTCAAAAACTTTTCAGGTGTAGTAGTAAATATATATAAATGGGTTACTGGTATTTAAATCTGCAGGTACAACTCTAGTCCCTTTAAATCCCATGTACATTCAATAAAAACCAATTAAATAACAAAGTGGAAACTAAAATCTCAGGCGCAGGGTCAACAGCTTAATGATAAGTACAGATTACCAAAATTTCTATACGTAAGTGCACAGAAATAATATCTTATAATTAAATAAATATTTTATACTTATGATCTATTAGCTTGCAGTCAAGAAACCACTCAATGCATTCTGATCTTTAAAGAAAATATTGATTTATGGCTGTGTATTTTATGAGATACTCAAACGTATATATTTTTTTCTGGAGAGTTTCATACAGAATTTGACTTTTTTGAGTGTTCAATATTTCCTTACTTGGCTGCAAGGAATAAGAAATTGTTAGCAAACCTTTCGGAGGGGCTTTTTCCTAAAACTGGGGGCACAAGGTTATGATTTAGGGAAAGGAGATGGGGTTGTGTACTATAATACAGTACTTTACACCTCCCCTCCCCCCAAATGGTACTCTGTCAGCTAGGTAAGTATATTACAAAGATATCTAGTGATCCAAACGTCAAAATTCAATTTCGAGGAGGGGAGGGAGAATTCTAATTTTAACTCATTTTCAACCAATTCATGTATTGTTCTTTTCGTAATGTAACATTAAAATTGCTGAAATATTAGGAGTATCCCTCGGCATAATTTTCACAGATATGTTCTGAATGCTTTGTATAAACTGTAACCCCCCCCCCCCCATAATAACATTGCAGATCATTTGTTCTGGATATTGAAGATTTTTCATTCGAACCGCTTTCTCCCAAAGCTTTATCCATTATACACATGTAGAATCATTTTAGTCCCCACGTCCCGCAGTCGAACCAGCAATGCAGGGATCAATTCCTTAAATGCGTCTCTAAATGCAATGCTCCAAACTCTGCGCCACAAGCAATCATTTCTGGTCATCAATACTTTGTTGTATATTAATGTATTTTTTTTTCATTTGTGGGGAATATGGTACATGTAGATACCTTTTATAGTTAATAAAATAAATCAACTCAATATTTTCAAAGGTCCTTAACTACTTAACAGATAGTAATACAGAGAAAAGGTTTGAAACAATCCTTAAAATCTGCTCTTCGTAACTGGTGGAGAAAATGAGACAGTAGACTACAAAGCTCACCTGGGTAAACTTACCAGTCACCAAATTCTTTTTTCGCCTGTTTACTCCCTTGAAAAATCTGAACCATTCTAAATAGTTGTTTCAATATCAGTAATGACCAACATGACCAGGCGCGGATTCAGGCGGAGGCGCTCCAGACGCGCGCCCCACTAAAACAGAAGAAAATCAGATAGTTTTCAGTGTCAACCATCGATGTGATAAAGGTAAATTTACAGCCACTTTTGAGTCAAAATAAAGACTACAAATTGTCAATTCTTAGAAGCTTACGGAGGACTTGCTCTGGGCACCCACTGGATATTGTCCATGGCCTGCTCAGGACCTCGAAGATATCCATACCCTTCCTATTCAATATAGCACCCCTTTAACACAAGATCCAGGATCCGTACCTGATGCAGGCCCGTTCAACACAGGAAGGGGGTGTCACTTTTTTCTGGATAAAGTATTTTTCTCTAATAAATTTAAAGTACGATGCTGGTTGCCTCCCCCTCCCCAACCACTTTTTTGTTGCTGTAAGGCTGAGCACTCGCAAATTCCAGGATTTGGATAGTAAAGGATTTTTTTTTTGCTTGTCAGATTATTTTGGGAAGTCCCCCACCCCCATCCCCCCTCCTTCTGGACAATTTAGGCTTTTTGTTTGTTTTTATGGTTTGTCAGATTTTTTTGGGAGGTTGCCCCTCCACTTTTGAAACCGTTGCTGTGGTGACCTTGCTGCTATGGAGAAAATGTTTTTCCTGCATATTTTTAACATAGATAATCAGATATTACAGAGCTCACCTCAACAAATGTTGTTTTTAAGCAAGGCAAAGTCCCACACTAAACTAGTAGTGTGCATCCCTAGATGTAACATTTATGCAATTTTGGTCTGATAGGGCTTGCAGTTACTTGAGAAATGGACTTTCCTAAAACTTTAAACTAGTCACTCATCCAGAAAATGTAAGTCAGAACCAGCATCTGAAGCAAGTCTGGTAGTGTGCATCCTTAGATGTATCATCCTTGCAAGTTTGGTTAAAATAGGGCTTATAGTTACTTGGAAATGAGATCTGCTCCAAAAACTATAACCTGGTCACTCATCCAGAGTGTAGGTCAGATCCAGCATCCAAAGCAAGTCTGGTGGTGTGCACCCTTAGATGTATCATCCATGCAAGTTTGGTCAACATAGGGCTTATAGTTTCTTGAAAATGAAATCTCCATAAGCTCCACCAACTTCGTTGAGGTGAGCTAAAAATTGATCCCCAATTAAAGCCCAACCCTAACCTTAGGATCCCTGATTTGAAGGGGGGGGGGGGGGAATTGAATCCACACAACTTGGGAATGTTTTCAAACTGATGATCTAGTTAAAATAGAAGAAATCAAATATAGGTAAAGTTTACATAACAGGTGGATGAACAAACAGACACTGGCTGATCAGAAAAGCTCCAGCTTGATAAATGCTTGGGGAAGCCTTCTTCAATGATGTTTAACATGGATCATTTGCAATAAATGGGCAAATACATAAACACTTGCAAAAATTATTCTTCATTTATTTCATGAAATTTTGTGTGACAAAACATACACATGTATATATACAAATTTATATTCCCTGATTATGTTTTGGATAGAAACAGTTTTCAATTTAATATACAAACATTTTTAAAGAAAAAGTTCAAGTACACACTCATCACTTTTCTTTCATGTGTTTGAAAAAAGAAAATTTTGAACAAAACTCTTACATGTACCTCATATTTAGAAAAACTATGATAAGATATACATATTCAAAAGAATTGATCAAATTCTAAATATTTAATCTTTGTTTAAAATATTGTTACCAAGCATGCACAATGATCCTGTCCCCAGATCCTATGAGGAATCAGTATTCATATTAATACATTAATCACCATTGTATCAAAATGTATTTGCTATACTGGAAAAATAAGGTCAAGAGTGGTGTTGGAAGCTTGGATGACTCTCCATATTAAGCTGTTTTCCAGGCCCTTAGATTGGTCATTATAAATGTCAGCACAGTATTTTCTCATACCATATTAGAAAAAAATTATTGTAGAACTGAGAATGTATTGCAAAGTTAACAAGGTTAAAGACAATACAATTTGATCATCCTCCACTCTTTTTTATCCAGTATATAAAAGATCTTCATACATTCTGCAGAGAGCCAAGAGAGAACTATCATGACTTTGTCTGTCCATCTAACTTGCAATCATTTGACAGCCACCTTTGACAAAATGTCTTATTTTTACTCTTTCACAAAACATATTTACAGTAGCTTTATCGTCGACAGGCAAGTCACATCCTCTGCAAACTTCACTTGGGTAAAATACCTTGACCTTTACTTCACCTTTGATGAAATTTCTGTAGCTCTGATGTCAACATCAATACATTTCAAGTCCACATCCACAGTGTCTTACATTATCGTATGCTGGAAGGCAGTGAAAATGTTTCCTTCACAGATTTGGTCTGTGCGGTTTTCTTGACCTTCTCTTTATCTTTGACGAAGCATTTCCACAACCTGATTGTCTCATCTGCGGCTGCACTGGCCACTGTTGTACCACAAGGAGACATGGTCAGGCTCAGTACTCTTGCCTCATGTCCTGCCAAAAACATTCAATAAAAAATTTCATTGGACTTTTTTCTCCTCCTTATACAGTAAGCTTATTTTAATCAATTAAATGCATGTATTTAGCACATCATGATCAGATTTTTTCAGTGCCCATTCTCAGATACCAAGGATATCTTGAAAAGTGAGTCTATACTCCTAATTCGTGAAAGATTTTGATAAACCCCACATACAGGTAGATTCATCAGTTCTGGTCTGTTTTGAGTGCATATTTTACTTTTCTCTGAGATATATGACATTGAAATATTAAAATTTAAGGGAATTATGGACTTGTCATCAGTAAATGAAAACAGTACTTGATAATGAAAAGGAAACTACGAACCTGTCAGCTCAGCAATTCTGTTCATCTGAGGGTACTTCCATATGGTCAGCTGGTTCTGGGAATAGCCATGACCCGAAATCATTTCTTTGTAGTCACTGGACCACAGTATAGAACAAACCTGTAACCAAATTAGTAGTGTTGATCCCTCTGGTATTACAATGATGAATGTCATTCATGAAGAATAATATCAAACATATTTATGAAATTTTCATAAGAGACTCCAGAATGTAATGATTTACCTGCGTGTCTAAGGCAATAATGCGTCATTGGCTAGCACTGTCATTACCTGTAAGTTTGTGTCTATGGCATTTACATGCACCCCGTTGGATAAGAGACATTGAGATTTCATACATGTATATATGTACATGTATGTCTAGTAAGGGAATTCCCTTAATTCCTCGCGTATTACATCATCAGTTTTGGTGTTTACAAGGTTTTTACGCCTTGTTACATCTTGTAGAATGGCATCTGTACATAAGTGTAAATGATAGCTTTTGTAATAAAAATTAGTCAATTTATGTGTATATATGTACATGTATGTCTAGTAAGGGAATTCCCTTAATTCCTCACATATTACATCATCAGTTTTGGTGTTTACAAGGTTTTTACGCCTTGTTACATCTTGTAGAATGGCATCTGTACATAAGTGTAAATGATAGCTTTTGTAATAAAAATTAGTCAATTTATGTGTGAAAATGTGATTTTTGTACAATATTTAGGATATTTGGTTTCATGAGTACTTATTTAACCATGCTTTGTTTACTGACTTAAGTCAGACTGACACAAAACTAATAAATAGTAGAAAAAGAGACAATGATCGCAGTGTACACATTCATTTACACGTCATTAAAATCTCAACTGACAAATTACAAAAACGTGTACAAGTTTAAGATCTCAACCTCTCTAATATTGTTATATTTACCTGTGAGTTTGTGTCTATGGCATTTAAACATGCCCAATAGGAGACGTTCCACAGTCTGTGAGTAATATGACATTTACACACGCCCCATTGGATAATATTGTTATATTTACATTTCCAATTCTTTGTTCGAGATAAAATTTCAAATAGTAAAAATACTTTATTTCTACATAAATCTACTGGTTCATCGATAGGCGCGGTGAAAAAAAATCACGCGGACAGACAGAGACAGGCTCAACAGACAGAGACAGAAGCGGGGCTTGTAGCATGTGAATTTGCAGAATCAAGAGCATGTAAATATAAGGAATAACTGTCTAATTTTTTGGTTTCATGACAATGATCAATCGATTGACTTGCGTGATAATTTTATGCATAAACGCCTTTGGCGTTTATGCAAATTATCACACAAGCCAATTGATTGATCACATCATGAAACCAAAAAATTAGTTATTCTTTAAATATTTAAAGTGACAGTACGGCGCATCTCATCAAAAAACTGACTTGATAAAATTTTCCGACAAGATTTGGTATTTTTTTACTGCTCATAAATGTATAAACTTTCAGAAAATTACAACTGTCACAATTAAATAATTTTGATTATTTCGTTAAAATTAATAGTTATTCATGGGACGTGAATATATACATCGCAACGTGTTCGGGGTTCCACATTCCATGCTATGCACGCATGCGTAGTTTTCATAAACAAAACAGCATGGTTAGAGAGAGAAGCCAGGTAGGCCTGCTACATTGACAAAGTCGACCAAAAAGAAAAAGAAACTGAAAATAGAACTTGAAAAAGCAACTTTCCTGACTAAAATTTAGTTTGGGTATTAATATAATAGCTGGATAAGGAAGAAACGGGAACTCGGCGACACTCGTGCAGGGCTCTCGAAGGTTCTATTCGACAGGTTTGTTGATACTTATCATTTCTCATTTTTCCATCGCTTTCAAAGAAAAAAAAAATTAGTGTAAACTCAACATAAAAATACACCTTTGACTTATAAACATTGTTGCCATTTGAAGTGCTAATTAGTGTAACTGTGCAGAAAAATATTTTGTTTGACATTTGCCGCGATAACGTATGATTAGTTGGTTTTTCCTTTCTCGGACCCCAATACACAAAACGTCAACATTTGTACTTTTAATTCTGTTAAATTCGCCTGAAAGCAGACAAAAAATCTTTACGATTATTATTTTAGATTATTTTATAAGAAAGTTATGATAATTTGCTTTTGAGAATTGCTTTTACTTAATATTCATTATAATTGTAAACTATACAGTGTAGGCACGTGTCGTTTTAGAATTCACGTGGTACAAATAAACAGATTTAAGATTGCTCCAGTTCGTACGACCCTTGATTTTCCGGCAGATTCTAATTACGTTAATTTTGTTTGAGTAGAGAATATTTCTGTTTCTCAAACTGCTTACATCAACTTTATTCCTTATTTCTTAGCGACATATTGGGTAAATTTGAATGAAAAAGCACACATTTTGCAGCCGTACTGTCGCTTTAACTCTGAGTTTGTGTCTATGGCATTTAAACATGCCCCATTGGAGACGTTCCACAGTCTGTGAGTAATATGACATTTACACAGGCCCCATTGGATAATATTATATTAACCTGTGAGTTTGTGTCTCTGACATTAACACATGCCCCATTGGAGATGTTCTACAGTCTGTGAGTAATATGGCATTTACACATGCCCCATTGGATAATATTGTTATATTTACCTGTGAGTTTGTGTCTATGGCATTAACACACGCCCCATTGGATAATATTGTTATACAGTCAAACCTCGTTATCTCGAACTCGAAGGGACCGAGAAAAAACTTCGAGATATCCGAGGAATCGAGATATCGAGGGTAAAATACTTAAAGAATAAGTGGTTGGGACATGCAAATCACTTCGACATATCCATCGTATTCAAGATATCAGTGTTGGAGATAACGAAGTTCAACTGTATTTACCTGTGAGTTTGTGTCTATGGCATTTATACACGCCCCATTGGAGATGTTCCACAGTCTGATGTGTCTATCTGCAGTTCCTCCTCCAGAGGCCAGCAACACTGGGTTCCAAGGACACCACGCTAAAGCCTAACAAATAGAACCAGGATTCTTATTAGATTTACTTCCTCAGACAAGAGTTTAGGAATGCTGCAAGATAAATTCATTTAGGAAAAACCGAAGCCAATATTCTTAGGCATACATCTCTAACTGCGGCTGGAAAAACCAGAAATGCATCTGATATTCAGTTGCCATTACTGAAGCAATCCTTCTTCCATTTTGTGATTTTCACACAAGAGATAGGGCAAATATTTGTGTCATATAGAAAATCTCTCTCCATAGCAAGTCTTCCCCTGGAAGTTTTGTTTTACAAAGACATTTCCCATGGGGAATATACACCATCATCACATAATATTTTATGTATAGTGAATCACCACTTGGATTTGGAGAGGAGAAATTTGTTTTAGAACTAGTAAATCATCCATTAGGGAATTGTACTGTATAGAGAATCTTTTTTTGGGGGGGGGGGGGGGATTCATGTACTATGTTATACAATATCAACCCTACCTCTACAGAATTAAAATCTGAGTTATGATCTCTCTTAGCAGACTTAAATCACAGTTTTTTTTCTGACTGAAAATAACCTTATACATATTATAAGAATTCATGCTTCCAAAAAAATCATTTTCTATCTTATCTGTTTCTATCTTAGTATCTTATTTTAGAAGCAATGTATTAAAGAACATTAGGTATGAGATATTGTTGAATGTACAAGTGTTTGTCCTTTACATACCTTTACTGCAGCAAGATGATGTGTGAATGTCTGAAGAGGTAAAACACCCTCCAATGCTAAGGTGGTGTCCCATACATTGACCACATTATCATTGCCGCCGCTTGCCAAGTGGCGTCCATCTGGTGACCAGGTTAAGCCACATATTTCCTGGGTGTGCTCAATCAAAGAGCCAACATGATGTTCAGGAACGCGTACGTCATGGTGATGAATAGCTCCAGATCTTGATCCACTATATAATCAAAACAAGACCCATGAGCTTAGAACAAAGGAATACATAAAGAAAAGAAACCTCTTCCTGTTAAAAAAAAAAGTTTATGAAAAATCAAAATGAATATTCAGAAGTATAAAATAATTTGTTCAAACCTGCTGACAATATGAGAATTCCAGGATAAAGAGCCAACTCTAGCTGCATGACCAGTCATCTGTCTCAGGAGTTTCTCAGCCTCCGTGTCCCATAGCTATAAGGCATAAACATTGTAGTATATCTAAATGTAGTCAACGACTTGTTAATACATCATAAGCAGTAAATATAAAACTTTTATTAAATATTACAACTTACCTAAGTCTTTACATGGAATTTATTAGCAAAAATTTGATCTTGGTCTGTCATTCAATGATTTATGGTTAAAAAATTTACAATAACACAAAAGACGTATTGGATGAAACATTTTTTCATTGTATCTAGATATATTAAAGTAATATCTGCAGAGATTTATGGAGAGCATGTCACGAATGAACTGAGCTTGAGTATAAGTACAGTCAAACCTCATTAAACTTCAAGATATCCGAGGATTTGAAAAAAAAAAAAAACGAAATAAAAAAATAAAGTAGTTGGGACTGCCAAATCACTTCAACATATTCCTAGTATTCAAGGTATCAGTGTCTGAGATAACAAAATTTAACTGGATAGCCCTACAATTTTCCAGTTCAAGATTCCTTCGTTTTCTGACAGTCTAATCTACTGAGCCAAGGTCTGTTTTTGCCTGAAATTGCTAAATTGTCTCAGAATGTGCATTCTCCCCATAAATACATCTGACTTACCTGTACAGCCCCAGAATTTGTCCCCACAGCTAGAATTCCTCCCTCGGGGGTCCAGGACAGCCCTGTTATGTAATCATTTTCAGACTGCATATTCAGGAGTTGGGAGATGGTACATGTTGTTGCATTCCAAAGGTAGATTGAAGTTCCCAAGGCAACAGCTAAAATATTTGATGTCGACCAGTCTAACAGATTCAGATCTGAAATAAGATGCATACCGGTATATATTAGCTTATATAGATTTTGCATCTTCACAACACACAGAGATTAATACACAAGATGAAAAGCAATGTGCAACCTTTCTGAATTAGATTCTATGAAATTTCTAAAGGGAGTTTAATTTTTGTGTCTTGTATTAATGGAAGAAAAAGATAATTCATGCACTTGATTTTCAAGTATATTATGTAATTTGAAGCAGTTACTTTGACAATTTGTTTTAAAATGATGATAATAATCTTCTTCCTTAAATAATCTCCTGGTCTGTATGCCAGGCAATGCTTGTTACGCTTCATCATCTCTCTAAACACTCATATAAAATTATGAATCAAAGTGCTAATGATAAAAAAGAACTCTAATTTTTAATCAAAATGCAAATAATTTCTGCATTTTTTCATGGGGCAAACTTTGACAGGAATGTCCTTTCAACTTGATATTTTTTTTTAAAAAGAAATAATAGTCATTTATCCCAGGGTGAGAGTTATCTCTCTTATCAGATCAATGAACCTTAATTCGGTGTACTATCCAGAACTGCATGAAGGATAAAACATCATCAGGCACATATATCTGGGAAACTGAGAATGAGATTTGTTTCTGGTCTTGTGGTTCTTTAGTGTTTTTTTTTTTAATGATTCCATCATATTTTCTCTATTTCTAAATAATTTAATTTTGTTTGTATTCTAGCCTGTGATTGGTTAATATCCAAAAAGGAACACGAATTATTTCTCTATAACCTGGTTTGGTATGGGGACACCCCCCCCCCCCCTGACAACCAGCTGAATCGTCTGTATCCATGCAATCCTCTCATTTCCAGTCCTCGGGATTCATGGAAAATTCCAGATTTAATAAATGTACCTTTAACTTCAAAAAATAATTCGATCTTACCACATGTAAACAAACAACATGGCTGCTATGCCTATGTATCAGTTTTTACCTCCCCTCACTTCCCATCACTTCTGTTACTACGGTTGTATTATTGAGCGGCAAATTTGAACTAATAAAAAGCAACGAAATTTTACACCCATAGTTATTTAATGATTTTAAAATTAAATTATAAGGAATGACTCTAATTCTTGGCCAAATTATTCGAGTATAACCTGGTTTGGATCAATTTACGCTGTTTTATAATCCGCTTTGCGGATTATAAAGCGTAAACTGACCCAAACCAGGTTATACTCGAATAACTTGGCCAAGAATTAGAGTCATTCCTAAAATAATCTCCCCTTGAGAGAGGTTTCAGGTCTTCATTTGAACAAATTTAAATCCCCTCGCCTAATGATTTTTGAAGCAAGTTTAGCTTCAAGATAAGCCCAGTGGTTCTGGAGAGGGAGTAAAAAATGTGAAAAGTTAAAAAGAGTGAGGTACGGAGTTGGATAAACTCACGACAGACAACAGGTGATCAGAAAAACTCACATGAACCTTTGGTTCAGGTGAGCTAACAATACACAAATCATGAGTAGCATTATACATGTAAATTGTTCTTACAATAGTCATCCAAAAGTTCAGGAGCATCCAAAATGCGATCAGGTTGCTGTGGTATGTTACGAGTTGTGGACTTGGGGGCCGTTGTTTTGTGACATGAATACAAAACTTTCATTCTGTTGTTGTGGCCTGTGAAGAGCAAATGATCATATAGTCAATGTGAATCTCAAGATGTGATTGGGCTTGATCTTGTTCAACAAATCAGTGGGTGTACCCAGGGTTCGATACTAACTTCTAAACCATAGTAGTCCACGGGCTAGTAATTTTCAACACCTACTAGCCCTGTTCATAATTTAGTTTGCTGGCTGAGTTGCAAAGCAATGAGGGGGGAAGGTGCTAAAGGGGTTTTCCCCTCCTGCTGGTGGGAGAACAGGGGGCCTCCCCCAGGAAATTTTGAAAATAAAGACGCCAAATCCTATGTTGTGGCTGTATTTTAGAGCAAAATTATGTGACTTAATAAACGTAAGAAAAGATATTTTTTTTCTTATCAGTATCTTGTAAACCACACTTTTCAGTGATAATTCAGCATCTACGTCATGTGTTTAGAAGTCAGTGTATTGCTTGTATTCTCTGCTTTTATATCATAGCTTCAAACATTAAGATGATAAAGATTTTTGATAGGTCAGCTCAAAACAAGGTCTGGCAATGGAAAAATCGACAATCCGACTTATCTGATGAGGATTCAAAAGTTATTCTCAAAATCACACTAACAATTTCGGAATTTTCAAATTTAAAACAAATCTTTACAATTGCTTTCTGTGAGTGTATGCAGTATCTGAAATTTTAGTAGCTCTGTAGGACAAGCTTGATGACTTGTTTCATAGCCAAACCTCAATTTTCAGTTGGCTTGGGCTAGGGGGCTATTGTTAGTGTCGGTCCCTGTGTATCATAGAGCTAATGTCAATAACAGTATTTCTGTCTGAGATACTCTTGACTATGCAGAAAAGTTCATGTTCTCATGAATTTTCAAAAATTTTAAATTCATTTCTTATATGACTTGAAGCTACAGTTACCACTTATCTGAAATACCTGTAAGCATATATCCAATTGAACTGCTACCTCAGATGCTGATATAACATTATAAATCAATAGTGAATTCAGTAAAACAAGTATCTTTGCTTGCAAGGACTTGCTTGGATATTTTCTGGTATTAAGTCTACCTGTGGCAGCTGGACATTTGTTGTGTAGCGACAGAATTTTTGTATCCTGTGGATTCTCTCCCTTGTTCAGTACATCATTCAGCTGAGTCTGATACGGAGCTTTAGATGGGGACCAGTCAGGGTCATTTTCTTCATTTTCTCCCTTTTCTTTCATTATTGCAAAATGGCTGAGATCAATATCTTGAGAAGAACGGCTTGGTATAAACCTATAGAATATACAAATAAAAAATCTGATTGATCATTTCTGTTTTCAGAACAAAATAACTTTTACCTTTGGGCATCAGGTTAATGGATATCTCACCTGGATATTCTGATATAAAAAAATTATCTGAGTGGGTGAAATTTCAAATTATGTCTTTTTAACGGGTATAGCCCGGTTGATGATTTTTGGTAATCTAGGGTCAAGTTAAATGTCTTAATTAATAGTTGTAACAACTTATTTTTTTTTTAAATGCACTTAGTTTATTTCACATGTTTATGAATACACCAGGGTTTGACACTAAGGCACATCTGACCGACCCAGTCTAGTAAATCAGTGGTCCGGTTGTGTAAAATGTAGGTGAACTAGACCGATTGGTCTTGTTGATAAAATAACTGTTAAACTCCCATTTCAGTCTTTCAAATAAATAATCTAAAAACTTTTTAAAAAATTTTCACATTTGACTGATGCCATCGCTGTATGAAAAAAAAAATCCCCACATGACACAATCACTTTTTTTAGCCATGGCTGTAACAGACAAGTCGAGGTTGAAACTACTGTAGTTCAGTATCAATATGGTATAAATATTTACGTATAGTATAAATTAATATATTAATATTTACGATAATTATCTAATTAAAGGTTGTTGAATGTTCTTTAAGGTTTATAATACTCAAATGTCCCGATGAACTGGACTCAATTGACCAATCGAACAGTCTGTCAAAGATATTGACACGCAAAAGATGATGTCATCATGATGTCTTTCAAAAGTTATCTCATTAAAATTCTTGATTATAAGAAGTAAATTTGCAAGTTTGGTCAGGGTTAGTGATTTTATGGTCAGGACTAGTAAAAATTATGGGAAGTAGCCCAACTGGTCTAGTACTTGTAAAAGTTAATGTCAAACCCTGTATACAAAGAAATACAGTAAAACTTGTCTAATCCTACATGCACTGGGAGACAAATTTTGTGCCGAAGAAGACAAGGTGTTGAATTTCACAGTGTAAAAAACATGAAATTAACACAGACACTTGGGGTATGGATCCCCCCTTTCCATTTTTTTCTTTTTAAATCTGGGGTCAAGTCACCTTTTTCCTATTTTTGTCTTCTAAGATGCATAACGTGTTATCGATAATGTAACCATTTTGCCTCTATAACAGGTATAAACACCAACTGAACGCTAAAAAGGGATTGCAAAATAAAATTATCAGCTGAGACAAGTGCATTGTCAGTATCTTCTTACTCTAACCTGTCTGGTCCTGATTGTTTGTTGGGGGTTTTGCTTGGTGTCTTTCCTTTCTGTTTTGAAATCTTTTCATATTTTCCTGGTGTTTTGGAAACAGAGACAGTTTTACCAGCTTTTCCTGAATTTTCACTTGATTTGGGTCTCGGTGAGAGCCCTGAAATAGAAGGTACTTTAAATTACTGCTAGTAGATACATCAAAATGCAAAGAGCATTATTGTAAAATTTAATATACACATGAAAAGACTGAAGGTTGAAGCAGAAGAAGATTTATAATATAGTTTAGTTTTTAACATAACTTATACATGTACATATTTTAGTCTAATGGGAAAAAAGTGAAAAGGAAATAAAAATTATTTCATGAAGATACAGTGCATATGCAGCAGCATTGAATTTATCTCCACCTTAATATTAAATTTTGTTTTTTAAAATTCACTTATTCTTTACCTGTGCTGGAATCTGATCCTTTCTGTCCTCTCAATAAAGACTCAATGGCCTTCCTTTCATATCTACTTTTTGGCCCGTGCTGCAAAGGTGCATCAAGTTTGGTTGCCTCACTCAACAGGTTCTCAAAATTAAAGTGTGACATTCTAACAGGATTCCCTGAAATCGATTTATTTACATTAAAAAACATGAACAATTTTGAAAGGAAAGTTGAGGAATATCAATTTTTTAAAAAAATATATAGATCCCCCCCCCCCCCCACCATTGAGCACAAAATATATTTTCAATAAGTACTTTTTTTCATAGCTGCCTTCCATTAAAGAAAGAAAATAAAGATAGAGGAAATAAAAGTATATGTAAAGTAACCATAACTTAAGCAGTTTGTGATTGAATTTATTTTATAATACCTAAATTATCTAAATGATTAATTTTGGAAAACAGTATTAGTTTATTTAATTTCTGATTATTTCATAACATGACTAAGATAAGATGATATTTTATGGATCAAAACCTGAAATAATCATCTGACAGGGCTGTATACATTTCACATTTTTTTAAATTCATGATTGTGAAAGGAGGGTGCCTTTTTTTAAAACATGCAGTAAACCAAAACATCCTTGATATCTAGCACTGAAACTGAAAGCAACGGAAAAGACGATTTCTAACGATGTAAACTGTTACATGGAAAGTCTAGAGGGAACAAGTTTGGTGCAGTTTCTGCCCTCTCTCGATTTTCCGTGTAATTCCAGGACGCCTCTACATTTTACATAATTAGAAATTGTCACTTCCGCCGCTTTCAGTGCTAGGTATCGAAGACGTTTTGGTTTACTGCATGTTTTATACAGCAAGCTCAAATCGGCAGACAATTGAAGGGCGTTATTCAATCATTTTTGAAGCTAGATCTCACCCAACACCGATAGGAAAAGTGTAAGATATTGACTAAAATCAAGTGTGAACCTAGGCACCCCTTGAAATCCAAGATGGCAACTGTCTTACCTTCCCTCTTTTTTATATACAGTAATATGATATTTTTAAAACCTGCTAATTTTAGCGATATTTGATTTTTATTTTAATGAGTGTAGGTATTAGGACACACCTAGAAAAACACATAATACACAAAATACACCATCCTGAAACCAAGTGCCTATGGTTTTGTGCACTCTAAGTACTCAGCAACCTTTTTAAACATAAACTATCTTTCTATTAATATACATGTCATGTATATTTATCAAAAACTGTGGGATCTATGTTCTAAACACCAGGGATACTGAAAAACTTGTTTACAAAAAGTTTTTCCTTTTTATGTATTTTTATGCATAACGAAGTAAATTTTCTTCTTCTTTTTTTTGGCAAGGTAAATTTTATATCACATCTGGGACATAACCAGGTCCAGTACAATGAGTATACATTTAGCTACGTAGCTAAAATTAGCTACGTAGCTAAAATTTCCTACCGTAGCTTTATTTACCTACCTCAGGTAGCTTTATTTAAAGCTATTTCAAGGCAACTTTTCACAATTTTTCTTTTTATTTTAAAAAGACAAAAAGTTGCAAGTAAATGTCTACTAATATTTTTTCTAGGTATTATTTAAAAAGCAATCTAAAGCAGAGATAGTTTTAACATTGCTGCGTTTGAAAACTTTTAAGGAAAATATGTATTTCCATTGATTGAGTAACTGTACACCACCTTGTGTGCGATGAGGCATGGATAAGTATGAAATAATTACTTCACACAGGTGACACTGGTTTTCTTTGTTATTTCACTCAAGAAGTAACTGTTAGGTCACAAATTAACTGTTGTATATAACCCCAAAACCTTTAGAACTTTGAATGCAATTGTGCAGAAAAAGACACATCTCCAAGAGAGATTTTTTCATGAATTGTTTTCAGATGAGTTCAAAGTTGAAAATTATCACTGCATCAAAGTGAAATTTTCCGAACTCCTGTGTTGTACCAGACCTGATAATATTGTATATCCAAAACATCCCAAATGGGCAATATTGGTTTCAAACTGTCCTGCAGTTAGAGATACCAACCGTGATTCCACCTGAGCCTGAGGTACAGCGTTCAAACTCTGTTTACTGATACGAAACTTGAATACTTGTCATTTTCCCGCAATATCACCACGTGACTATTACGGGATTTCGAACCCGACCAAATTTCAACGAGTGACTGGGTGAAATGGCCATTTTCAGACTATTTAATCATCCTGGAAAAGAAATTGCATAAAATATTATTGCAGAACATGTGTTCTTTTTCCTCACTAAAAATAGTTTATGGCTCGAAAAATCATATTTCATATTTTTTAGGCGGATCTATTGAAAATAAATAGATAAATCAGATAGTGTGAGACTAAATAAAAATCAATGCACATCATCAATTATTAGAACTGGAACTTCTATATACTTGAGGAAACCATAACCATGGCTAAAGTGTATAATTTACAGTTGTTGAAAATTTAAAAAAAAAAAAAAAAAATACTGTATAACATATAGATGTGTAGAATGATTTTACAGGCCTTTTCACTCTAATAATTCCACTTAAAGCAGCTAAAATCTCCGTGAAAAAATCTTTTGTAATGCTTGTATATCCATGAGCGTTGATGTCCTAAAATGTATATATTTTGCATGTATTTGAATCTTTTGTTCCTAAATTGTGGAATTTATGGTCTATGTCATTTATTCTGAAGTAAATCAGACAGAACAAGGAAGACAAACACAATTTCCATTTTCCGTGTAGCAGAAAGGCAAAATTTTCTCAATTAAATCTTATTTGACTTCGACATACCCTTCATTTCGCTCAATATTGGAAAGAACTCCCATTGGTAAGAAATTATGGTAAGATTATTTTAATAGCAAAATTTAGCATTTTCTTATCAAGCTTTCTCATAACTCAATAATTTAACCTCTTCCCTCCTCAAGTTTACTTAGGACAAGTCATGGGGATTTCACTGGGTTTTTTTGCTTTTGTTTTGTTTTGTTTTTTGTTTTGTTTTTTTTTTTTTTTTTTTTTGGTGACGTAATTTCGTGGATATTTCGTAAATACAGAAGATTCAATGAACCGATATTTTGGCAGAGTTATTGTTCGTAAGGATGTAAATTCGTGGGTAAGGGTGACCCACATATACACATACTTAGGCACCCGAACAATAACGATTCAACACTATTTACGAAAGTAAAAATTTTTTAGTTACTGCATGTGATCTGATATGAAATAAATTCTTTTTTGAAAATGACTTTTGAGCCTAGAAATGATGATGTCTTTCGAACCAAGAAACATTTGTTGAGAAAAGCTGAAGTGAAAACAATTTTTATGTAAAAATATCTAACCACAAATTCCTTATAAAGTAAATTTTTGCCAAGGTATGAACAAGATTTGATCAAGAGTGTAAAGTCACAGATAAAATACTAGAATATCATTGTCCTTAAATGAGAATTTATTAATAATTTTTCAGCTAAAATTAATGATTTTTTTACACACCCATAAACAGGTAATTTGTTTATTTGTCCTCATTGTCCTGTCCCTAATCTAAGTCACGCTATGACACTGAATATGAGTTCCACATTTAAAAAAAAATGATCGTTTTCAAATTACATGAAATACACCTAGGAGTGCTAGGACTCAAAAATTCATAAAGATAAATAAATACCATTTCTAATGCATGAATTCATGTGATATGTGGTTAATTACTATAGGCTTTAAGACTTAGAAGATAGACAAATTAGTTTAAATGAAATCCAACATTTATCCAAGAGTAAAACATCTCTCTCTTTTTCTCTCTCCTTCGTACATGATTAAAGTGCACACAAATTCATCTATTCAAATACAATTTACTTGAGATGATAAAAAATGTCCGCTGACCTGTTTTCGACAATTCTAAATTTAAACTGTTTACTACAAAGATATCCTTGAAATTAAGTTTAGAACATAATGCGTAGATGAATAGTATGGCGGAGTGTAATTGTAACAACACGGAAGTGTAGAGTTCTTGGTAATAAATCAAGTTTTCACAGTTAAATAAAAAGTTATAAATTTTTAGGTTACCTGGGACACTCGGATGACATATTGTTATCCTTTCCGGTCCGTCGTCGCCTGTCGTTCGTCGTCATAAACTAGCAAATTTTTAAATTTGGTATAAAGCATTTATAAATAAAGAAGAACAAAACGTTTTCGACCACAGGCCCCTTGGAATTTGAGGTTTGGGACCAAAACCACTTAAGTGCTGCTTATTTATATATATATATATATAATGCGGAGATAGTCCTTTACCAGAATTGTGAAATTCCTAGCCCATGGGCCATAAAAATACATCTATTAGAAAATCATGAACATGCATGTAGCTAGAAATCTGTTGCCTGCCTTAGATCCCTCCCAAAGTTGTGAAATTAATGGTCCTTGGGCATCATATGCATAATCATTAGGCCTGAAGGAACGGAGGGGGGGGGGGGGACTGTTAGCTTCCTCCGGTCTGATCTTAAAGTCCATTATCTACTACTAAAAAATGCTGTACCCTCCTTTGGACAAATACATTTTCAACGGCCAGTTCTGGCAAGAATGTTTAATAGTGGTCCATTTGAATATGTCAGAATGTTTCATGTAATTTGCAATTGAACTCCACCAGAGTTTTGCTATATATACACCACTTGTAGCCAATTTTCAGATCAAGTTCAACTTTCAACTTAGCAATTTCCTTTCAATCAATGTAGATTTAGCACGATAAGAATAAATTTTCTCGCTGTAATTGTTAATGATTAAGCTCATCAGTTTAAATTAGTATTCTTGAAAAGATTAAGATGACAATTTATAAGAGAAAAGAAAAAAAAACACATTTATTTATCTAATTATCTAAGTTTTCTGTAAAATAATTGATTTTTACAGGTAAGATTCAGTATTTTGCATTAGAGAGGGCACACACTCTTAGATGGGGAGTAGACTCATGAGATATTGTATGATACAGGGAAATTTTCGCCCTCGTTTTATTTTCGCCCCTTTCGCCCTAGACACAAGTGGGTGAATCTGTGATTGGGCGAAATTAAAACGGGGCGAAATTGTTTGCAAGTATGAAAGGGCGAAAATAACCCTGTATACAGTAATCGTTTGGTATGAAAATGTAAAGCTGAAATTTGAATTATTTTAAAAATACAACAATCAAACAATAGACTGGGCACTGACATATTTTTTCTGGATTCCATTCCATTCCTTTTCGTTTGTTCTTCGTTTTATTTTCATGATATTTTTTTTTACCCCAAAAATTATTTCTTTGAATTAAGTGTTAGACTGGTATTCCGTATATATATCACACAGACCAGACGCGCAATACGAAATTCTTTTTGAGAGCATACAAGGAGGAAGAAACCCCAAAATAGGTATGTCAGCTCCAGTATCTCATTATTATTGCAGGCTGTTTGTCAGAGCTTCAGAAAATTATAGCATAAATTAGTATCTGATCTGTTCTGCCATGCACTGTATCGATCCTCATTGAGTTCTATTCAAGAGTAGTACTTGTGCTAGAGTTTGTAGAATATACTGTATGTTTTCATTCAAATTGCAAGGCGCATTGTCCGTCCCTTTTCAAGAATACGGAGGAAAACAGGGAATTGTTTAAAAAAAATTTAAATACTCTAAGTCCAAATTTGCTGTTATTCCGTCTAAGTTCATTGCTGTGAAACTAAAAGTAAACTTGATCTGTTTCTCATCGAACTAACAGAAATCGGCCAAATATCTGCAAGCGCATAGAAAAATGTACAGAAAACAAAGTGTGTAAGACTTACTGACAGACAGACAGACGGACAGGCAGAAAAGAAACGTTTAGTCCCCTTCCGTTTTACATGTAGCCAGGGGACTAATACGCAGACTTTGGCCAATAACCATAAGTACTACTTTAAAATATGCAAGCTCAAGCGTAACATTTATACTTTCCTTTTTATTCCTTGACTAAACATTTTGTCACTCAAAAACAAAAACAAAAAATTGAAATTGTTTTTCGCAAAACACCCAGTGTGCTATTTTTACTGACCTAATTGACGTTGACTCTTAATAATGATCCTACTTTATCGGTACGTCGTTAGATATCTGATACCCACTGCTATTAAAAAGAACTTGAAAAACAGAGTTATTGCAAATGTAAATAGTAATCTTGTGCATATAAATATTCCCTTTTGAAAAATATGATACAAAAGCACAACAGAAAACAAATATTTTATTCACATTGATTTGAAAGGTTTCAAACGTCTTGAAGTTAAATGGCACTCCGAATAAATTTTACTTGGCATAAAAATTACGTATGATGTAAGGAACACATGATTGTGTCACTCCAAAACAGAAGTACGTGTATTTGAATTTAAAAGGAGAAAAATATTAAAAGGAAATTAATGTAACCATTTAGTATGCAAGTTGACAACAGTACTGCAATGACCTGAATAATAAATATGATTATCAAGATAACCAGAATTGTATCACTATGTATTATTAATAAATACATAACACAGTATTCAGAAAATAACGAAACATTTCATCAAGACTAGTGCTAGATGAAAAAATATGATTGTTTTAAAAAGGAATATACAAATATTTAAATCTGTAATATGTTTCAGTAGTGCGTTTGTAAATTTTGTAATCTGGCTTTTATCTTGTTTAAAGTTTATTTCAGAAAGAAAAAGTAATTCTTCAAAGAGAAAAGGAGAGATGACAGATTTTAGAGGTAATTTCAGATTTATGGTTGATTGTAAATTATTTTGGATACTTGAAATCACCTTTTATTTGCGATAACTTTATTTTCGCGTAATAACGCATAATAACGATTTTAGAGAGAGAGAGAGAGAGAGAGAGAGAGAGAGAGAGAGAGCAATAACCAGCATTCGCTTAAAAATACCAAATACCTATCTCGCGAAAATAAGATGTCGCGAAAATTTTGTGATCTACAGTATAAAAAGATATCTCAAATTTTAAACAGTTATCAAAATAATTTAGGGCACATCTAATTAATCAAACCAATGTGCTAAAATAATTTATCATAACATGATTGATTACTTCTTAAAATCAAGAAATGCAACAAGTGAATGGATTAAGAAAATGTTTAATTATTAATGTCTTATAGAGAGAATTAGCAGGTAATAAAAACTATAATCTTATGTTATTTGAATGCATATAATATATTCTTAATATATTTTCAGACTCCCCCATGCATAAAGCTCTAGAGCCTTTAGAGTGGTTGATAGGAAAATGGAAAGGCGAGGGAAAGGGCACTTGTCCAGTCAGTGGGCCGTTTGAATATACGGATGAAATAGAATTCTTTCATGTTGGTCAGCCAATGCTTCAATTTAGGTTTGTTTGTCTGATTACTTTCCATTGTCTTTTTAAAAAGTATACAATGACAAAATGAAATAATTGGATTAAAAATCTCGATTCCCATTTGGTGGCTTTTGGCAGGCTGTTAACCAATCAAATTAATGTATTTTCTGTGTTCTTGAAGCCTTTACTCCATCAATAAGAAAACTAACAGGCCACATCACAGAGAAATAGGATTTCTTAAAATCAAACCAGGTACAAACGAACTAGCTTGGATAGCTGCCCATAATAATGGTGAGTATATGCATTCCAAAAGGAAGAGATTTTGAATTTATCTAGAATGTTATTGATTCACTTTATTTTAAACACTTGAATGAAAGATTTTTTTCATACACACTTAAGAGGAATAAGAAACACACATTTAAGAAAGAATAACTTTTCCTTCACATTTATAACTTATGATAACTTATGCTGGTTTAAATTATGCAATTCTTTGTTCATAATATTCCATAAAGAATTTTTTTCATTATATCTGAATATAGCTATCAGTGAAATTCAAGAGGGAACTGTTGAAGGACAGACCATTGAATTGGAGTCAAATGATATTCGAAGGAAGATATTTTTCGATGGCTGCAAAATGATAAAGGTATCTTCAAAAAATTGAATAAATAAGTTGTTTTTTTAATTGTAAAGATATAATTATATAGATTTTATTGCAGTGAAAATGTATCTGAAATGTCAATGTTTATTTCAAGAAGAGATTTCAAGGTCAGCCTTTCCATAAACAACGTAAATATTTATGGTCATGTGTGGTGGATTAATAAATGTGAAGATAAATATTATGATTTTAGGTGTAGTTTTAATGCCTAAAAACTTAAGACGAGTAATTTGCAGTTCATAAAAAAAAAATTCAGATTCGTATTGATTTATCAGTTGATATGTCAACTTTTCAAATAGTTTTAAAACTTTATTATTAAAATTTATTTTTATAGATAAAGAGGAATTTCAAACGTGAAGAGGACACGTTATACCAGGTTTTCACCATGGAAACAGATGCTGGTCCTTTAACAGAGCATCTTAGAACAACGTACCATAAAGTTTAATTCCCTTATCCTCAACTGAAAATCATTTATCCATGTAAAAAAAAACTTTCACATCTATAAATCAGAAAATTACAATATATATATATATATATATATATATATATATATATATATATATATATATATATATATATATATATATATATATATATATATATATATATATATATATATATATATATCTTTTTATTTACATTTTGAATTGTTCATCATGCACTAAATTAACTACATGTAATATTGTAACCTGGAAATACAAATACTATACGTACATGTATTACATTCTCTCTGTGAAAAAAAAAACCTTTTCTTCATTAAAGAGCGCATATTAATTTTTTTTCTTCCAATTATTATTTCTTACCAAAGAAGCGTGTTACCTATACCTTTTTCCAGATGTATGTTTCTGTTAATTTAAAAAAAATAATAAATTGATGTATATATTCCTTAATTTTTTAGCTACATATACAGAGTAGACTGTACCAAATTACCAATACTTCCAATACTGGACTATATACGTACAATGTCTCCATGCAGATATCATGTTTGGATTAAAAATGAAAAGCAACATTCCATAAAATTTTGAAGAAAAATAATTCAGATATTTAGAAAAATGAGCCCCAAATCGAAGAAATTGTATCCGTTTTCTGTTGATTAAACGCATGTTGACAACTGACCAGACTCATCAACATTTAGGAAAATCATCACTGTAGGGGACAGAACCATGACAACGAAATAAATTAATGCTTTAGAGTCCAGAAATAAGCGCTGAAGTGGGTGGGGGTATTTTTTCCAAGAAGAGAGCTTTCGTCCCTTGTGGAGTTTATGTATGGTACGTCTTTTTTTTTTTTTTGACTAAGAGTGTCAGAATCTTTATTTTAACAACTTTTAAGTGTATTTAAAGTAGATTAAAAATTTTTTTAATTTATTTTACATTTAAAAATCCGCAAGACAAGCACTATGGTCCAATACACAAGTCCATGTGTCACTCGGCACTCCGCGCCCGTTTTACAAAAGAACTTACGACTAAGATCAAAATTTAATTCTGCTCATAACTTTCTAATTTACACTAAATTTAAAATGGTTTTAATCTTTTTAAAAGGCATGTTGAAAGATATTTTTACGCTAGCAAATTTGAACAGAATCATTAATTTTGCAAAATTTTACAATGAACTAAAGTTTTTGGTCTTAGTCGTAACTTCTTTTGTAAAACAGGGCCCTGATCTAGCCGAGGTTTGATGAAGGCGACGGAATCAGCCGAGGTTTGCCGAATGGGCCATGTGATGTACCCGGAAGTCATCTCGTGAGTCATGTGATATGAGACTTACAGACCCAAATTAAAATCACGTGAAAGGGAAGTATTTATCTCCTTACCATCGTTTTGAGTCCACAAGCGCAAGCTACCTGATGATAGAGAGAATCGATGTGAATCACCCCTGGGTTACCGACGATGTCTTCTTACTGGTCACAAAATTATGATACATTATTCATTTCTGTGTTGCTAACCCAAATTTTAAGACGCAAGTCGTAACCTTTCCTTGTGTATTTGCATCTGAATAACGTGGTAAGTCTATATATTTTCGATATTTTGATACTTAATTGAATGAAGACTAAATTTATCAATTTCAAAAATATTCTTATTATTAGAAAAACCCACACAGGTCTAGTAGACACTTTTAATTACCGTTTAACAGGTTGGGAACGATTCCCCTGTAGAGAGATCATCTCGCCAGAGGCAGAGCGCCTATCTACATCCCGGAAGCCCGAGATTCATAATTATAACATTCTGTTCCATCTGTTAACGTTTTTACTACCGTAAAAGGAAAATCCGGAAGCATGTCAACCCAATGTTAAACATCTCGATATATTTGCTTCAAAATATTGCCTCTACTGCTCGCATTCCTTGGAAATTTGAATCATGCAAGATTTTCTACGGAGGACCATAAGTGATAAATATCAGGACGAGTAAACTTTTTTTTATTGCACTTGCAGTTTGAATTTTTATGCCCTCGTAATCGAAGATTCGGGGGCATATAGTTTTTGCCCTGTCTGTCCGTCTGTCTACCTGTCTGTTTGTCTGCAAAAACTTTAACCTTGCCCATAACTTTTGATTGGTTGGAGTTATGGCTTTCATATTTCACATGTTTATTCCTTGTGACAAGACCTTTCTTTGGGTACTATAAAATTTGACCTTGACCTCGGAGTTTGACCCACTTTTGGTAATTTTGACCTGCTTAATTTTTTAAAAACCTAACCTTGGCCATAACTTTTGAACAGTTAGGGCTAGGATTTTCATACTTCACATGTGTAATTCTTGTGACAAGACCTTCCTTTGGATACCAACAACTTTGATCCTTTGACCTTGACCTTGGAGTTTAACCTACTTTTGCAGAACTTTAACTTTGGCCATAACTTTTGAATAGTTGATGCTAGGGCTTTTATAGTTCACATGTGTAATCCTTGTGACAAGACCTTTTTTTGGATACCAACAACTTTGATCCTTTGACCTTGACCTTGGAGTTTATCCTACTTTTGCAAAACTTTAACCATGGCCATAACTTTTGAACCGTTAGTGCTAAGGCTTTCATACTTCACATATGTAATCCTTGTGAAATGACCTTCCTTTGGATACCTTTTGACCTTGACCTTGGAGTTTGACCTACTTAAATTTTGAACAAACCTAACCTTGGCCATAACATTTGAACAGTTAGAGCTAGGAATTTTTTACTTCACATGTGTAATCCTTGTGACAAGACCTTCCTTTGGATACCAAAAACTTTGACCCTTTGACCTTGGAGTTTGACCTACTTTTGCAAAACTTTAAACTTGGCCATAACTTTTGAATGGTTGGTGCTAGGGCTTTCACATATGTAATCCTTGTGACAAGACCTTTCTTTGGATACCAGCAACTTTGACCCTTTGACCTTGGAGTTTGACCTACTTTTGCAAAACTTCAAACTTGGCCTTAACTTTTGAACGATTAGTGCTAAGGCTTTTATACTTCACATATGTAATCCTTGTGACATGACCTTCCTTTGGATACCAAAAAGTTTGACCTTTTGACATTGACCTTGGAGTTTGACCTACTTAAATTTTGAAAAACCTAACCTTGGCCATAACTTTTGAACAATTAGTGCTAGGATTTTCATACTTCACATGTGTATTCCTTGTGACAAGACCTTTCTTTGGACACCAATAACTTTGACCCTTTGACCTTGACCTTGGAGTTTGACCTACTGTTGGAAAAAAATTAACCTTGGCCATAACTTTTGAACAGTTGGTGTTAGGGTTTTCATACTTCACATGTATATTTCTTGTGACAAGACCTTCCTTTGGATTCCAACAATTTTGGCATTGACCATGTCCTTGGAGTTTTTTGACCTACTTTATAAAAAAAATTAACCTTGTCCATAACATTTGACCATTTGCTTCTAAGGCTTTCACATTTCAGGATTATGTGTATCACTTGTGACAAGATGGACTTTGACTTGCATTTGAGAAACTTTAACCTTCGCCACAAGCTGCCATACGGGGGCATCAGTGTTTCACAAACACATCTTGTTTGTATGTAGAACTTATATGTCCATAATCCTAAAATCAAGGGAAAAACACCTATTATTTGTAAGAATTCGTTAGACCCCCACCAGGGCTTTAACCTGGACCAACTGCGGGGGCGGGGGCTTCATTGCAATCCCCGACCCTGCCTTTTACTGCAACCCCCCCCCCCCCCCCCCCCCCCGTTATGAAATTCCTGGATCTGCCAGTGATTTGGATTATATATTCATATTTTATATACTTCAAAAACATATCACTGCAAAGAGCTAGGTTCACTTTGTGCAGATAATGGCCCTGTAGATATACTAATTTATTGACGAACACCTTATGTTCCATTTTAAACATCAAGATAAAGTAGAGACTTAGTGCTTTCATTTCCTATTAAAATTTTTCTCCTTAAAGTCCAGGTCTTGGAAAACAAGCTTTATGGAATTGCAATGTTCTTGAATTTTAAGGAAAACAGGTATATTTAAGTACTTTCAGAGAAGAAAAATAATATGAGCGCACCCTCTGATCTAAAAAATAAAACATGATTTGTAATCCCCAGAAACGGTTCTTTCAGTAAATAATTGCATATTTTAGATCAGAGATTGCGCTCTATACTAAATATCGAAAAAAAGCTTAAAAATTGGCTGCTTTTGTAGAATTGTTCAGGATTTGAGGAAAATGACGCATTTCATGACGTCATAATGCATTGACTAGCCAGAAAATTACGTCATTTTTGGTAGATTCGCAATCGCCAAATGTCTAAATGAAATTTAATGCATTGTGAACTTAAACTAAGCAGTTTCAGATTTTCAGAAATTCACAGGGCCAAAAAAGGCCCTAAGTGAACCTTGTTCTTTTTAAAACCTTTTCCAAAAAATATACGATTTACACAGGATTTCTGCCTCGCAGAAATATATGGGCAAAAATCTTTAAAATACTATAATTATGAATTAAATGAAGTTTTTGTAAACAAATATTCGTAAGAAAAACTGTTTGTCTTCACCTCATTTCCCAGTATGGAAAGTTAAAATTGGTTGAATAATGAAGGAATCTAAACTTGTTGACCTCTGATATGGCGACCAACGGGAAATAACTCTTGCTAAAATCGCGTTTATCGAAAACTATCTATTCTCGCATGCAGCGATGATTATCTTATATTTCTAGCCGTGTTGTCTTATGTAAGAAGTTTTTTGAGTTTTATGTAAGAAATTCACGCTTCAATGCAGCGTTCTCCCGGATTTTTAAAAAGCACGAGATTTCTGATCATTTTATAATCAAAGCAATAAAACACCTGTTTATGGTAATGTTTATTTTTCCGCTAAAGAGGGATAATTGCGCTCTAGCGAGATAATATCACTATAGGGGGATTGTTCCCGACCTGTTTAATGGCGAATAATCATTTATGGCATTGGTAGCACTACAATTTTTTTTAGTTTTCAATGATTAAAATTCTTTACTGGTTACAATCGTAACCTAGGTTACAGACCCAAGTACATTGAATGATTTTGGTAACACGGGCAAATTAGTGTA